TGGTGGCAGGCCTGGCCCGATGATAGTAGTCAGACCCTCAGAGGTTACAGATCTGACTTATCTGTCGGTCACCTGGCAGGTGGGGCAGTCAATAGCAGATAATGTACGTTGGGCATAGTCAGGCCCAGATCGGTGGTCGGGCTTTTTGCTGATGATAGCCATTGATTTAAATACGACACGTCCTGAGCCCATGAGAAGAGGCGCGCCTTCCCGTGCTCGTACCTTCCAAACTGCGGAACGTACATAATCGTTCTGCAGGCTCTTTGATTACATGCTCGGCAAAACGGCACATCTGCGAGATGCACAATGCTGATTTGTGGTGTGTATCGCCCACGCAAGTGCGACACATGCGTCCACAACTGGAAAATGAGCGGATATCGTTCATATGCTCGAGATGAGAGAGTAGACAGAAGCACACCGGACGAGAGTGTTACTATGTGATGCCGATCGCGAAAGAAAAGATCGTTCCTGGAGCTGATTTGGGGAGAGAATACCGTGGCCCAGCGTTGATGTCATGTACATAGGTAGATAGCAAAGACGACCATAAAAGCCAGTGTTCGCGACGCTGACGAAGAAATGTCGGTAAAGGGACGAGATATCAAGCGCTCCTTGAAGCAGCCTACACGACCATGCACCCCGTCCGTTGACGGACTGCCACTTTGAAGAGACCTTTGGACGACGCGGGTCATCTAGCGCTATCATCAATGAAGCTGGCTCAGATACGGCTTTGGCGTCCAGACGCACGTAGGTCACCGAGCATAGTACAAAGCAACGATGATACGACGAACATTACTTAGTCCATCGCATAGCACTTGCTACTAGGAAGCCTGCAACGAAATCAATGAGTACGAGTGTCTCTTAGCATGTCGACCAACTATACGTACAGACACCCAATCCCGCCATTATTCGCTTCCCAACGATCGATCTTGGCTGGTGGGCGCGAGATTGGTTGAGTGCGTACACACCGACGCCGCCCAGCGCAGCCGTTCAAATTACTCGGCATGCCAGGCAGTCTTGATAACGAGCAGCGGGGTCGGCGTCTGTCTGATCCTTGGCCGCCACAGCAGAGAAGCTTGTAGCGAGAGTGGACGTTCCGGACATGATAGCAACGAGCTGCTACTCAACCGGCGATGGTCTATGCCACACGGCGTGCAGGAGAGAGGATGATGAGAAACGCAAGCCAAGCCTGAAGCGCTGGACGCCACTGGCAGATTTCTTCGTCGGACAGCTCAACGGCAAACAGTCATGTGAAGGCACCCACACCTTTATATTCGCCTCACATGCTCATCGTTGCACTAACACCACCATCACTATCGCCGACGTCTGAGGCTCTTGGAAGCCGTATCAGACGATTTCTCTCAACAGGCAGACATGCAAACGAACCTCCCCCCCAAAAAAAGCAACCTCTATCCTCGTCTATTAAACTCGAATTCATAGCTCTTAATTGAGACACAAAGCAGGGCTACCACCGCTGGCAATCCCATCAGTACAGACCTCGATCGACAACGCAAACCTGCTCACCTTGATCTGCGCGAATGCGAACCCGCGACCGAGAAGGATGCGCGACTGTCCGGGTGTCCGCACACGCTGGTGGTCCTGGATCTCCTGCCGTGATGGGACCCCACCCGCCAGCCTCTAGCCAACGTTCCGACCGAACCGCCTGCGTAAGCCTCCACACCTGTCGACACACGCACTGGAGCCATATGCAGGGTATGAAGAGCCATACGACGATGACCTGTCCCATTTTGTGGTAGCCTCTCGGGAACTATGTGAGTTGCGCAGTCGCACGGATATAGGAATCGGCCAAGCGGAGACGTAAGACGGCGGTGTTGTTCGATGACTTGATGGTACAAGGTTCACGCGCAGCATTACCTGGTCAGCGGCATCGAGGTGCGGCGTTGGTGAGTGGGCTGATCCCCACGCTGGGTCAGTGCTGACGAATGGCGCTACCTTCTCATGCAGCTTCACTAGAAATCGGGCTCCTTGCCACGTATGATGAGCCGCCGTTGCGCATCTTGAGATTTGCGAGCCAAGTAAGCGGGAGATTCGAACAGCAAGCGATACGGTTGGAATCACTAGCCACGGTCGAACGTTATGGACACCGTGATTGTGCGAATGGATTCTGGTTCCTTGGACGATGTCATATATCTGGAAACAGTTTCTACTTTTATCTAGGATAGCACGAGATTAGCATTATTGCGCACTTGAAATGCTCGAGAGTCGAAAAACTCACTTGTGAGATCATATCCATCAGATGTTTGCAGAGAGAATGAAGTGCTCTTCGGCTGTACTACGAACATGTCAATTCGTCATGATTCGCATCAATCCAGCTTGGCGACGCACTCAAAAACCCGATAATGCTTTTAAGCTCTGCCATTCTCCCCGCCTTCCTCAGCCTTCCACGATACTCCGACCGTCTGTTGGCGATCTTCTCAGTTCAGTCATTGCGTCCCATTGGTGGAAGAGCTGAAGAGCCGTTGAACGGCCCTCATAGCATACGGAGGCGAGCGCAGTCTTCCTGGTTGGCTGTGATAGTCTTACCGAGCATTCATTAATAATCCAGATAGTCAGCAATGGAGGAACACTCACTGTGTAGGGTGCCAAAGCCATAGGAACAGATTGATGGCTCCCGTGCCAGACGGATGCGCCTCTTGCGGATGCTGACTCTCACAACGACCGCACAGTGGATGTCTCCAGAATCTAGCAGATACGAATGGCTCGGTCAAGTACACTGACTCTCGATGATCTTCGCCTCATCTATGGTAGCCAATAGCGAGATGCATCATGCGCCAAGCAAGCTAACGTGACAATGAATACACTAGCTATGCGTGCATTGATCGCAGACGTCGTCTCGTGCTCAACCTGCAATTGAGGAAAGTCTATCAGAGAACATCGCGTAAGAGGAACGTTGCAGGGCGTACTACGGAGGTGAACAGAAATAGGATGGAAATCGTGAAATGCGGCATCGGTCACTCCAAAGACGGCGCATTTTGGTTAGACGAGATCAGAGACAGAATCGGGGCGAATGCTACGGGATAGCCCCGAAGAACCAGCTGGTGACAGAAGCAGATGAACAGGAGCAATGCCATCAGTATGACCAGCACGCACGATGAGTATCTCCATCCTTTGATGTCACTCCTGATGCGAACGTTGCAACGCGATCACCCCGACGCGCATCCACTCACGGGGGCCCGATCTTGCAAGACGCTCTCCACCATTCTCTATGACAGCTCGACTTGCTCAGCCTGCTGCACCACGCGCGTGGATCTGCGAGTTCCTGCCGCCTGCACATGCGTGGCCCATTACTGCTCCATGGTGGCCATGGAGTGCACCGCGGCGAGAGGCGACGGAGACATCGACGGCTTGCGTGGTCTTCGTTCCTAGAGTGGGGAGTGGCTGCTACAGATGCATGGACACAGTTCATAGCGAGGCAGCGAGGCTCTCGGCAGGCGCGGAAGAGAGAACGGTGAAGCCAGCGACTTGAACGAAGTGCTTCATAAACGCGCTGACGACAGAGCACGAAGAGACTTGATCAAGATCGGTCGAGTGTCCGGAAACTGTGGCCTATGGATTACAGAGATATGTAAGAGCAGGATGAGGTTGCAGGCCTGCTAGAGTAGAGTGTACAGGGCGCCACGCCCTTCCAGCTAGGGCTTGATCATGGCGCGCGTGCGGGTTCATCCAAGGAACGCCCGGCGATTGGCGTATATCTATAGATAGTTTGACCAGCGTGCGAGCACAGATAGGTCTTTGCAAGCGACATGTAAGTTGCGTCATAGTAGGCAAGTGTTCTCGTTGGTCACGAGAGTTGTGTCAATGAAAGTATACGCGAGCTTGGAAACCACCGAGCATACTATGAAGCCGGCGGCACACCCATCCAACTCTCCGTGGGCGGCTCGCACATGTGTCAGTGTAGATTTAGAAGCGCGATGCAGCCGCCCCGTCTTGGGAGTCTCATCGCTCCCGAGCGCGGGCTGCGGATGGGCGGTGTCTGCAAGGAGAAAGAGGTATGATCGCCGCGTCGCCGAGCGCGATATGGCCAGTTTCGCTCGCTGCGCGGGTTTCACGGCAGATGCAAGAATGACTTGACGGGCTGAAATGCCTCTCATGGGCGGTTTTGACGCTGAAAGAGGCTCATAAGTCAGCCTTCGTGAGGAAGGCAGTCGTTTCTCTGAAGCTTGAGCTCGAACGGTGATGCGTTCGAGAGTCGAGACGGTTATCGGAGGCATCTGAGTCTCGTGTAAAATCTAGATGCAGCTGATATGGGAGTATAAGAATAAACCTTTGCAAGCGCATAGAACGGACACGTAAGCAACGGGCCTTGTTGATCCAATACTTGGGTAAAAGGCAGTCAATAATTTAAAGCATCGACGCTAAATCGACACGTTCCCCGAACCTCAACGACTACTCGGCTCCAGACCGTCCAGCATCGCGACCGTGTGGGCCATAAGCATGCCTTGCCGTCGCTGTCGTACCATCACAGCCTGCACAGATTTATTTTTCCACGGGAAACCTGATGAAAAAATGGTGAAATATCTTAAGCCTGGATATGGAAATAGTTTGGAAATCGGGTGGAAACAATTGAATTATGTTACAATTGCTTCACCAAAACATATCGGTATCACATATTTTTGGACTGAAATATCTTCCTTTGGGAAATAGCTTCACTATTGCTGATACGTTTCGGTAAAACAATTGTAACATAATTTAATTGTCTCCGCCCAATTTCCATACTATTTCCATATCCAGACATAAGATATTTTCACCATTTTTGCATCAGGTTTCCCGTGGAAAAATAAATCTATGCAGGCTGTGCATGTCATCCTCTTGTCAAGTGGACAAATTCCGGAGTATGCAATGCAGGTAGTCGGTAGCGCCTGATCTGTTTCGTCCATTTTTTGCCCAAACACTCCGGGTGAGCCTGAGCCAAATATTGAACGTTCGCTGCGTCATCTCATTTATATACATCATTATTCTCGGCGGTACATTTTCTCATCCAGGTAGAATGAATCGCTCAGAGCTTGAAGCTTACTTAATTGAATGGGTACCGTCCCATCCGTGTGCGTAAATCCAGTACCATCGAATGCTGCAGCATTCCCTTTGCCATTCTCACGTTGTAAGGCGGCCCGTACCGTCCATATGACAACATATCCCAGACGGAACGCTGGTTCGTACTTTAAAATGAGCCCGCTGCAGGAGTCGACTCTTCTACCTCGCTCCCGAGTCGATCCCCCCAGCATACATGAACATCAACGTTGATACCCGGCCCCTGCTACCTTTTGTGCCCTATGTGCTGCTGCAGAATGGCCTGCTAGGTTGTCTTGTCGCCACCCGCATCCAGTGGCGCGCCCGGGTGGTCGCCTTCCTTGCCTACGCCTCCATCCTTACTTCTGTCTTCCTGTACACCACCGGAGACGCCCAAAAGAACTATTCAATCGGCTGTACAGTAATGGGACACACCTTGACGGCGTTCCATCTCCTTTGTTTATCCGACCCCTTGAACGACTTCCGCCACGAACGCGACAAGATCCCTCCCAGTGAGATGTCCTATGCACGTCGGGTGCATTGGGCCTTTTGCATCATCTTCAACTTTCGCGGAGTTGGCTGGACCTATCAGGTACCTTTGCGCCCACCTTCCGCGGCGATCAGTAGCGCTGAACGTTAGATGACATGTGCAGGTCGCCAACGTCCCTCCGCGCTCGAGCGAGGGCAAATGGACGTTCGTGCGCCAGAAGCTGCTGACCGCGTTCCGGTGGTTCCTCCTCGTCGATTTCACGCAGGCATACCAACGCGCCCACCCCCTGTTCTCTCGGCAGGCAGCGGACATCTTTTCGCTCGCGACACAAGGCTACGTCCAGCGCTGCATCAACATCTTTGTGCGCCTCAGCAGCCCCGTCGCGCTTATCGGCCTGCAATACGCGCTGCTCGCGGCAATCGTCGTCGCGCTGGGAATCTCGGAGCCAGGGGACTGGCCGGACATGTATGGACGGTGGTCCGACGCGTACACCGTGCGCCGCTTTTGGGGGTGAGCAGATCCTTCATCCTTCCTCGCTACCATGCCTGGCTTCTCACGTCTTCTATTTCCTCGGTATGCCTGTAGACGCACTTATCACCAGATGATCAGACGGGTGCGCTCACACGTACCTACCGCTGACATATTACAGATAAGCTCACTTGTTGCGTGCAGTTCACGGCGTCCATCGGGAAGGCTGTCTGCCGCATGCTCGGTCTGCAGACGGGCTCGCGCGCGTCTTCGAACACGCAGCTCTATGTCGGCTTTGCCGTCTCCGGGATCATGCACTGCGGCGGGGACCTCATGGTGAGCCGCGCGCTGCTCGGATCGTCGTTCCCGTTCTTCTTCGCGCAGGCCGTCGCGATCTCGCTCGAGGATGCGGTCATTCACGCGGGAAAGGGCCTCGCGCCGGAGACGAAGGGCGCGCGGGCGGCGCTGCGGTGGGTGGGGTATGCGTGGGTGTTTGCGTGGCTGAGCGTGTCGGCGCCGTGGTATCTTAACTGGTCGATGCGTGCGGGTGTCATCGATACGAGGCGCGTGCCGTTCTCGCTTATAGGCCTGGTGGTGCCTGGGTTTGAGAAGGCGTTGGTGCGGTGGCTTGGTGGTAGTGCCAGCGTGTAATAAAGGAAGGCAGCGAATCGAGAAGCAATTGCCAGCCAGATGCACCGGTGCAGACGCAGGTGTGAGGAGGATGGATTTGGGATTAGGTGCACGGCCTTGTTGGTTGCGCTTCGCTCTATTCAGTTCGCGGGATTGGTAAGTTCGTCAGCATGCCAAGGTTTAAAGAGGTGCATAAATGGGATGGTGAATTTGAAACCACGAAGGTTTGGAAGTACCCATTCCGTCTGCTATTCGGAGCGATATCAACATGGGAATTAGGCGATTCGCCGTGATCGACTGCAGTCTGCAGACAGGGGTTAACGTTAAGCAGTCCCATCGTATCTTGCGACGAGGGAAATAGAAATACCCATGAGCATATGGACTGCTTGCATCGTGACAATTGTGAGCACATGAGACACCTGTCGCCAGGCCACCCGGGGTGCTGGCGGTTCGCGAAGGGAGTGTGGGACCTGGGACTCGGACGCGTGCTGGTCGAGACGCGGTCACGGGACTTGGACGGATTAGGCACGCGTCGCTGGGCGCGTCTGGCTTGAGTTGTACCTCGAACTCTCTGTGCAACACATATTCGTTGTAGAAGACCATGTCGTTCTTTGGTGTCTTTGATGGTAATTTCCTTGGCAAAAGGATTCAGTTTCAGTGCGGATGTGATCATGAGTCTACTTTGGAACTTTACTGCAGGAATTCACTTTCGGATTTGATTGCAGAAGTTCCTGATGATAATGCCAGAAAGCCTTTTTTTGCAGTGGGTATACTCAATCGCACGATTCATCTTCCATCCCTCTAGCTCTCTGTGCCATATACTAGCCGTCTCAACGCGCTATTGTGACGTACACAATATAAATATAGCATCTAATACATTTGTCGAGCTCTTCGATTTGCATCGAGACTGTAAGAGCGAACGCTACCAAAGTCGATACGACGGGGGATTCGTTGGGTGGCGGAAATGAGCTTGAAGCCGGCATCGCTGGCTATCTGTTTTCGCAGCTGTCTCGTCAAAAACAACTGGATTGATTCCGAGTCTCTCAACAGATCCATGGTTCAATGCCTGCGGCTTAATCTGCATCTTTGCACAGCCTGTCAGCTTAATGCTACCTTCTTCGTCAATGGTATCGGCCTCCTCTAACGCATGGCTAATCTTACTGGTAGTGTACTATTGTCTCGCAGTAGCTCTGTGATCTCAAAGTGGTATCTTCTGTGTATGTCTCCATGCGCGACTTTCTATTATCGGTTCTTCCGTTAACTAACAATCCTCTTCTGCTTCTGCTTCTGCACTCCGTACTTGAGGCCTGAAGGATTGTGTGGACCTTCACGGGCTCCTCGCCGTAAGCGCCTTCGGCGCTGCAGGGCCCTGTGCACGAAGACGAAATTGAGACGCGTCGTCGATAGTCATCGCATCAGGGCTATTGATATTGATAGCCTACAGTGCATAATGTATTTCTTGAGAGGCATAGGCATAGCAAGTTTTTGATCATTTGGAAGCCCGCCAGAGGGTTGTCGAAGATCTGTAGAGCCACGTTACTTGCGGGAAAGGCATGTTCAAGCGTTTTGACGTTTGAAGTCATGTTCGAAAGGCACTGAGAAGTATAGGTCGAGCCAGCCGTATCTCCGTGAAAGGCGAGAAGGGTAGTACATTGCCTGCACGATGCAGTTGCGGCCGACACGGTCAAGATCGCAATGTCAGCCTCACTCGCAGAGGTATAAGAACCGACCTGCACTCGCTCAGCCTCTCGTCACCTCTCTCCTCCGTTCCCCGACCATCCTCTCTCATCCTCTCCAGTCCTCGTCTCTGATCCTTGTACGTTCCTCCCTCCTTCACTCGATCCCCGCTCGTTTCTGTCTCCTTCTTCGTCGTGCTCTCGGCCTTTCCATGTACCACCCAGCTCCGCTCCTGTGGCCCCCACCTCTTGCCCTAATCTTGTATCTTCTTCTCACCCATGTACGGTCCAGCTGCTCATTGTCCTTGTCTTCCGCCATGCGTGTTTCGTGTTCCGGCCTTCCCATGTATCATCCACCTCCGCGCCTGTCAACGGCCTTTTCCTCATCCTGTATCTTCTTGTCGCGCATGTACTGTCTCTTCTTCTATCCGTCCTGCTTGTTTCGCCTTTCTCTCTGTGTCTCGTTCTTCATCCGCCACCCCCACCCCCCAAATCCGCTTCATATCGCCCGTCCTGCGTGTCGTCAATCCTGTACGCCGACGACCCTGTGATGCCTCTGCAATATGTACCCCGAAGGATGGCGCGGACCTTTACGTGGTCCTCGGGATAAGTACCCATTGCGCTGCAAGGTGCCGATGGGGAAACTAACGCGCGCCGTAGCTATCGTCGTACTATAAAAATATTTCTTGAGGAGGACAACACAAACTTGAGTGTTGGAGGTGTGAATATTGTATCGAGAGAAATTCGACGTACCAGGAACACTGTACAGTGACCATAAGCTTAGACGTGGTATCTATGGTTGACAATATACACCGATGAATGTCTGGACGCTGAAGAACGTGAATAGACATTCATACCTGAACTATGGCTGCACAAAGCTACGTAGTGTCAGCCGCATACTACGTGGCCTTGCTGGGGTGAGGTATTCACTGTCGGCTGACACGGTCAAAATCCCAATGTCGGCCTTAGTAGGAAGGGCATAAAAGACGACCTACACTCACTCAGCCCCTCCTCACTTCTCTCCTCCATCTCCTCCATCTTCTCCCACTATTTCTAGCCCTCGTCTCTTGCCTTCATACTCGTCTTTCTCTCTCTAGCTCTCCCTCTATACTTTCCCCTGCTTTCAATAAGGTAGGTCTGTCTCCTTCTTCTCCCGGCTTCTCCATGTATCGTCAACCTCCGCTCCTGTAGCCGTCATCCTGATCCTGTATCTTCTCCTCGCCGATGCAAGGTTTCGTCGTCATTGCTGTTCCATGTCCGTTCCCTCTCCTCTCTCGTCTCGCCGTTCTCCTCTTCCAACCCATTTCATCCTCTCCATCCTCGTATCTCTTCTTCTATCCTGATCTCCTCGCTGTTCCCTCTCGCTTCCCGTCTTGCTTCTCGTCTCTCGCTCGCTCGACCCGTCGACAATCCTGTGATGCCTCTGCGTCCTGTACCCGAGGTATGGCGCGGACCTTTACGTGGTCCTCGGGATAAGTACCTTCGACGCTACAGAGCGTGGAGGGGAAACTAACACGCGCCTGATGTCGAGACGATACGTAGCAGTCTAGTCAAAAACATATCTATACAAACAGCGTGTTCAGAGTCAGCAGTGATTGATGCAAGCCGCCAAGGTGCTCACCGATCGGCCTAGTGGCGACGTAGTGCAATGAATATTCATGATATACCATCAAAGATGGAATATATGCGCATCATATAAGGGCATTACGTTGATTAGAGGCACAGAGCCTGAGATATTGGGCAGGGAGGCCACCCTTTAAAACACGGATGCGGGGAAAGATGGGGTAATCGAAGACCGCGTCGGATGTTCCCCGCGCATATACCCCGGCTTCGTCAGGGGACAAGTCTTCATCAGCGTCCCCGGGTGCCGGTTCGCGGCCAGGCCCACTGCCGAGGAATGCACGAAGGTAGGAGATGTGCTATAAAAACAAGACGCAGCGCGAGCACGACGTGGGTGGAATGCGCACCTGAGCAGTTCGCGTCCTATTCGCCTCCGACGACCCTGTTCGCCAGCGACATCCACGAGGATCGCCTCCAAGCGCTAGCTCTCAGTCCAGACAATCCCCATACAGGCTATCGGGCTTCCCTGCTAGTGTCATGCCTCTCATACGACCCTCTCCGACATTGTTCCTCCGCACTCTCTCCTCCCCAACACTCCCCTCCTCTCTTCGCCTCCGCCTCCGCCTCATGTCGACCAGCACCGAAATCCCGCAGTACCAGAACATCCTGACATCCCAGCCCGCGGATGGCGTCGCGCTCATCACGCTCAACCGCCCAAAGGCGCTCAACGCGCTCTCCTCGCCGCTCTTCGAGGAGCTCAACGATGCGCTCAAACGATTCGACAGCGACAACAACGTGCGCGCGCTCGTGCTGACGGGCAGCGAGAAGGCGTTCGCAGGTGGGTGACGATCGCTCGGACGTGCACGGCGCGCTGAAGGATGCGTAGCGGGCGCGGATATCAAGGAGATGAAGGACAAGGAGTGTATGTGAAGTTCTCATTCAGGTGCTACCAAGATATATGCTGACGAGCGCCGCATAGACTCTGATGTGTTCAAGAACAGGTTCCTCGAGAACTGGTCGCTCCTGACCCAGATCCGCAAGCCCATCATCGCTGCCGTCAGTGGTTACGCGGTACGCCCTAATCGTCCACTCTCCTTCGTGGCTGCAATTGACTGTCTATACACAATAAGCTCGGTGGAGGCTGCGAGCTCGCCATGATGTGCGATATCATCCTCGCCTCCCCCACCGCCGTCTTCGGCCAGCCCGAAATCGACCTCGGCGTCATCCCCGGCGGCGGCGGAACCCAGGTACGTTCACCTGCCCACTACCCCCCTCCCCGAATCTCCCCTTCCACCTCCCAAGTGCTAACGACCTCCCCAGCGCCTCGCACGCACGATCGGTAAATCGCGCACGATGGAGATCGTCCTCACCGGGCGCAAGTTCACCGGAGCCGAGGCCGCCGCCTGGGGGCTCGTCTCGCGCGTGTCAGACAACGTGCTCGAGGACGCGATCGCGGTGGCCACCGCGATCGCGAGCAAGAGCGGGGTCGCGGTGCAGGCGGGCAAGGAGGCGGTGAATGTGGCGTATGAGAGCACGCTCTCCGAGGGGTTGCGCTTTGAGCGCCGGATCTTCCATGGGCTGTTTGCGACGGTGGATCAGAAGGAGGGTGAGTGTCGTGCTTTTGGTCGTGCTCGGTTTGAGATGGCTGATGATTTCGCGCAGGTATGGCGGCGTTCGTCGAGAAGCGTAAAGCGGCCTGGCAGCATTTGTGAGGCGCCGTCAAAGTTATATTCGAAGTTCAAGCTTGGTTGAAATTCAAGGTGAAACAATGTACACTAGAGGCTGAATTGTGTTGTATCACGATGTCTAGGAATTCTGGGAGGCAGAATCGCAATAGAGCAGTGCACAGGATACTGTCAATATGTGAACACTATCACAGACGGTCATGTCCACAGAGCCGCTTATGCGCTGATGCAGCGACTTTGCGGCATCTTATGTTGATATTCGTTGACGAACAGTGACCCGCTATCGCAATATGTGCCTGTATGGGAAACACGGTCAGAGAAAGGATTTACAACCTGGATCGTAAAGTGAGTGATTGCCAGATGCATACGATTTGCCAAATTGGAGGTCAATTGACCACCAGCAGTTCTATATGTGGGATACTCTCCGTGGTTGACGCTCAAGTCGAGAGGGACAGCTTCAAACCGCCGCATTTCGATAGAACATTCAATGCTCTAAAGTCAAAGAAAATGCTGTTTGCCGCCAGCCTGCACCTCACCGTGCGCTTGTTCTGCCCACCAGCGCGAAACAGAACGCTCTCTGCTCTGCTGACGAGAACGTGATCTGGACTGTCATAAACGCCCTCGCCACTATCTCCCCATGCACATCAACATGTCCATGGACTTGTTCGTCGTTGACGCCACGGCCATCAAACCTATTTGCACACGTTCTTCAATCATATTTGACGCGTCCACTAGGATTTGTTATTATTATTTTCAGATCGCCGAGCACGACCATCCGACTCGGGGAGCCTTCATCTGGCTGATTCGGACAGCTCGAGAAATTTGTCGTTTCGTCGATTATCACCGCCTGGGCGGTAAGCACCACAGATAGCCTTCCTCCTCCTCGTCTTCCCAAGGCAGGACCCTCGAATCGCGGACGTGGCGTGAAGGCTGTGTGTCAGCAGATGCTGCTGTCAAACTTGACATGGGCGGTACGCGGACTGACGGGGGAGTGCAGATGCTATGCGGATGTCCTGACAGGTTTGTGTTGCCCACTTGCTTCTTGCGGCCTCGTGTTCATCCAGTTGCGGTCCTGTTATCGCGACTCATCTGGTATAGCCTCAAGCTTCTCCATCAATACTAATAAGACTTGGTTCTCACTTACAGGCATTGCACTTGTAAGCAGGCGGCGAACTTGGCGTGGTGGACAGTATCCCCGTGTGCACGCGTAATGTGAGCGACCATGAACTTTGTTCAGCGCCTGAAATGATCGTCCTTGTCCAGAAGACGCTTCTAGCGTCACGGACTCAGTGGGTTGAACGCGGTGCGTCAGGGAGGCTTCCATTAGATCCTTGGGCTGTGACTATGGAATTGACATGGGCGCAGCTCCTAGGTATTCGGGGACCACGACGTCCTTGCATTTTCTCTCTGCATCTTTCAAACCTGTGTGCGTGCGTGCTGCGGTACTGCTAGAGAGTCTCATTGTGGTGGCATAGCCTCAGCGGCGGCGACGGACAGGCAATCTCATGATCGCACTCGTGGCATCTGTGCCATTACGGCGATGTGGTTAACTCGACGATTCTTTGCGGTATGTGTGGTCTGATACCATCAATTCGACATCATATCCTGATAAGAAGTGTATGTGATGAGGCGCGGCGCCCCGAAGCTACTCCAGCCATCCACTTTGCCCTCCCTCTGTCCCGCGGCAGTGCTTACAGCTGTGATGTTCGTTGAGGCGCAGCGTGTCTATGATGCTATGCAGAATAGTGGTTATTCTGTTCCCAGAATCGTCGCGAACTTCGAAGCGGTGCGGAAATGTGCGCAAAGCCTTCTCGTCGACTGCTGTATAAGGAAGATTAGATGCGGATGTGTATTCATTCAGCAAGGCACGTAGAATCCTCAGTCTATGTGCTGTAAGGACGCACTTAACGACGCACATACCGACCCGGAGAAAACGAGGTGATCGCGCTATACATGTCGTGCCTCATGTTTTGCCCATGTCTGCAGCTGCTCAGATGCACATGGTTCTGCTTGGTCGCCCGCTAATTACACCGCTGGGCTGTGCATTATCGATGAACAGCGGTGTGCGTACAGCACCCGCAGAGAGCACCCCGATTGAATGGTTGGCTGTCTGCGTGATTTTTATATGGCTGTGTAGCAGGACAATGCACGCAGTCATGTGGGCGGTGTGTGTATTCCTGGAAGATACGGTATACATAACCACGTTGCGATGCGATGAGATGGGCGCATATATACATGTATTGCAAGAGCCGCCTTGGAAGCTCACACCCGTAGTCATCCTCCGCGACTGTCTACTCCAACGATATGGACTCCATCGAATGGAAGCTGGAACGTCTCGCGGATGGGACGAAAAGATGGAGTATCATCATATCACAACAGCTTGTAGGAACCGTAAGTGGGCAAACCCCATGTATGCGTTCCTATCCACTCACGTGCTGCACTGCGTTGGATCAAGGGGAAGGGGAAGGCAGGCCGTGCGGCCTCGTCTGAGGTAGTACCTGAGCTGGAACCAGTGATACAACTTCCCGAGGTGGAAACCGAGGCCGATCGAGGTATGGGAGAATGTGATCAACCATCTGTGGGTTGACTGGGAAGCTTTGAGTGAGTGCAGCCTCGTCTGCCGAGCGTGGTACCCTCCAAGTCGCTTCCACTTGGATAGGTGGATTGGAATCTGGAGTGTCCAGGGTGTGAAGGCCTATGTGAAGAAGCTGAAGCAGAGGCCCGAGCTGCACGCACAGTATGAACATATTCGGCAATATTGTGATGTCAGATCCATCAGCGCTGTCGGCGGCGGCGATCATGCTTGCTCACAAGCTGCCCCAGCTGGAAACGCTCTCAATCCAGTGGTCAAAGTGGGAGCCATGGACGATGCACAGCGGCATCTTCCTGCAGCTCCCTGCCGCCTTCTCCGTCACTCGCCTCCTTCTCATTGAAGTCACATTCCCGTCTATCACTGTCTTTGGGTGCCTCGTCTGCGCCCTGCCATGCCTGGTCGAGCTCAAATGCTGCTATCTGACATTCACACATGACTACTTCCATGGTGATACATTTGGTCCATATTGCAATCGCGTCAACATCAGGTCCTTGTCATTCGAGGAAGATCATCTGCCACCTGAGAAACTCATCGACTTCCTTACTCATCCTTGCATCTCGAGTCGCTTGCAGAGACTCATCATCAATGATAAACGTCAACCGGCTGATGGAAAACAATGGAAATATCAGCGACTATTGGATGCTGCATCTACCTCACTCTCAGAACTGCGATTGGATCTTAAGGACACTACTGCAGGTGTGCACTCTAGTTTCATGTAAGCATTCCTGCTAACCAGAGTCTGTCCAGATCCTGTGTTGTCCTTCACTCACAACACCTCACTGCAGAGACTATGGCTAAACACTTTTGAGGGGTTTGCAGTTTCTAACAAGGATGAATTGTGTCAGTTATTACTTTCAATCAAATCAGGCCAGCTCCAAGAAATTGTGATATTGGTCAAGTGGCTTCCAAGCACACTCATACATGGGGTGCAGCGGGGGTTGCTCGAAATCGCTCGCAATAAAGAGATTGATAATTATCTTTCATCCGCCTCATTCAGGACACTGAAAAAAGTTGAATTTGCGCTGGATCATGGTGCTCTCGACCCCATTATGGCAGCTACAGCGGCCGAGGAGCAGTGGAAGCAGCAAATTGTGCCGTTATTCCCACGACTGACCGAACAGGGTATCTTCCGGTGAGTTTTACGTTTAGACTTATGCATTGACCTGTGTCACGATATTGGAACTGCAGCGCCACAGTGAGGAATAATGGGTAACAAAATAACTTTTGATCTTGCGGCCTCTACCTCGTCTCTCGGCCTATTCGAAGTGTCGTATGGCCCTGCACGCTCTTGGCTACACACCACGGTTTTTTCCACAATCCTACTCCATGTGCATCGCGCGCGAATGAATGACACATCCCATCATCCAGTTTCCCTCATACCGCCATCGCCATCCCGAAACTCAGACACTCCTCTTCTCTACCTCGTCTCCACCTTCTCCAAACCATCTGCGCCATGCGATCGCCCATCTCACGACTGCTACATCCCTCATTCATACACTCTCAAGTACACGATGTCTACTGGTTTCAACCCACAAGATCTCGGCAACGGCTAGGAGTCTTGGTCGGAGTTCTCCAAACGACGTCTTTCCGACCGTTTCGTCGTCTTCATGGTAATTGTGGTGACATTAATTCGATGGTCTAGTTCGAGGTCGCGGGAGGGTCTCTGACTTGAGTGAATGATTCCGTACGAGTACATCGAACCAGAAGGATCTCGAACAAAAGACTCCTCGGGGCGCAGGGGCTTGATATTCATTCGCGCTGCGATGCATGTTGCGACACTCACATATCTGCGATGCCTGGAAGCATAATGTCAAGATGCCGCATACGATGAATGGTAGCAGTACGACAGCGATCAGACAGCGCAAGTCGAATTCAACGCTATAGTTTTCCCAACAAGTACCTTCCAACGGCCGAACGCGCAAATGAACTTTCATGTCCTCCTTCCCTGCAACCTGCGGTTGCTCAGCCAACCCCCTCTCCCCCCTCCAGGCAACCTCGATCCTCATCTCTCCTCTATCCCGAACTCGACCGCATAATTGCTAAACAGCGCACGGCACGACTACCAGCGCCAGCCATCCTATCAGCACAGCACTCAAGCAACGACGCACATTCGGTCACCTCGACCATTGCGAGCACAAACTCACCCCCCAAGACAGACGCATGATCCGCTGATTTGCATGAACGTCATTGCGTGCCACCGGCGCTGGATCTCCTATGCACGCAGCGGGATCTTTTCTCCTTGAGCCAGCGCTCTGGCTGGAACTTCTTCACATCAAAGTCTTCACAGCGCGCGGATGAACGTTCATGGGGCGGTGACAATCTGGCCTGCGCAAACGAGACGATGTCGACGCACGGATATGGAAAGCTGCTTGCATGCGAGATGGAAAGAGGCGTGACGATGTATTCGATGACCTATCGAGCACCTTGTGAATGTGAGGGGCGGAGTCGCGCGAATGTAGGGAGCGGAATCCAAGGGCGGACCACGGCGTGTTCGACGACGTCGGAGATGCAATCGCAGCATATACGGGATGACGGCATCGAGGTACGCACGCGTGCGCGAGCTGTCGCGGGCGTCGAGTCGGTACCTCATCAAGTGAACGAATTGCTGACGTAGCCTGCGCTGGACGCCAGGCTGCTTGCAAAGCTCAATGGGCCCGATGAGGCACCACTGCATATCTTGTGGGTTTGAAATCAAGACAGCGGCGGAGGATCTCAACGAGAAGTCTTGCTGGAATACATGGATCAGGTAGGGGGCGTTGGAAGTGTCATGGATGGATCGGGGTCGTGTTGGCTCACTGGATGTTGTCGCGTACCCGGTACGTCTTAGGATCTTATCTACTGAAAGCACGAGATTATCGTTGTCCCACTGTTCATTTTTCGTTTGTAGTACGGAGGATTTGTTGCTCTTTGACTTGATTATTGCAATATACCCAAGTTCCGTTCATCACCGCTTGCATTAGGCTCATAAATCAGCCTTCATACGGAAGACAGTCGTTCCTTATACTCAGGCTGAGACTATCACGGGGGGTCCAGAGGGAAGACCCCCCGTGGGAATGCGGAGTTTCAACGTGCCGACGGCAATTCGACGCTCGAAGCTTTGGCGCTGGTCGGACATGCCACGTGATCGCATTGTGCAGAACGCGTCTGTAAAGGACATCTTGCGTAGATCGTGTATCTCTCGTGTATTTTAGCTATGTCGTCCCAAGAAACCAATGCCATACAGAGTATAAATCCAAGTGATGAAGAAGCAAGCAGAGAAATCCCCACCTTCCCTTCCTCTGCCCACCCAAGTAGCCCAAATGTGTGCAGCCCAACTCGACCGGCACTCTCGCTCTAGTAAATCAAGCCATCCATAGCTCTTTATTCCTGTGTGTGAATCCAGCAGAGATATTGTACCTGCTGTATAGAAAGTAGCTTGGTAGGGACAATGTATAACATGATGCCCCGCTCACCGAGTGCTTGAGCTGCAAGTAGAGGGGCCCAGAAGACTGTCATCTTGCCCTGACCCGGTGCAATAACTAGAAAGACCTCGCGCCCTTGAATGATGTCTAGTCCGTGTTTGATCTGAAATTCTCGAGGTTGCGAGATTCCACACTTTCGAGAGAACAGCTCAGCAAGCCATTCAGCATTGATTTGAGGGTCACCGAGAGAAGACTGAGCAGATTCAGACATATTTGCTACTTTAGACAGGACTTTGACCGTATGAATGTGTTAACGAATGTGCTAGCATTGAGTGACACGAGGAGTATGCAGGAAGACACGCTCAGCCTGAGGCGCGTCCTCTGGTCACGTGGTCGCGTTGTGGCGGTGGCGGTGGCATGTTCAAACTCAGCGTTCCCACGGGTACACTTCTCACTGGACCCCCTGGTGTTAGCTCGAGCCTAAGTCAGACGTACTCTCTAGAGGCGTTACAGGCATCGACTTCAGTCAAATCCATTCTCGACTCTCGACAAGGAGGACATGGCGGATGTGGTCAGTAGGCATAACATGCGGAGGATATGAGGGAGGAAGCAAGGTGTGATTTGTGGTGCATCGGTCACTTTCCGCGGTGAGACTGCGTTCATGCCATATAAAGCAATAAGGTGGTAGAGCCGGTGCCGGCAGCGCCCGCTACGACGAGCGCGGTTACTTTGCTAACCGGCGCTTCATGCGTTTCAAGCACTGAAAGCACTGAAATAGTAACACCGCCTGTCGTGTAATAAAATCTGCTCTTCATTACTGTGGTTTATCTTTTGGAGAGATGTGGCTTGAACAGGCTTGTTACTTTCTCAAATCATTTCGTTTGTCAGTCATCACCCTAGAATTCGAATTGTGTGCGCGCCATTTCCATAATGAGCAGCTAGTTTGGCCACTTTTCAGTAATAGAGGAGCTCGAATACGATGTGGAAACAGAGGTACATAAATTGACTACATGATCCCTCATCGTGCCACATACAGACGCACAGGGAAAGAGATCACGAGACATGACGAGCAATGGAGCGATCACTTCAGGGCAGACATGTGCCGCCGATCGCTAATTTTCGCGGAGAGCCTTGTGAGCTTCAAATCGACAAGACCCACTACTATCATAGCGGGAATATTTGGTGCATGGGTGAAGATGATGGCAAGCACAATTCGGCTGCAAACCTCCTACCCTTAGACATGCAAATAAATTGTGCATCAAAGGGGCCAATCTGGTCGACTCGAAATGACACTGGTCGGCGAAAGGGTTTCAATGAGTAATCTATACAAGGTTTGACATGACAACGACAACATAATTCAGATAGCAGTAAAGCATGTAGATAAGTGGTCCACCCAAGCCATCAATTTGCAGTAGCAGCCGGCGGAGGGAGACCAGCCAGGCGTGACCTTCTGTCGATGTAGCCTGTTCCGCAAGTGCACTTCATAGTTCCGCAGCGTCTCGCCTGGTCCAGGTGTGTAGAGCTGCTGCGCCCAGTGGATTAGGGCTACGAATCTGGTAAGTAACTCAAGCAACGCACCTTTCCAGGACAATAGGCGTGCTCAATTCTTCGAGTTCGGCACGCCAGTTCAGTTCGTCGACCTCAAATACCAAAGGGACGGCGATGCCGAGCAAATGCCGACAATTACATAAGCAAATGTGGCTGTTGAGATGTCCGGCAGTTAATTCTATCTTTGGGACATTCCTACATTTCTTGTGTGAATTGCGGCTTGTGTAAACCCGAAATTGCGATGCGGACATCCCTGAAAAGAAGACTGCACACCCACAATCTTCTCACGGTTTGTGGTGTCCAGCTGCAGACAACCTCGGCGGGGATCACAGTGACGAATGGCTGTGTATCTCACTCTCACAAAGTCACAACATAGATGAGGAACAATAATGACATGGACAGCAGCTACTGCATGGTCCTGCATATTGCTGTCATCAAATGTGCTGAGATAGTCTGTGTAATTATTGCTTGGAAGCATTTTAACATTCAGGCTAAGCAACTCTGTGCATACATGTTGCAATCCATGGTAAACCAGAGCACTAGGGAAGGTGCGACGGGAGATGGCAATAAAAATCGAGAAAATGTAAAGCAATCCTTCGGAAATAATCTCACCACTCCTGTTCCCTGCCTAGCGTTCCCACGAGCCACTTGGCTTACATAATACTCGGCATTTGCTCGGCATCGCCGTCCCCTCGGTATTTGAGGTCGACGAACTGAACTGGCGTGCCGAACTCTAAGAATTGAGCACGCCTAATCCAGACACTTGAGGCGGAACTCGAAGGGGTTGCCTTTTCGCTGTGTCACCTCAAATCTATCATCAGGGTATCTCGCCTGCATCTCCTTCATGGCATCCTTCAGCCATCGTGGCACGGAGATCTTTTCGTCTACAGTCAGTCTTGAAGGACGATTCCCCAGTATCAGTGGAACTTACCGGCTGTGATGAATTCGGAGGGGCAGAAGGACGAGCCGGTTGTGGAGATGCTGTAGGGGGCGCTGCAGAAAGTGCAGCTTGTTGTGGCTCTGCGTCAGGAGGAGCCGAGCGTGAATGCCCAGCGCCGTTCGTTCTAGCAATCCGTTGCGCGAGAGGCGACTCAGACGCACTAGACGCCGTCGAGACAGGCGAAGCCGCTTGATTCGAGTCGCTCGTTGTGGCGACGGTCTGCGGAGCAGGGGGCACGTCCACCCAAGTCTCGCTGTTGGGACGAACAGGTGTCGCTGGCTGCACTTCACCGTCGTCCTGCCCTCGTTTCGCCCGTTCGTCGACTGCCCAAGCTGGAGGATGCCTGCGCTTGGCGGCCACCCTCACTTGTTCAGCTTCCCTCACGAGGTTGAGATGATACTCAGCATCCGAGTTGTACTCGACTGGACGGGGCCGACGATGTCGATGCCAGAACTTGCCTGATGCAGGTCAGATAAGGAGATATAGCGAAAGGGGAAATTGGACTTACCACATGTGCCGCACTGCGACTTGTCACCGAGTGGACCCTTTCTACTGCCCACAGCTATGCTTTCTGGGCAACCACAGTTCGAGCAATGCCAAACCCCATATATCATATTCGGGTGCTGGCCATCTGCATATTCCTTCTCTTTGGCTTCTCGCTCGCGCTTCTTGAATATCTTCTGTGTCAAAACAACCCTCGCGCTCTTACTGTCAGGCGCAGCACTGCTGCTAGAGATAGGAATGTCGTTAGGCGTAATGGGAGTTATCGGCGTAAGAGGCGCAGCTGTGCCATTCTCTGAAACAACCATGTTGGCAATTGTAAGAGAAGCTGCTGCAGCCGCGGCGGTCTTGATGTGGGAGCGACAGTGACATTATTGATGGAGTATCCGCATCGATCAGCGCTGAGACCTACTCGAGCTCCATGGCAGCGCAACGCGCGCGCTGCAGTAATTGACTGGCTTTGACTCTCGAGCAGGGCTGCACTGTGACTTTGGACCTCAACGTTCTACCACGTTCGTAGTGCCGCTCTCTGGCGACTACGCGCTTGTATTATAAATAAACGGTCTATCTGTCATCGGCTAGGATTTCTTGTTCTCAGAGTTATACAACACCGAGCGTGCCGATTCTGCAATGCGCAGCACAATCATTCAGCTCGAGGAGCCTCCCCTGGCTGACAATTCGAGGAAATGATGTTATATTGACTATCATCGCCTTGATGGCGAGCACCGCGAATGGCCTTCCTCATGTTCATGGGCCCCTCAAATCACGGATGCCGCATATCAACATGGCCCTGTTCTTGCTATGCAGACACTGCGCTCGTAGGCAGGCGAAAGGGTGCTATATTCAGTATCTCCATGAGCACGCATAATGTAAGTCGTCCTTTGTCTTCTCCATTGCGGCCGATTCGCCGTCACACGCGTTGCCGTTCAGCTTCTCGCTGGCACCATCCATCCGCCATGCACGAGGTCATAGTCGCAATTTGCAGCACGAGCATACCTACTCGGCAAAATTTCTTTGGCTAACAACTCGAGGAATCGGCCGCTTTGTCGACTACCACTGCCTGGACGCTCGGTGCCTGAGATGGCTGTCCTTACCTGCAGACGCTCTTCGCGTTACGGGTGCGGCACGAATGCGGTGCATCTGACGAACAATGCTCCCTGTCAAACCTCGGGCTATGACTATGAGACGGCCTGTGACTATGGGATTGACGAGGCCCCTAGGTAGGACGCACATACTGACTTGGAGAAAATGGGATGATCATCATGCCATATGAATTATGTCATGCGTCGTCTTTTGCCCATGTCTGCGGCCGTTCAGATACGCATGGTCCCGCATCATCGACTGCTATTTATACCGCTGGGCTGTGCATTGTCAATGAACAGCCGGGTGCGTACGGCACCTGCAGCTGATCGAATGAATGGTTGTGTGTCCTGCGTGATATGATCATGCTGTGCAGCGCTTGCATTGCGGGGTAATGCACGCAGTCATGTGGGTGGTGTGTGGATTTCCTGGAAGACCCATATGGTATCAGAATCACGTTGCAATGAGATGAGGTGGATACATATATTGCAAGAGCCGGCTTGGAAACCCATACCTGTGACGCTCCTCCACTCCAACGTCATGGAATCCATCAAACGGAAACTGGCACGTCTCGCGGACAGGACGAAAATCAACTCACAACGGCTTGTACGAATCGTGAGTGGGCACTGACCCCATGTATGTGTTCCTAACCATTTACATACTGTGCTACGTTAGGTGAATGGCAAGGGTAAGACAGGCTATACGGCCTCATCTGACGTGGAACCAACCATGCCGCAGCTTCCGATCGAGGTGTGGGAGAACGTGATCGACCATCTGTGGGACGACGACCGTGCTTTGAGGCGGTGCATCCTTGTTTGCCGAACGTGGTATCCTCCCAGTCGCTTCCATCTTTACACGAGGATCACGATCAGGAGTGTCAAGGATGTGAAGGCGTATGCGAAGATGCTGAAGCAGACTCCCGAGCTGTCGGAGCGGGCGCACGATATGACAATAGTGGGCGATTGGGGGACAGATCGGTCCGCACTGTCGACGGCGGCGATCCTGCTCGCTCGCAAGCTGCCCCGATTGGAGCAGCTCCATATCGAGTACTCCGATTGGAACCCATGGACGATGCACAGCGACATCTTCCTGCTTCTCCCCGCCTTCTCCTCCATCAGTTGCCTCGATCTCCGTGATGTCACATTCCCGTCAATCACTGTCTTTGGGCACCTCGTCTGCGCACTGCCAGGTTTGGTCGAGCTCAAATGCTTCGATCTGAAGTTCACACATGACTACTTCCATCATGATACGTTCGGACCATATCACAACCGCGTCAACATCAGATCTTTATCACTCAAGGAAGACTATCACGAGACACCTGAGAAACTCACCGACTTCCTTGCTCATCCTTGCTTCTCGAGTCGCTTGCAGAGACTCATCATCGATGATTTATTTCATGTGGCTGAATCGCAACACCAATGGAAATGTCAGCGACTATTGAATGCCGCGTCTAGCTCACTCTCAGAACTGCGATTGAGTCTTGTATACTTTGGACAATTGGCACACAGCGAGGTGTCGACTGCAGGTGCGCACTCTTGTTTCATGTAAGCATTCTTGCTAACCACAGTCTCTCCAGATTCGGCGTTGTCCTTCACTCACAACACCTCGTTGCAGAGCCTATGGCTAGCATTTCCTGATCAGTTGGGAGTTTTCGACCTGGACACATTGTATCAAGTCTTGCTTTCAATCACGTCAGGCCAGCTCGAAGAAATTGTGATATTGTTCAAGTGGTCTCACAGCACTCAAATCAATGAAGCAAATTGGGAAGTGAAGAACTTGCTCAAGATTTATGAGTCTGTTCGCCACAAAGAGATTGATAATTATCTTTCGTCTGCCTCATTCAGTACGCTGAGCAAAGTTGAATTTGCACTTGAATGTTGTGATACTACCAGGCTCAGCCATAGTGGGGTAGATACAGTGGCCGAGGAGCAGTGGAAGCAGCAACTTCTGCCATTATTCCCACGACTGACCGAGCGAGGCATCTTGAGGTGGGTATTCCACAGTTTGCGCCTAGACTCATGCATTCATCCATGTCGCGATATTGGAACTGCAGCGCCACAATGAGGGAACCTGGGTATGGAGACAACTTTTGATCATTGCGGCCATTGTGGACCACGAAGATTTCTACCTCGTCTCTCCAGCTCCTCAAAGTGCCCACATTCAAGTTCCTGCACGTTCTTGGCTATCCGTCATCGTCTCTTCCACAATCCCCATACTTCATATACATCGCGCTCTACTGTATCACATATCTGCAAGTTCCCACATTCCAGTCGCTGCGTACCGCCATTGCCATCCTGAAAGTCAGACATTCCTTTTCTCCATCTCGTCTCTACCTCTTCCACACCGTGCGCTCCGCCAGTATGCGCTCATCCCACGATGCTACATCTCCAGTCCATATGCTCTCAAGGACACGCTGTCTGCTGGAATCGAGCCACAAGGTCTCAGTAGCGGCCACTCGACGTTCGCCGGAATTCTCCAAGATACATTTATCTGACCGTTTCATCATCTTCAGGCCAATGCCGGCGACACTCATTTTACGGGCTAGTTTGGAGTTGTGAGAGTCCCACACTTGGACGAGTGATTCGACACGGACTCAGCAGATCCATCGGATGCATACAAAGAATGTCAAGACGCTATATCACGCAACGACACGACAAGATCGGATGATACAAGTCTTGTTCTACCCGGCGGACACTCACAGGAGCCTTCATATTCTCCCGCCCTGTGACCCGCAGCTGTTAAATCAGCGCAGGACGACCTCAGTGCTCATCTGCCGCTCGTCGTTTAACTCGAACACATCAACCCCAATTAACACCCACAGCACGACTACCAGCGCCAGCCAACCCATCAGCACGGTCCTCAATAGACGACGCACACCCGCTCACCTTGACCATCGTGAGCACAAACCCACGCCCGAGGCATACGTGCGAACTGTCCATACGTGCGAACGTCAACGCGTACCGGTGGCCCTTGATATACTCCGTACGAAGCAGGATCCCGGCCGTCTTCAACTCAACGATCCAGCCAAAACTCCCTCACGTCAGGGCTCAACAGCGTGCAGACTATGTTCATGAAGGGGGTAGGGACGGTGGCGATCTGGTTTGCGCAGAAGGAGATGATGTCGACGCTCGGGCACGAAATGCCTCTCGCACGGGGAAATGGAAAGCGGAGTGACGGTATTGTCATGGCTTTGAGATGCAACATGATGCTGGTTCATTCGTCAATACATCAAACTGTGAAATCGACGGAGCGTTACGTATATAATTATCAAACGGACTCTCGCACGAATAGTCATATGCAGAGCGAGATTATTCCAGCGCATCCGCGGCCATTTGAAGCAATGTTTCCACTGCATCATGAGCCAAATATTGAAGCAACGCGACACATCTTGAGCCCATGAGAAGAAGCACGCCCTCCCGTGCTCATATCTTTCAAAATGGCGGAACGTACACAGTCGTTCTGCAGGTTCTTTGATTGCATACTCGACGAAACCGCACGTCTGCGAGACACATCCGAAGCCATCATTGTGTCCATTGATAGACCCTGATAAGATTCCAGCAGGAGTACATAGCGAGACCAAGGCCTGCGAGACGCACAATACTGAATCGAGGGTGTGTATCGCGAACGCAAACGCGCCACATGCACCCACAATTGGCAAAACGAGCGGATATCGTTCATATACTCCGGATGAGAGGATAGACAGAAGCACACCGGACAAAATTGTTACTATGTGATGCCGACCGCGAAAGAAAAGGTTATTCCTGGAGCCGATTTGGGGAGAGAATACCGTGCTATACCGTGGCCCAGCGTTGATGTCGTGTAGGTAAATCGTGAAGACGACGATGGAAGCCAGTGTTCGCCTGACGAAACGTCGGTTAAAATACAAGATATATCAAACGCTCCTTGAAGCAGCCTACACGACCGTGTAGCCCGTTCATTGATGACCTGCCACTGTTAAGAGAACTTTGGACGACGCGGCTCATCTAGCGCTATCATTAGCGAAGTTGGCTCGGATACAGCTTTGGCGTCCACAGACGCCGACGTAGATTACCCAGCGTAGTACAAAGCAACGATGATACGACGAACATTACTTAGTCCATCGCATAGCACCTGCAATTAGGAAACCTTCAACGAGGTCAATGAGTACGAGTGTCTCTTTGCATGTCGACCAACTATACGTACAGACACCCAATCCCGCCATTATCCGCTTCCCAACGATCGATCCTGGCTGGTGGGCGCGAGATTGGTTGAGTGCGTACACACCGACGCCGCCCAGCGCAGCCGTTCCAATTACTCGGCATGCCAGGCAGTCTTGATAACGAGCAGCAGGGTCGGCGTCTGTCTTATCTTTTGCCGCCACAGCAGAGAAGCTTGTAGCGAGAGTGGACGTTCCGGACATAACAGTAGTGAATCGCTATTCAACCACCCCGACCAGCGATGGTCTATGGTCACACAGCGTGCAGGTCGCAGAAGATGATGGTGAGAAAGACCAGCACTGAAATTGAAGCGCTCGACGCCACTAGCGGATTTCGTCGTCGGACACAACTCAACGGCAAACGGTCATGTGAAGGCACCCATACCTTCATATTCGCCTCACATGCTCATCGTTGCGCCTACACCACCATCATCATCGCCGACGTCTGAGGCCCTTGGAAGCCGCACCAGACGACTTCGACGGCAGCCATAACGCTCCCAGCGATACCTGTACATACCTGATGTTCTCTCGAAGCGCTATCCGCTCTCTGGCTTGTACTCGATCAAGAATCCTCAAATCGCATGGGTACGCGACTGTGTCGTCCCATCCTGATTCCAACTATGTGACAGTTGTCGAGGTCGGGCCGCGAGACGGTCTGCAGAACGAGAAAGCGGTCGTGCCGCCTTCCGTCAAGGCTGAACTGATCACTCGGCTGGGACATGCTGGGATGAAGGTCATCGAGGCAGGAAGCTTCGTGAGTCCTAAATGGATCCCGCAGGTGAGTTTATGGTCAGCTATACGCGCGTGGTGCAAGTCAACACGATGCTATCCTCCAAACTTCTGTACAAGCGTGCTAAATTTCTACAAGATGGCAGGCACGCCAGAAGTACTCATGAGTATGGAGCGGCTCCCTGGGAACCACTACCCAGTACTCGTACCCAACATGAAGGGTCTCGAGAACTTGTTTGCTCTGCTCGCAACAGAGAACCCGCCCTCCCCGCAGACTCCTCATCACGCTGACCCTTCTGTTGCTCCCTTGACGGACGAGATTGCGATATTCACAGCCGCGACGGACGCCTTCGCGAAAGCAAACACGAACTGCACTATTGTTGAATCGCTGGAGCGCCTCGAGAAGGTGACCGAACGCGCTCTTGCGAAGGGCCTGCGTGTCAGAGGGTACGCACCTTGTGCTTTGATAGCGCGCCAGAGTTGAGTCTGAATAGTTTGTCACAAAAGATACGTGAGCGTGGTCGTGATATGTCCGTACTCCGGCAGAGTAGATTATAGAAAAGTCAAGGAAGTCACACGGGCGTTGCTCGACATGGGCTGTTATGAAGTCAGCCTGGGAGACACTGTCGGAGCGGGAACACCAGCGGACATACGCGAGATGCTCGAAGTTGTCATGGGTGGTGACAGCAGCATTCCGGCCTCCAAGCTTGCTGTGAGTGTTCTCACTCCTTGTCAATGTCTGACAGTCACTGAGATGATTGTCATCTAGGGTCATTTCCACGATACATATGGGACCGGAGTAGCCAACGTGCTCACTGCACTGGACATGGGACTACGTACCGTCGATGCTGCTGTCGGTGGCCTCGGTGGATGTCCGTACTCTCCTGGTGCGACCGGTAACGTCGCGACCGAGGACGTGGTGTATGCGCTTCGCGGGAGCAAATATAAAACGTCAGGCGACTTCGAGGCGCTCGCACATGTGGGCGACTGGATTTCGACGAGGATTGGGAGAAGGAGTGAAAGCCGTGCCGGACGCGCCATTCTAGCGAAGAGGGAGCGAGAGCGTCTTGAGCATGACAAGGGGCGAGATGGCGGCTTGGCCGAGAGCATTTCTGCGAAGTTGTAGGACAGTACTGGTTCGTCCATTTGGAAGGGTTCGAACATGTAGGACTAATTTGTAGTTTATCACGGAGAAACTCTGTGCTATCGCATTCACTCGTCAGGATGGAAATTATTCGAGCCATTGGCAGCCTGCTTTGAAGCGCTTGAGCTGTTCAAACTTAACAACTTTTTTGGGATGCGGCATGGAAAACAATTTGACGGGTTTGAGCATACAAGAACGTGCGGCTTCGAGCGCTGTTACGGCCACAAGCAAGCGCCCATGCGGCAATTCCCGAATGACGCGTCCTGAGACTGAGACTGAGACGCGTAACACAGCGCTATCCGTGACTTCGTCTTCCACACTTTCATCGTACTCGACACTACACGCGACCATCATGGATATCTCTTTCGCTCTGACGGGGAAAGGTTATGTGATTGTGGCCGCAGACACCACGGCAGCGCGCTCGATTGTGAAAATGAAGTTGGATGAGGACAAGATCAAGGTCCTCAGTCCACACCTACTCATGGCGTACTCCGGCGAGCCCGGTGCGTTCTATAGCCCTCTGACATACATCACGTACTGAAGGAGTTTGCACGATTGTATGCAGGTGATACACTCCAATTTGCGGAGTACGTCGAGCGGAACATTCGTCTCTACCAAATCCGTAACGCGTATGCCCTTCGCCCACCTGCTGCTGCTGCGTGGATTCGCCGTGCACTCGCGGACTCGTTGAGGTCTCGAAAACCATATCAAGTGAATCTCCTCCTGGGCGGGTACGACACCAGCACACACACGCCGAATCTGTATTGGGTGGACTACCTCGGCACGCTCACGAGCGTTCCGTTCGGGGCACATGGTTATGGAAGCTACTTCGCACTCAGTTTGCTTGATAGGTAAGTGCCCAAGCTGTACATCGCCGATCGGAGGCAGTACGGCCTGCCTGTGCTTCCAGTAGTGCTACTGGAAGCGTAGCCTCGTGATGCACTGAATAACGTACGAACTGGACAGCTGATGTTTACCCACTGCAGATACCACGATCCGGAGGCCACTCTAGAGGAAGGCCTTGCTGCACTCCGCCGGTGCATAGACGAGGTGGCGAAGCGTTTGGTCGTCGCACCAGGGAGGTACAAGGTGAAGGTGGTCGACAAGGATGGTGTACGCGAGATCGAGCTGTAGCTGCGTTCCTTCCTCTATCTGTATTCCATAGTTACTCATGTTTTCGGTAAACGGACGGCCGTCGACCGAGCTGTGATTCCGGCCTCAGTATGCACGTGTGCGCCTCATTGCGCTGGCGAAGGGCATTGCTTCGGTATATATTCACCTAACATGCTTCCATTTCGATAGTCCTTCCCGTTCTCAACGGCCGCTGCATTCACCGTGTAACTCATGGGCTTCACACCAGTCATAGACGATGGACCGTTGCAGCCACTGCTCGAGGCTGTGGCCGTGAAGTTATCAACTCAGGTGTCATTGATGAGGTCTGTACATCCCTACTCTAATGTTGACGGTATGCTGATCGATCGTGCCCACAGTCCGAAACAGGTATACACTCATCTTATATCGTGTGAAATGACGCCAACTTTGAATACGCTACATGCACAGCTCAAGTTCCTGGAGACGACCTTCTTGTCGTGGCTCGCAACCGTAAGAAGCTCAACCAACATCAATCGCTTGCCTGTGGAGATACTCGAGCTCATATTTGCCCACGTCCCGGAACCATTCGAGCTATTTCCGGAGGAAAAGCATGCCAGTCCCTGGTCCTACGGAGTTCTCGACATTTGCCAGCTGGGTCCGGCAATGCTTGTGTGCCGGCACTGGCGGAACGTCATCATCGCAAACCAGGCACTATGGGGACACATCTCAAGCCAGCGTCAGCCAGCTCTGCAGAGGGTGTTGAGAGGGTCGGGGGTTAGCCCGTTGCACGTTGCCGTGAGCGGTGCCATCGGCAAGACGCTCAGCAGAACGTTTCGCGACACGCCTGCGCGCCTGCGCGAGCTGCATGTCCATGATGTCGACCTAACGGAGTTAGCGTCGTCTCTTACCTTCCCTGCTCCGGAACTGAGGAGCTTGACTATCAGCAAGACGTCCCACTGCGGATATGATAATCCAAATGATGCAAAGGCCTCTATCCTCTTTCAAGGAGCTGCGCCGGCGTTGCAGTTCCTGTGGCTTCGCGATGCCGATATATATCTCAACTTTCATCTTCCGAACCTCACTCACCTCACCCTCACCGCCTGCCACGGTGCCTCGAGACTTCTACCGTTCCTCTCGAACACTCCAAACCTAGTCCACCTAGCCATTTCCGAACCGGTGTCCGCGAGCATACCACAGCTTGAATCTCCGCCGATCTCTGAGTTGGTAGCACTCCCGAAGCTTCGTTGCTTCGCCCTGCACACGTCCAGAGATGTTTCCAAGGTGGGAGGACTGATCCTATCGCACCTCGTGCTCGGCGCCGATGTTGCTGCCTACATCAAATACGCAGCGAAGTGGCATCGCCCACATATACAGGCCTTATCCCGCTGGTCCGTTACGGCAAGCGTCACTCGAGTATCCGTCGTTGTGGGAGACTATGGGTACCAAGGCATTCGCATTCAAGCAGTTGGTCCTTCCGGCAGCATATGCCTCGAGCAGGGCGTTCTGGAGCAGGATACGTGGGTCGAGGATCTGACAACGCTCTTCTCTTCGGCGCACATACAGGAACTGTGGCTGTCGGAGAGATGGGAGGAGCAGCCCACGCCATTGCTGAAGACACTTCTGCGACGCGCTCCACATCTGGAGAGGCTTGTATTGAACGTCGAGCAAGTCGACGAGCTGGTGGATGCTCCGACCGTCGATGATCCGGTCTGTCTCGGTCGTTCCATCACATACGTCCTCCCTTTCGACGTCGTCCGGAGAGAGCTGGAGAAGAGCAAGCTGGTCCTGCAAAGACTAGTGGATGCGCGGGAGCGATTGCGCACGCCGGAGGTGACGTTAGTGTTCTGCGTGGACAACGATGAGGCCGAGCAGGATGCCCGCGCGATACTCGAAGGCTTCGAGACGCCCGTGCGATATGTCGTGACGCAGACCCCGCCCAGAATGACCATGCCGTCAACGTGTCCCGTGCCTGAATATCCCTGCCATGCATGGTCAATGCGGTCAAAGTGACGACATCAATCATAAAAATTATTAACATTCGTGGAGGTTGGTGAGTAGGGGTGGTAAATTGTCATTTTCGTCTCGAGGGCTGTTTTGAGCTGGATTATGCGAGTTGGCGCACGGTATTCGTTCCCCGGACGTTATGCTCCCGCTCTTCTGTTTATTGGCCTCCATCAGACATTTCAGTCCGTTTGGCGCTCTGGAATGCGTAATCGAGCAAGTGTGCGATTCATTCAACTATAGTTCTTGATGGAGCCGAAGGGCTCATGCTGCGTGTCACGTCCATTGGCGTAATTTTAAAGTGTGCTCGCGGTCATGATGCTGTTGTCCGGTGAATCGTGATATGCGTTCATTTCCAGGATAAGGAAAGGCGAGCAAAATCGTGTATGAAAGCTTTATTAACGATTCCGCGCATTTGATGCCAAGATACTGTGCGCCACGTCCGCGGGGTCTGCAAACGTGCGTAGCATTCGATCCTATCTGACAATGCGGAGGTATTTCGCGCATAAGGTCGTCTATATCGACGTGTGGGTTATCGCCGCCTATGGAGCCGCTTGATTTCGTAGAACACAGCTGCGATGTGTGCGATGAAAGCCTGTGGACTGAGTTGAGATCGGTACTGATCGTGAAGAACACGTGTATGCAGCGTTGTCTTGAAAAGGTGCGATGCTGCACCATAAATACATTTAGGCCACCCCTGCCCCTCTCTCCTTCAGCAACCACTGCGTTCTATCAGAGCACAAAGATGGCATCTAGCGTTGACGATTCACCACGGCAACCTCTTCTGGAAACTTTGGCTGCAAGGTTGTCTACAGAGATGGGTTCCATGAGGTGTGTCCGCATCGTTCAATCTCTCATTGGTGAGCCTTCTCACCGACGACATGCCCAGTTTGGAACAGGTGCGCATCTTTTATGGCTTTCCATATTGGTAAGGGTTGACGTAGTTCTCAATGCTGCAGTTGTTATCGTTGGAGGCAACCCTCTTGTCGTCCTTGGCGCAGGTCAGAGGCTCGATCAACATGACCGTGTCGCCGGCAAACCGTCTACCTGTGGAGATTCTTGCGCGCATTTTTGAACACGTGCCGAAGCTTGTCCCATTCCATCAATACAATACACGCTGGGGACATGGTGTCCGTGACTTTCGCACCCTACTGAAGGTCACGCATGTGTGCCGACGTTGGCGAGACATTGCACTGTCGATGCAAACCCTCTGGGGTCACATATCGAACGGTGACCGAGACCCCCGTGTCTGGCAAGAGATTCTGGAACGATCAGGAGACAAGGCCTTACATGTTTCCCTCAATCATTCCATCGACCAATCGCTTGCCACAATATTCGAGTCTTCACCTTCGCGTCTGGTCGAGCTACACCTTCATTTTTTCAGAGGTTGGATCTTAGCATCGTCTCTGAACTTTTCAGTTCCAAACTTGAGGAAACTGACCATTGAGGAGGCCTGCTTTTCACCTTATGTGCAGAATCGGAGCGGAGCTCCGACTATTTTCAAAGGGATCGCACCCACATTGCGATCTATGGAGCTCCGTGGGACTGACGTGTTCCCAAATCTTCGTTTACCAAATCTGACTCACCTCAGTCTGGACCACTGCTCCCGAACCAGCGGTTCTCAGACATTGCTATCGTTACTTTCAAGGGCCCCGAACCTGGTTCACCTCGTGATCTTCGATTCCGAACTCTACAATCACCCGCGGCCGGCACCCGAGGCCTTGACTCAATCCGTGCCCCTTTCGAAGCTTCGTCGACTAGATATATACACAGATGGGGAGTCATACAGTCATAGCTTCAAGGTTCTGCCGCGACTTACCTTCGATGCTGTCAATGAAGTCTGCATCAGATATATAGCCAAATGGCATCATCCTCATCTGCAGATTGTTTCCGGGTTGCCCGTTACAGCGAGCATCACTCGAGTATCTGTTGATGTGAAGGCTCTCCGCTGGTTCAGCAGACAACGCTTTCGTGTTTTGGGTGCTGGTCCTACTGGTAGCATATGCCTCGAGCAGCACGCTGTTGACCAGGACACATGGGCTGAGGACCTGTTGGAACTTTTCTGCCCGGCGCAGGTACAAGAGATATGGCTGTCGAAGAGATGGAGGCAATTACCGGAGCACACATTGGTCGCGCTGTTGCGATGCGCGCCAGACTTGAAAAAGCTCGTGTTGAACGTAGACCACGTCGACGAGCTGCTCGAGGTCCTGATGCTCAGCGATCGCCGTCTCGAGATGATATGTCCCAATCTTGAAACTCTACACATCCTCTCCTTCGACCTCACTCGCGAAATGATCGAGAAAGACAAGATGCTGCAGCAGAAGATAGCGGGTGTTGTGCAGCACTTGCATAACTCTGAATTGACCATAGTTTTCTATATCAATGGTGACCAGGCACACCAACAGGACGTTTTCATAATGCTCGAAGACTTCCGTTTCTCAGTGCAATATATTCTGACGAGGACCCCACCCAAGATGTCGATGCCGCCGTCGTGGCGTCCGCCAAGGTTTCCTTGCGACGGGTCGGTATGTGAGCTCGAGTCAGACGAGGATTCTGATTATTAGTTGACAAAAACGCATGGTCTATGAGTGCATGTAGTGCCACAAGGCCACCGTTGTATCCAAATCTTGTTTCACGGAATAAACTGTATGATGCGATTCTGCTGATAATTCCACACGTGGATGCTAGATTCCTGACTTGCACCCCTCGCGCAGGACACTTCAGCCCGTCTGGCTCTGTAAGCAGCTAATGAGCAGTGTGACCTACCATATTAAGAGTCATTGTGTCGCCCCGGAGCTTATGGTGAAATGGTGAACGCGGAGCTGTAAAAAATGTCGTAGAGACGGCATGCTTCTGGAGTGACGTCGCGATTCCGGGCGAAGAAATACTCACGGTGCTGCTCGTCGGGGAGTATTATAGTCGCGTCCGGCGTCTGCAACGCGGTCAACAGCTCAGCTCTGACACAATTGTCTCGTCTCTGCCGCTCCACTAACTTGACGATCGCGATATAGTCCAGATTTATTAGCACCGTCTAAAAGCGCAGCAGATGCTTGAACTCCTTTGGTCGCCATTCAGCGAGGAGGTCATCCGCACATCTTTCCGATGGCAATCAGCTCGCTGACGAGTTGAACGGCTTCCACGGAGCGTGAGTCTGGTATTCCCTTGACTGTTTATCGATGTCCGGATGGCCGGAAATCTGCTACTGTGCTTCATGGCCGCATCGGCACGAGAAGGACCATGGACCGACCTAGAAAGAACCGACTTCACTTACAAACAAGACCTGCCACTGTTCATTCATTGACGCGATCGTAGAACCTTTCGAGGTGCATTCTGGTGACGCGGTACGTTCCTCAGGATTATATTCGTTTTGAATCACGGTATGTTCCCGGGTTCATTACTATTTGAGCATGGTTGACAACGATCGCAACGTCGATGGCCATGGTGAAGCCGAAGAATTTCCTGATGTGGATGGGTTGTTCGACTTCTTCGACTAAGTGGATCGTGAAAAATCTTTGAGAGATGGCTCATCGCTGGGAAGAATTGGCATCGTTGCCGCGTCAGATTTCCCCCGTCACATAGTACTCGAGCTCTCTGCATTTGACGCGGTACAGTGATGGCGTATGCTTTTCCTGGGAACTCTGAGAATCTTGGCAGTTCATTGGTGTTCTAAGACCCTTCAGTGTTGGAGTCGCACCTCTAGGTTTCAGAAAATATGTCCTGTTAGTCGCCGCAATATACCTGAACGAATCTATGTCCTCCCAGATCCGGCTTGAAGATGGCGGAGAATGAACAATTTGAGCAGTGTACTTTCAACGGGTTTAACCGCAGGGGAAAGCGAGCTGTGACATACATATGACACAGAAGTGAGAGTTCAAGGAAGCTCTGAGGAGCAGGCGTAGTGCCGTTCCGTACAAAGTGTCAGCACATATGACGAGTGATGGCCGTGGAGGCATGCATCCCCCGTGATGCTTGCCCGGTAGTTGCGAGAATGCAAACAGGACGGTGCGGACTTACAGCTAGATAAAGACCGCAATTCTGTCGGAGCAGTCAATAACGCATGCGCCACTTGAGAAGGCGGTCTCGGACTGACGACATCAGTAAACCTCCGACTCGAGTCCCTGTTAGAGCTGGCGACGGCCCACTTGGTCATGAGGGTTAGGTGATCTGTGGAGTACAAACGCCCTGTATACGGTTTATACCCTCGACACGTGTGCAACAACACGCGCGCTCCTGCTAACCTTTTGATTCATTGCTCATAGGAAGCCTTGTTCAACGCTCCGAGAACCATCGGTACAAACTTCCTACCGACTTGCATATGCCACGCATTGGCAGTACCAGAGTACCTGTGCCGCACGGGATCCGGCTGCTGTGAGGAGATGGCGATTAAGAATTTTGAGAAGCTGACAATGGACAGTCACGAGGAACTGAGGATCGTCATCGTGTCGGACAACATCTCGACCACAATCGTACGAGGCGGCAGCTTTAGCGTCAATGTCAGCTCTGAATACGTTTGAACCTACTGCGGAAACGAAGTACGAAACGCCCACCTCGATGAAACAGGGGGGTTGCACGCTATATACAGAGCACTGTGAAATGCAGGACGGGCATCCACTTCAAATTGCTTCGAGGCAAAAATAGCCCGATAAATGTTTACGAGATGTACAGCATGTCCCCTAATGCTGCTCATGTGAGTAGAAGGTGCTATCAAGGGCGCAAGCTGCATGGTGAGGCGGTAGCGTTGAGCACAAGAAACATACAAGACGAGCATGTTCAGGCCAACAAAACAGACGGAGGCTTTGTTGACGCTTGTGACCACTCTCGTTCAGCGGAAGTAGCAAGGGACCAAAGGGACGTCCAGCTTTGACAACGAGTACAAAGTCGAGGAATGAAGCTTAGCATACAGAAGAATGGAACACTCACCTCTAAGATCATTCTAACAATATCAATTGACATATTCCCCGTGGGAACTGTCATTCAGATCCAGCACTATCCTCGCCACCGCTCCGCCGATGCTGGTATGAAGAGCAATCCGACCACGAAGACAAGGTAATTATCGTCCGCAAAGACGGTGAGCAGCGCAATCACTCAATTTGCGAGTTAGGAGCGCAACACACCCGGTAGCATTCATGTCTGTTCTATCAATTCAGATGCATTGGGCGCGGCGTGAGCCATTGGAGAAATACACAGCGTTTTGGCATCGTACGTTTGCCACGATAAGCAGCGTCTTTCTTTCAGGTAACGCTGCTTCTCTGCTGGCCTCGTATTCTCGGAGATGAATCTCGTCTTCCGAGTTATACTTGACCATGAAGAGTGGCGCGGGTCCCGTCTCCACGAATGATATAAAGGCTTGTCTAGCGAACGCCTCCGTCAGGCCATTCGCCAGCTAGTGTCCATTGCTCATCAGTCAGTGTCGTTCACCCATCTTCTATCCGTTATACTCACTTCTGCTTCGTCTATCAGGCCAGCTCTCCAGAACTATGTTCAACTTCAAGTTGTCAGCTTTCATCTCTGCCGCCCTCGCGCTTGCCTTTGCAGCGAAAAGGGCCAGTGCCGCCGAATCCTGCTCCTGTGCAACCCCGAATACTCCGGTCGGAATTATCAATGAGCCGATCACCAGGCAGTGTTGCGCGACTGCTGGAGGAGAATTGACCCTAGTCAGCACGTGCTTGTTCGAGTACCCGAACCATGCCTACGTCTATTTCTCTGAATGCTGCAGCGACGTGGAACAGGGTCGCGAGGGGTGGACTACTGCTTGCTTCAATGTGAACGACGACGAGGTTGGTCTCTGCATCATCTAACCTAGGTAACGCTGATCAGCTTCCGCAGTCTACTACTGACTGATGTCAGAGCGCGCATGCAGATCCGAGACGCTGCCGCATCCCTGTGTCTCGTAGTAGTACAGATCCTGCTCACCCGTCAGCTCCGCTGAATAACGTTGTCATCGTGTATGCTGTGCGTTCTCGCAAAGGACTCGCAGATTACTGGAAATTATTTCGGATCGATGAAGATTTTGATGGCCGTCGCATCTCTCGTCTGGACCTGTGCTCGAGAGAGAGCTGAAAGGGGCTCCCTTGACACGCATTGAGAATTGCCCAATCTCAAACAAGAAAGTGGTCTGATGGGTGCGTGTGAGCTATGGTGCTTACAGACGTATCGGCCATAACCATGTACGGACGTGTCGAGAGCGAGCGACTAACAGAGCCCGAACATGAGACCTGTGAATCACCGTTCGCTCATCAATGAGGCGAGGGAAGGCTTTTGCAGCATACTGTCTTTCAAATGTTGTAGTATGTATGAAGGCTGTTTTCTTGGGCTCAAGATACTTCAGCGCGGTTGCCGGCTGTGTCACCACGACTTTCACTATGAGGAGTGGAGAGCTCACGAACTTCCTGGTATTGAACCAATCCTCCACTAAGTGCGCCGTAAGAATTGTGAGAGCAGTAGCTCACCACCGCGTATGACCAATTTATTGCTAATCAGGCCCCAGGGCTTGAGAGTTTTTCGAGAATCATGTCGTGGACAAGACTGCTGTTATGAAGCTTGAATTTTCCAGATTACGAGCCGGAGACCATCATGATCCCGGTTAATAATGCGACATAAAGCCGTCCACGACGGTTTTCTGTCAGACTCGTAAATCGATTCCGTTAGCGCATGTTTTAAGTTGCCTTTCAGGAAAGGGAGAAGCTTACCTTCATCAATTTTGTAATATCTAGGTCCGCGAGCATCCAGTATTCACGTTATGGCCTGCCACAATTTCCATCAGTAGCACTGCAGTAGAGTCGACTAGCGATTTTGCCAAATCCGTTTTCTCATGCATTCATATTTGGGATCCCCAGTTGGTGCAACGTTTCGGTATCATGCAGAGAGGAGCGGCGGAGATAGAACCGAAATGGCTGTCACTTAGGACCATATTTCAATGGGTTCACCATGATCCAGCATCTGCGCTTTCGCGAGAGTGATGTTCAACCTGTAGCCGAGGTGCTCAGTCACATGCCAGCGGAAACCTGGCTCTAGACACTAGGTGTGGCCAAACAGAGTTCATAGACCTATTCGTTATATTATTCTTGGAGACTTGGTACAAATAGAGACTATCGCCGCGGAGTACACGTACAACTTCAGGCTTCATGATGCTCACGCCGAAGTGTTCTTAGCACGAGTCTTTGGCCGCACCGCACGTCTCGCTAAGTCGCCAGGCATCTGCTGAATACGTCTTCCCATAGGAATCTTGGTCGGACGCGGAGGCGACGCTGCCGGTGTCCCAGCCGTAGCCTTCGCCTGCTCGCCCGTCGGCTTCGCCTTCTTCACGAGCTCCTTCTTCTTCGCCTCCTTGGGCACCTTCGCAGTTGCGAATATGTACGTTGCCGCGTTCGTCGTGTCGACGAGCACGGGACGCGAAATCGACAGCCGTCGGATCGCCTTCTTCAGTACGGGCAGGCGTGACCTGTCCGGGCTACGGCTGCTCGGAGAGGTTTGCGGCGTTGGCACCGAACGCGGCTTGAGCGGTGTGCGGACAGCGTCGCTCTGCATGACGATTACGAGCTCTCCGTCTGAGCTGTCTTCCGTTTCCGGACGTGCCGGACGCTGGGGCGTGGGACTTGACGAGCGAGAGAAAGGGATTGGCGCAGATGAAGCAGACGATGAAGCCGACGGAGCCGATGAGAACGCTGCAGGAGATGTGGTGCCTGAAGATTCCTCCTCGATATACGGAAGCCGCGCGAAAGACGATAATATAGGATCAACATGCTCCTGTACAGGCCGTGCTGGTTCTTGAGAAGCATCACAATCCTTCGCACATTGGTTTTGGCTGATTGCGACGACCTCGATGCGCGCACGTTTAGACCTTGCTGAGATGTCACTTGTTGCGCTAGACCCAGACACCGACGCGCTCATACTCGCCCGGCTAATTCCTGCAACATACCGAGAGAACGAGGCAGAGATCGGGAACGATGCAGAGGAGCGCTGAGACTGCATCGAATGACTGGCACGGAACCGCTCACTCGCCAGTGGTGGAAGGTTCGGGTAAGCAGACGAAGAGGAAGAAGCAGAAACCTGAGCAGTAGACTCGCTTTGGACGGGTGGTGCAGCTGCGAGTGCTTCGTCGATGTCTGCCATAGAAGAGACCAGAGAGGACGCCAGAGTTTCCAGAGCCGAAGGAAGCGATGGCTGAGCAGCTGCAACCAAGAAAGGCCGAGTAGGTTCCCGATTGTCGTCAGGATCCGCCAGTGATGCATTCAACTGGATACCTCTGCGCTCAATTAGTTCCTTTAGGGCGCGCTTGCGAGCGTCGGGTAGCTCTTCTACGATGGATGAGATATCCGACGGCGACGGGGTTACCAGGTCTGCGCTACTCGTATCCTTTTTTGCCTTCCCCTTCCAGAACTTCGCCCTTTTCCTCCAGTTTCTCGCATCCTTTCTCGCAGTCAGTATGCACCTTATCTGTGCTTCGTAATCTGCCGGGGTCCTGGGCCCGATCACTGGCTCGAGCAACGCCGCCCACACACTGTCTGGATTTGAAACCGCCTCCTTGATCGCAGTTACCAGTGCGGCCTCCGGTTCGGCACCTTGATCCAGTGCGCTGTACGCTTGAGCGAGCACCGGCTTGTGAGCGCCTACGGCGATCATGAGCTCAATGAATTTGCGGTGGCGGAGGCGCTCGGCGGTGAGTGCCGTGTTCTCTGCTGCAAGGACTTGGACGCGATCGTCCGCCCCACCGCGAGCGATAGCAACATGCAGAGCCCGTTGAGTCTGGATGAGATGAGCGCGAAGAGAGGAGACTTCTGCGACTGCCTTCTCCAGTGTTTCCTGAGTGGCTTGAAGGGCAGTGCGTTCGGTCTGAAGGGCACTTTCAAGTGCGGGGACACGCCTATTGGATTTATACTGGAACTCGAGGGCAGCTTCAAGCTCCCGAATACGTTGAGTGAGCTCACTGAGCGGTGAGAAGCTATCCTCGCTGGGGACGGGCGCCGGATCGATGGGGAAGCGAGCGATTGACATAGGTATTGCCGGGATATATGGAGCGAATACCTCGGTGCCATGGGCCGTGGCGAGAACCAGCTCGTCGAGACCGTTAGCAGATCGGGGCCGTGGGGCCAAGGGAGCAACTGGATGGAAGTAGGTATCGCCGTCCGACCTGGCGCGACGGTGGAAGATGTGAGAGAGCCTAGGGAATCGCATAGTGAGGGGTTAGTACGATGGTGATGTCTATGAAAGTGGGTGCTATGGTGTAAGAGCGTAATGTATGGAGAGACGCTGTTTTAATGTATGGGGGTGCGGCTGACTGGGGCTGACCACGAACGTCAGGATGTCAGCGACTTGTCAGCCTCCGGGGACTGGCGAACTGAGGGCGACTGAGTCCTGCTAGGAGCTCCGCTACGTCCATCTGCATAGCTAACAGACGTAGCTGAAAAAACACATCATAGTCGCGGATTCGTGTGGCTGCATGATGGCTCAACGATGCGCTTCACAGCTCGCCGGTCCAATCCATGATGTTGCTGCGACACATCGAGAAAGTCGTTGCTGTAGTATCGACGGCGCAGCTCGCAAAGAGGGGAACAGCTAGAAAAGCTCGAAACGGAGAGCCTCCTTGCAAGTTCAAGGCGAAAGAGATCGGACGAAAACAGTGAGCGCTTGACCGAACCCGGGCAGGCGGCGCATTTGAGCGACCCTTGCTCACCCCCACTCCACATTTCCACTTATGGTAATACCAGTTATTTGTGCACGATAATGTACAGATTTGAAATGATAAGAGGCAAAAAGGTGAAATAGCCATTGCAAACGACCCGGCACATGACAAGTTTAGGGCAGACAAATGTGAACTTCCACGATCGTCTGGCGAAAAGAAAGTGAAAAGTAGCTGAAACTGACCAGGTTCGAACTTGCGACATACAAAATGAAATCGCGGTGGTAGCCACTAAGCTAAGTGACCACGATGATTGTGTTTCTAGTAATATATATCATAAATTATTTTAAGCCAATAATGTCCGTTATGAATATCATCAGTGAGTATCAACACACCCACTCCCCTCATGACAGAAGGTAAATATAGATGTGCTTATGCATTAGACTCATCAATATTATCTGGAAATAACAGTAGAGGCAGTTTAAGGTGGCTTGAGGTGCATGGATGGACCGAACACATTTTGATTGAATTTACACAGAACATATCATTTCCTTTTATGGGAATGTGGAGTGGGGGTGAGCTGGGTCCGCTGCGCATTTGCGAGTCGTGAGTCGTGACCAGCTCCATTTACCGTTTCACGCCCTAACGAAGCTCTTATGCTATGCCTAGTGCACTCGCGGTAAAGTATCATTGATGTTGTGGTTGCATATGCGATAATGCTAGTATGTTGAACAAGGATGATACGACGATGCGCCCAACTTGCTTTGAAGCCAGAGCCGGCGGTGAATGGTAATTGTACGATTTCCGAGCCAGACGGCTACCGGTAACATTTCGTTGGCGTATAGTATGCATGTACTTCCCGTTATGCGACGTGCCAGCGAGGAGTACGGATAAGTCCTCCACCCATCGTGACGAAACACCATCCACCGTCCATTACTCACGAGCCGACTCCAACAGAGCACGCAAGTCGATAACGTCGAAGAAGATGCTTGGATAACAGATGCGGAACAGATTGTCTCATGTTTTGCTTTCCTCCACAACGTCCATCGAAGAAATGAAACGAGATCTTCAAATATCGATGGCGTTTGTTGAACCTCAGAAAGTTGATCAGCGGTTACAAGAAGTCAAACAGGTGCGAGACAAGTTTCGAATCATAAGCCTACTATAAAGCATATCAGGTATATACGCCGTGATCCTTTATTAATACAGTAGTGAGAATATGTCATTGCATCGAGGCTGGCCTGCTCTGTGATTTCTCCTCTGTTTGCTGAATGCAGAATCTGTCTGAGTGGCAAGGTTCAAACACGGCCAAGAAGCAAGACTCACTGTATTACGAGCTCAGCGCTCAACGGTAGCGTTCAACGTCAATGTTCGTCAAACGAAGTGGTTGAACTTTGCCCAAACTTCGTGAACGGTCACGCGATATGCACGTGAACGCGATTGATATACGATCGCGAATACGCTGTGCCCCTCCTTGTGCACCAGCGGCACGGCGCAACTGTTTGGCCCGCATGATAACGACATGAAACATACACTTTATACTGAGGAGGAAGCGAACCATCATCCTAAGAAACAGAAACCTGATCAAAACGTACTGCAATGTCCTGAAGTTGCTGAGCACACCCACACAAAGGTCGGAGATTCTACAAAAAACGAGAAAGGTGAGTTCTCTGAAAGATGAATTGCTCTTATTCTGAAGCATTCCAAATGTGTAAGAGCTGTGCATGCTTCCATTCTATTCCACCAGTCTTCATTGGCAAGGACTGGACACGATAACAGATTTAATAGCCTTGTGAGTCGTCTGTTGAGTCCTGCATGTTTGGGCAACATTGGTACCTACTGTGGTGGCACATTTGACTCCAACCATTTGAGAGGGTGCGACACACTTCAAACGTTTTACATCCAGCAACCCGGGTGATATGACCTGTGGCGCAATGTCACTCAGCTAAAGGGAGAGTGCCCTGTGCATGTCATGTTGCGATGATCCTATAATGGCAGCCCGAGTGCTGTGATCTGCAACAATCGACTTTGTAGCAACTGCTAAGGATGCATGTGATGTTTGACAGTTGATACCAAATGTGTCGCTACAATATCATGCGCATGGTTACGGAACCCTGCATATAGCGGCCAAAGGTCCTGACCGTCTTGTTTTTCAGCGGTGACTCAACCACATACTATAGCGGCTGCAAGACATGGGTACGTGTGGAGACTTCTCTGCATCCTCTTTGCTAAATTATCAGCAATATAGCTTGGACACATTCTATCGGCTGTGAATAATCAAAGATGCAAGACGGGAAGTCCCGTCTGAATGCTTCTTGCTACTCGGTAGCTGGCAGCACTGTCGAAGATGACCTCGAATGCCAGCTTGAGAGGTTCTTTGAGCAATATCCTAAGAAGAAGACGCCAGATTCGAAACCGCCTTTGGACGCAAATAAATCGCTATATGGTGGGTTGGTCATCTCGAAGCTTTTTAGACGATCAATGCTCACTTCCATCCAGTCCTCTGGGTAGGAACTAATGATTGCGGGTATGTAGGAACATATCATAGATATTTTGCGACGCTGATCAATGGCTTGACCGTAGACAAGCCGACCCGTCAGACCTGGAAGATATTGTAGACAGTCTTTTCGCAAATGGTCTGGACGAGCTCTACGTGAAAGCTGGCGCTCGCAACTTTCTCCTCATTGACGTCCCACCGAACGAGCGCTCTCCAGCAGGTTCGTATCGTTCTGCTAGCCACCTATAGCTAACCTCATATATTGTGGTGTCATGCAGCTACGATCCTGTCCACCGACATATCTAAACAATACCTGATGTGGAATGAGCTACTGAACGAGCGGGCCAGGTTATTCGCACAAGAAAGCAAGAATGCGTCCGTCTTCTTGTTCTCAGCCAACGCAGTGATATCTGCGATCCTCGACGCTCCTGATGAGTATGGATTTGAAGAGGAGGATATATTTGAAGAAGGTGGTCCAATTTGGCTGGACGACATGCACCTAACGAGCGACGTTCACGCAATCATAGCAGAAAAACTGGAGAAAGCGTTGCATTCCGTGCCATGTGGCAGCGCATAGTTCATCGTCGTTGAATCCTGTAGCCAGAACGGCGAAATAAATTTTTGCGAGCTGCGCTGAGCACCGCGTCCAAAACAGTGTAACATGTGCACCTAAAATGTCGAAATCACATCAAACTTGACAGGCCACAAGCGCGGAATGAGGGTATGGAACGAGAAGAAGTATCGATCGCAGACTCCGATAGCGCAGTTGCGCAAAGCCTTGCCCTTCTTACTGCTCCAAGGCTTCTGGGGCTGTTTTGGCGTTACGCTCGCGTAATGCACTTTTCTCAGCATTGAGAGAAGTGGATGTCCCAGTAGAACTGGCGACTGTTTTCGACTGCTGTGAATCCTGGCCGACTTCCTCTTTCTTGAGCTTGGCAGGTCCATTCGACACCGTCCATGAGCGGCCTGCTAGACGTTGCGTGCGACGAGCATCCCATATCATGTATAGAATAGCCTCTGAAGTCGCAACCACGATGGCAACAAACAAGGCCAGGAGGACTTTCTGGTGCGTGGTCACAGACACAGCACACATTGAGAAAAGGCTTTAGAACCTACCCACTCGTCCTTCCAAGCTAGTCTTCCTGCCGCCCACCATGTTGCTACGCCAGCGCCCCCTATGCTCAGCAGCGCATTGATAACTGCAGTAACCATACGCCTGTCGCTGAGATCTCGCTGCGCTTGTTCATGCGGAGTAGATGCAGTTTGCACGGAAGGGAATTTACGGTCGGGAGAGGTGCGCGTACCGGCCAGCAGCGATACCATACTGTAGTCACTGGGCTGGAGAGGAGGGTCGTTCTCTCTTAGAGCCCTTTCGCCGTCAGCAGAGCGCGCCCAGGAAGAGATTGACGCGAGCAGTGGGTATGGGATCGTGCGAGACGATGCAGATGCCTCAGAATTGTCGGCATTAAGAACGGCGCTCAATTGCGAGGAAAGCGACGGAATCAGCGTAGGAGGTAGCTTCCGCAATGCCTCGAGGAGATGAGGCTCAAGCGATATGTTCAGTTCAGACGCAGTATCTAATTTCGACATGGTAGTCCGAAGGAAAGATGCGCGTCTGCCTGCGTCTGCGTTCTCGAGACTTCAGCGCTTCACCTTCAAAGCTTCATCTCCACTCTTTGCTCTCGCGCTCAAGGAATTGTGACTAGTCAACATAGAACTCAAACAGCGCTGCAGTCTTCTGGGGCCTCTTCTTGCTTATGTCGCATCAGCCTCAGGGCGTCTTGGAGACAGATGGAATTGTCGATCCTCTCATTCGGCGGGTGCACGATGTTCTTCGGACTTTTGACCGCGACTCCGTGCAATCTATCCTTGATCTGACCGATGCTTTGAATAAATGTTCAGTGTTACTTGCGAAGGATCAGAGTTACCGGTGCGTGCTTGATGTATTCCATCTGCTGAGTGAGCGTTGAAGTCATCTAGACATGTTGTAGGCGAGACCAACCCTTCGCTGCGGAAGCTCGTCCAGGAATTGTGGAAGACGTCTGCGGAGCTACACGCGGATGAGGATATAATATCGACGACACAGCTTGCTACGCTCTCACAGAGCCTTGCTAAATTCACCCGGAATCTAGTGGCTGCGGAACCACATAATCAACAGAGAGTATTGTCCGTGTTCGCCTCGTAGGTCCTTATGGACGCCACTGAGGAACCCACACAGTGAGAACGAACCTACCATCCGTGCGATGGCGTATCGATACACGTCTTACGCAGCCTTGCAAGAGCCGGCATGTCCGTCGTCCGCTCTGCTCATACCTATTGCGACTGAACTCAGTCACAGCCATTGCAAGCAGTCGAATGCTGGTACAAGCATTGTCAAATCTGGTGACAGGCAACGAGCCTCTTTTACAAAATATCTGGAAGATGTACTTGTCGCTACCGGAAGAACAGCTCATCCTCCTGTACGATCTCTAACATTAGTGCATCCATGTCCTTCTAACACAATCACAGGCGCCTCTTTGCTTCCCCTGACATGCGAACTGCCTCCTCCACGTTCATATTCATCTTGAATTGCATCCATGGAAACAGGGAACGTCTGTACGTCATGCTTGCATCTTTATAGTAACTTATCCCTCATCGACACATATAAGGGAAATGTTGATCCGCAGTCCGAGAGGCCCTCGCCTATGCATCTGTGTGCTCGACCGTATCAACTCTCTGGTAGATGCTGAAGAGGCCACAGACGGGGCCCATGCCTTCGACGTAGGGTATACTGACTGCTTCCTTTGCTATTTATGGCCTGCTAACCTCTGTCTCCGTCAGATACGAGGTGTTCTCTCTCATGGCGGAAGGCGGGCTCATCCCAGCCCTCTATACAACGATCGCTTTGTGAGCAGCTCTGATCGATTCTACCTCACGAGATGAATTTTAACGACGTCCATCGACCACGAACATTTCCAGAGAGGACGAGATTGTGACTCCGCACCAAACTACCCTACTCAAGCTTCTTGATTCCCATCTACAACGTCCCGGCTCAAATAGCCCATTAAATGCGACAGATCAGCTCGTTCGGAACGATCTCCTCCGCATGCTTACTGACGAATTCTTCGCCCTATCGGCATATGTTCAACGGACTATCCGCAAAGCGATGGGTCCAAAAGTCGATACCGATGGAGATAAGGATGCGGGTTGTGGTGGCGAAGCAGCTGCACCCAAACCACCTCAGGAACTGGACTTGTTGCTGCCGAAAGTCTGCGAGGCTCTGGTGCTAGTTACACAATGCCTGATATCACTCGCATTGCACGCTGAGGAACTCGCCGGTGCCCCTGTCGGCTCATCAGCTGACAGGGCGCAATCAGAGCAGGCTATGTCGTATACTGGCAGGGTGAAGAATCACTTGACGCAAGAGCGCTCGACCGGCGGCGAAGGACTGCCAGAAAGCATCGTTGGTGTGTCATCCTTGCAATCCACCTCCGCTGTATACGAGCGCTTACAATCATCGTAAGAAATTTTACGGTTAATAGATGTATTCGTTCCTCGGATCACCTTTGGCAAAGTAGTGCAGCGCCCTCTGCCTCCTGGGGCGACTGCACAGGACACCGCCGCTGAAGCTCATCCGTCCGCAGCTGCAGGCTTCTCATACGTCAAGCGCGACCTCGTCCGGCTACTCGGCATCCTCTGCTCGGAGAATAGGGACGTGCAGGATCGCGTGCGTGAAGCTGGAGGTATCCCTGTCGTGATGAACCTCTGCGTCATAGATGATCAGAACCCATGTAAGTCGAATTCTTATCATTCAGATAGAATGGAACATGCTGTTGAATGCTGTCTTGAATGTGCAGATTTGAAAGAACATGCCATCTTCACCTTACGCAACATTCTGCATGGAAACAAGGAGAATCAAGACGTCGTGAAGGAAATTCAGCCAGTCGGCCGGTGGGACGAGTACGGTGTATTGCAGAGTATTTAAGTCAGTAATGAATCGTCCCTATGTAGCGTTAGTACATCTGTAGCACAACACTACTCCTCTTCCTCGTCGAACCCGACAGCCCTCCTCTTACGCCCGCCGGATGTGGTACGACGGCGCACCCCAAACTCATCGTCCTCCTCCTCGCTTTCCACGTCCATGCCCTCCTCTCCTCGTCCCTCGTCCACAGCACCTTCTTCCTGCGACTTCCCACTCGATACCCTTTTTCGCTTGCGCTCCTCCTCTTCCTGGCGGTTGAGCTGCGCCTCGAGCCTCTCCAGGTCATCTTCTTCGCCTTCTTCTTCCTCCACCCGGCTGCGCCGCGTGCTCTTCCGTCTATTGGCCTCTTCATCTGACTCACCGTAAGCGTCGACTTCCTCGTCTGAGTCGGCAACAAGGAAATCGTCCGTCTGGTACTCCCCAGGCCCCTTCTTGCTGCTCTCCTCATGACCACCTGCCTTCCGCTTCCTCCCAACCCTCCCACTCGCACCCTCCTCGCCATACTCATCCTCCGACCGTCCACCAAACACGCCCTCTTCCTCGTCTTCCGACCACATATCTTCCCCCGAGCGCTTCCTCGTATAGCCTGTCCGCCTCCTGCGCGGACCGCCAAGCCCGTCGTCCTCGCCGCGCGGCTTGCGAGGTTTGCGCGCCGCCTGGCGCATCAGCTCGAGCTTCTCGCGCTCCGGGTCCATCGTCGGGTCCGGAGCCATGCGCAGCCGCGCGACTTTGTTGTGCTTCTGTCCTACCGCACGCACGAGCATGCGGTGCGTCTCGGACTGCATGCCCGTCGGGCGCAACGACATGTAGCCAGTGATGAGCGCCTCGCACTGCAGGATCTCGGCGCGCTTGTGCTGTGCGACGAGGTAGGTGAGGCCCTGCGACTTGCCGGGTGTGGTCTGCGAGGACGGGATGGCGGTCTGCGAAGGCTGTTGGCTGCTGCCGAAAGATTGGCGTGGAATGGCACCGGAAGTGTCGATTGTCTGTGTGATGTCAAAGAGCTCCTTGCCCAATTGCAGGCTGAGAGTCCCGTCAGACCAACGAACTATCCGGCTGTTTGATTGCCTCCTCTGTTTGTAAGCAAATGAATGACCATTAGATGAGCCCACCACACCCGCATGCGACTCACGTCCTGGCCATTCTTGTCTTTCACCCATCGCCATCGCACGGTATTCTCGACCTTGAGCTTGATAGTCATGCTCTTCTCACGCACGCTCTCGGCTTGCTGCGCTTCTTCGTCCTCTTGCTCAGGACCAATGTAGGTGTCGGGATGGAAAGGTTTTGAATCAACCTTGACGAAATTAGGCATGCGAATCACCCAATACTAAAGTACGATAAGGTTCGACAACATTGAAACCTAATCAGACAACAACTCACATTTCCATCCGAGCTTCGTGGGACAGGTATGTTGGGAATGGCAGCGTTCGCCTCGAGGACCTGTTCAACTATCGGCTCGCCGCCCTCTTCGTCCTCTTCCGCATACTCCATAGCCTCCCTATGCCTTCTTTCTGGTGAAGACAAGCCATCAAGGTGTTCGGCATGCTCCGACGATGCCGGGGTCGCGACCCTAGAGGAATGTTATGCATGAAACGGAACATAGTACTGCGTACTCACTCGTCGTGTGTGACAACGTGCACGTCGTTATCTTCAGCCTCACCGAAAAGGTCGTGCATGTCCTCGTCCTTGACGGTAACGTCTGTGTGGCCATTCTCGGAGCCCAGCGCTGGTTCACCCATTGCGACGTCGTCCAAGGGTGGCTGATACTTGGTTTCTTGCAGTGCCGAGGGCGGGTCCAGCGCACCAGCAAGAGAAGACATTTCGGTGGATGCGTGTGGAAGAGGGGAGATCAGAGTAGGATGTCGAGCTCAGATGTAGCAATCAAGGTGTGTTCAGACAGTACAAGCGCCCGACCACGCGTGGCCGCCACAACGGGCCGAGGCAATATAAAGTTACTTATTTGGCTCACTTTGTTCACTTATCGTAGCTTGCTGCCACCAAACTCGTAGAGGGCTCACTTGGGTTCACTTGGGGTTTTTCCCACGCTTCACTCGTTCACTTGTAGCTTATTGTACCTCGCTGCTCCTCGCACTGCTCTTCCTTGCTACATGTTGCCCTCCCTCACTTCGTTCTCGATTCCTCGTCGTCCATTATGGCAGCAGACCGATCGCGAGTATGACACACACAGCCTCGAGGCAGCATTTACGTGCATTTCCAGCTGTCCTCCGCTCTGTCACATCAGGGCTTTCCATTACATCAAGCCGTCATTGTAGTGACATATCGCCTTGACTCATATGGTGGTTGAGATTGTCTAGCTGCACGGTAAGCTGCGCGATTCATACCCAGACTTCAAGATGTCCTCCTTGCCTATCGCCTTAACACCCGCGCCACCGGAACGCAAGTCAGTGTTCCTGAGCATCTTCTTGCGATTGGCATCATCATCCTATCACCCTCCATCATAGCATCCGATCAATGATTAATGCCAGCTCGCGCCATCTCTCATTGAGGTCCACATGCCACCGGCAACACTACTATATAGTACATGTGGTGATTCCATTCGCTTTCGCTCATTTAGCTTCCCTCACGTTCTCTCACTTATGGTCACTTATGGTCACTTATGCTCGCGTATCCTGCGCGTATCATCACTTACACTCACGTATCGTCACTTGACAGCGCGTACGCTCACTTATGGCTGCATAGAGTTGGATTTATCCTCTATATTGAGCACTTGTTCTCCTGTAGCACACCATGCAGACACACACGCACCGGCTTGTTCAAGGCTTCTTCCGCTGGCACTTCCAGCCCTGCCACCCTTTCGACCTCGCTCCGGTCACCAGTCTAGCTCGCGATGTGAGTTATCACTGCGATGGGTCATGAACACTCACATTACAGTCAGGCCACCGCGAGACGAATCATCGCCAAAGGCTACGTAACTGTACATCAGCGTCGGCGCATCACGAGGCATGTAAACATGCCGAGGCGGCGAGCAGAAAACTGGGCAGTTTGACGGTGATGGCGGGCTAGGTAGGTGCATAACACAGCCTTGGAGTATTTACATAGTAGCTGTCTGAGTTCAATGTGGCCGATGCATAATGAATCAGCCAGTTAACAGAAGGGCTGGAGAGGGGCAAATCTAGAGGATTTACCGCGACTGCTGATGCCTATTTTGCCTGGCGGGGGCCTTGTTGGGGTCACTGAGACTTGCAGGGGTTCACTTTGGGTTCACTTTTGGTCACTTGTACTCACTTGCTCAGTGGGCAACATGCAGGAAGTGTCAAGTGAGCATAAGTGAGCATAAGTGAAGACAAGCGAGAATAAGCGCCCGACGTCGACAATTTCACTTGTGCTGCCAAAATAAGGTTCAAGTGAACCACAAGTAACTTTTGTAAGGGATAAGTGACTAAGTGAAGTGAAATTGTTAACCGTCGGGCCTTGAACCGCCGTTGTATACATACTTTGAATGACCATAAAGTTTTTGTAAATGGTAAGGTGAGCTTCCGTGAATGACGGTGGATGAACGACACTCACGCCGCGAATTCTAGTTATCCAATCTATCACGAAAGCTGTGACACCAGCTCATAAGCGATACGGGAAATCAGCTTCAACTGACATGCCTGACGCATTCAAAGTCTAGTTTATGGACTTTATGGTTCCCCTTCAATCTCTTATGCGCTTTTCTCAGAACGTCCTCTGAACATTTAACACTAAAGAGTACAGCGGGGATATGATGCGTCTAATGCACCATCTTTCAGCACCAAATCGCGGCGATACAGAGGCTCTTCTACACCGTCAATAACATGAAGATGCCAGAAGGGAAAAAAAGCTTACCTCGTTCGACTACGCAATTGTCTGTCAGAAAGCAGTCACTCTAGGCTCTGCAGGTGTTGTTCATGGGCTTCCAAAGCAAGCATGGAAAAGTAAGAAATGATCCTTCCCGGGTGGCCAGTCTGTTTACCGTCCCATAACTGTGAGCTCATCCGATAATTGTTTTGATTGAAAGACACTTTAAGAGTCGAATATCCCAGATGACGATCGCGAGTCGTTCCTTGGTTCAAGAGGTCTGCCCACAACCAGATCTCCCGCCGCCTGACTTTCTGATCCAGTATGCATGTTCTTCTTTCCCTATATTGCGCACATGAGCTGATCTGCGAAAAAATGCATCGAAACAGCGATCGTTTCACTACTCCTACGAACCGTCCCAGCCTTCCCAACTTGTTCATCATCGCCCACAAACTAAGCGCCCGTTTTGGACGCTCTCTGACTTCCTCGACTCGCTTCCCAAGCCGTTCTCATGGCACCTAAGGCTCCGTAGGTCGTTTTTCTCCCCAATCTCAGACGTCGATCGCGCATGTTGACACTATCTTACTCGCAGCGCAGAAGCGCGGGAGGTTGCCGATGGCATGCACGCTATGAACGTTGCCGGGCTCGAGAAGTACATAAACTCCGCACAAAAAGCGCTTGATAACGAGGCAGTGCAGCGCAAACGGTCAAACGCCATACCGAGGAGATTGAGTATTTGCACGACGTGCTCGCTGTCAGACCCGACGGACGAAGAGAAAATAGATCTCCTCGCTTTGAAAGTTTGTGCCTCGCAAACCGTGCGGCGGGATACCTGCTCGAATGATAGACAAGAGCTCAGGAAGGCATTGTTTGACGGGCAGGAAGCTGGCGAACTCGACCCAAGCTACGGCAAAGCGCTGCAGGTACTTCCGCCAGCGAAAGCCCATCAGATCCTCGGAGACCTTGTCGAAGGCTATAGATGTCTTAACTATGGCGTTACGCCAACAAGGCCTTGCCAGGGGCAAAGCCTCAATGACGCACTCTTTGGTGCATAGGCGGGTTCCCGGAAGCGATGAGGTGTTAAATATTACCTGTTCATCCCAATGTACATCTCATGGTGGCGCCTGGCAGCCGAAAGACTTGCGTGCCTTTTGTCGGCATGTGTCGTCAATAAGGACAGAGGCCGACGTTCGAGGGACCTCGTTGATAACGACTCCACCTCAAATTTATGGCCAGGTGTTTAAACGAGTAGTGCTGTTTAAAGGACCGGTTGTATACTGTACCATGGCTCGTCACACCGCAGACATGAAAGCATTTGTTCTTGTTATTAAATGACACTAAATTGTAATTGATTGCCTTTTTGGGAAATGAAGTTGCCTGATTAAAGCATAGCATTGCATAGGTCACACTCTAGAACACATTTTCAGAGCATTTGCAATGGGAACAAATGCCTTCATGTCTGCGGTGTCACCTTCTGTCGCAAGGTGTGCCGCCGGCGATAGCCGGCGCTTCTCGTAGCGGCAACCAGAAAATGCAAATACCTGCAAATATGTACAAATCGCTCGACTCGATGCCCTTATCACCATCCACTCGCTGTTCGTTATGACGACAACTTTGAATATACCTGTTGCTATTGTTGACTTCTTCAAAGATGGCAGTGACCCATTCCTCCACCCAAATGTCCTTCGGGTATCCATCAATCCTGAAGAGGCAACCATAAACGATATTGTTGACGAGGTCGCTAAAGACCAGAAAGTTTCAACATCAGATGTCACCTTATGGAAGGTTTGTCACCAATGTATTCCCACCTATCGCGTTCGCTAATGCCTGCACCAGCCGAAGGAATTGCTCAACCAGCGGGACAGAGGAAGGCTCTCCCAGCTCCTTAATGACAATGACAATGAACTCGGACGCCTCTGCGACAATATTACAGACAAAGGCGAGGAACGCTGCAGCGACGAGCTTTCTCTTGGCGGGTTACCGCGTAGTGCCAAGCTCCCCCTTCTTGTGGCGCGAATCGACAAAGAGGCAGAGAATCAGACGTCGAAGAGAAAGAGGAAGGATCTGGTTGATGATGCAGAAATGGATGAGGGCCGTGATGAGGTATCACCATTGACCAAGCGTACGTCACATTGAACTGTCGTTCTCACCAAACACCCTGATGTCATCGTGCAGGTTTCAAGAAAACGATCAGCACAGGATTACCTAGCCCGTCCGTTGCTGCAGTGCAAACCACTGCCGAAATCGAGGAGGCTAGAGATTTTCCTACGGAGCTTCCTGCAATACAGCGTAAGCTCGCTGCATCATCGTCCAACTGACGGAGTTCTAATCTGATTTCAGGTCGCAATGAATACCTTTCGACTGTCGAAAAACTCGGGAGCGTCTCCGTTAATAGTCCCGCAGACATTGCGAAGATGCACAAACTCTTATTCGACGGCCGGGCTTTGAAAGATGACGGTCAATATGGCCTGCCTGTGGCGCTCTATCATCCGGCCTTGGCTGCTTTGCAACATCAATTCGAGACGCTTGATTTGCAAATCAAGCAGGCTCGGATGCCGAAAGTCAATGAAGGAGAATTACCTGATGGATTCGTCCGACTCGACAGCGAATTATTCAACGCATCCGCGAGGTATTTCACCAAATCGCGCGTCTTTTATCAGAAGGAATGGGATCGGTGGGCATCCGCAGTGAGACCATTTTGTGAATGTATTTTTGGATTGGACGACCTTGAGGAGCAGAAGGTCAACGAGGATGCAGAGGAACCGGAGACAGAGAAAGGAAGTTCGAGCAAGAAGAACAAAGGTGAGAATGATAGCAAGAACAAGGGAAAGATTTCGAGGGGCACGAGATTAGCGGATGCTGTCTGGAAGTACTATCTCGTCCTGGAGCTTAAGAATGAATATGGGGTGGGCGGCAATCCGACCCTTCAGGGCACTTACTGGTATGCGAAAAGCTTATTCGGCCTCAAGGTCCGCAGGTATTCTTCTCTGTGGGTTTCTTGCTCGCTGACGTAGCGGTCGAATAGGAGAAATTCAAAAACACCAAGTTCCCCTATATTATTCTCGGCATCGCGGGCACCGTGCTCGAAGTTTCCATAGCGGTATGCCTGGAGAAGATCCTTGTGGACAAAATCCTTCATTTCGAGATTCACGATGGTGACGACGACGACGAGACGATCACCAAGCTGGCCTTGATTGTTTCGGCACTGAAAGGCTGTGCGCGCGAGCTTGGGATCGAATTTCACCGTCTCGAGAAAGCGACCGCTGGCGACGGCCCACCTGAAAACGAGACGTGGCACTTACCTCGTCCATCCGCCGTTCCTTCCCCGAACTTTCCGATGCCGGCGTTGAAGTTCAAATCGAAGCTAAGCCGAGAGAACAGGGCAATTGTATTGGAACGAGATGAACCGAACATGCGTCCGCTCTTCCTTGCCGACTACACGCACGAAGGATCATCATCAGCGGTGGAGACGGTGGTCAAGTTTCCAGTCACGTACAACAAGGATGCGCATAGGATGCTGGCGGACAAAAACTACGCGCCGAAGCTATACACCGGCGTACCCGTGATCGGTGGACGAGAAATGGTCGTCATGGAGCGCGTGTATGGAAAGCGGATGTGCGACTATCCCCGAAACAGCCTTCCAAACAGCGTATTCGAGGACATCAAAGGAGCTTTAGAGATCTTGCATGATCTCAAGCTCGTGTTCGGTGATCTCCGCGATACAAATATTATGATTGTTGAAGGCGACGGCGAAGGCAAGACTAAAGTCAGGGCAACGCTCATTGACTTCGATTGGGTCGGTGAAGACGGGAGAGCCTCCTATCCAGCTCTGATAAACATGAAACTCGTTGGCACGGAGTATGACTCCGACGTCCGTGCGCGGGGGCTCATGCGAAAGCAGCACGACAAGTCGGCTCTCGATTTCCTCCGTAAGAAGTACCGTGTTAAAGGGATGGAGGAGGGCGAGAAAGCACCGGAATAAGTACGTTTCATGTCTGCTTAGCCTGGTTGCCACAATTCTGTCTTTTCTACCATCATACTTTACTCCCCATCTCGTTCGATAGCAATTCGCATGACGTGAACAGTACATAAATACATGCAACTTTTCCACCTCATCAGCTCTGGCTTATTGCCTCCAGGAAGTCCAAGTTGGCTAATGTCCGGCACGACGATGAATGTGTCTGTGAACACAAATTTGTCACCTGCCTTTGCTGATCTGCCCACAATCTGGCAGATCTCCCGCCGCCTGACTTTCTGCTCCAGTATGCACGTCCTTCTTTCCCTATATTGCGCACATGAGCTGACCTGCGAAAAGGTGCGTCAAAACATCAATCGCCTCACTACTGCCTACGAATCGTCCCAGCCTTCCCAACTTGTTCATCATCATCCCCAAACTATGCCATCACTTGGACGCTTTCTGACCTTTCCATAGCTCGCTCCCAAGCCGTTCTCCTGGAGCTTCGAGACTCCGTAGGTCGTTTCTCTAACCATTCCTAAACGTTAAACAAAGTTGACACTATCTTGCTTTCAGCGACGAAGCGCAGGAAGTTGTCGAGGCGTACACGCTATGAACGTCGCCGGTTCGAGAAGTACATAAAATCCGCACAAAAAGCGCTTGGTAACGAGGCAGTGCAGCGCAATCACCGCTCAGATACGATCAAACGCCATACCGAGAAGATTGAGTATTTGCACGACGTGCTCGCGTCAGGTTCGACGGACGAAGAGAAAAACAAATGCTCCCTTTGAAAAATGTGTGCCATGCGGATTGTGCGGCGGGATACCTGTTGAAGCACGGGCAAGACCTCAAGCAGGCATTGTTTGACGGGCAGGAAGCCAGCGGGCTCGACGCAAGCTACGGCAAAGTGTGAGTGCCTGGTGGGTTTCCAGAGCGCTGCAGGTACTACCGCCAGGCGAAAGTCCGTCAGATCCTCGGAGACCACCGAAGGCTATAGATGTCCTAACCACGGCCCTATGCCAACAAGGCATTGCCAGGGGCAAAGCCTCAATGACGCGCTCTTGGGTGCATGCGGCGGATTCTCGGAAGCAGTGAACATTACATATTACCTGTGCTTCCGAATGTACATCTCATGGTGGCACCTGGCAGTCGAAAGACTTGCGTACCTTTTGTGGGCATGTGTCGTCAATAAGGACAGAGACCGACGTTCGACGACTCGGGACCTCGTTGAGTACGAGCGCCGGGCGGATGCGCATGTGAAGGGAATTCTTGGACCACCACCGCCGAGAATCCGACTTCGACACCGTCTGCAACATGCGCAGATAGTTTTCTCTCCGATTCGCGATCTTGGTTCTCGAGGCCTTCCTACAGTACTTGACATCACGCAATTCTGTAAGCATACTGCCAGGGAACAAAGTAAGAGCATCTGATAAATTCTACACAACGATGACAACAACGGGACTACACTGTTCTTACGCGCACCGCTCCGGAGAATCCGCTATCCTCCATCCACCGGTTCGAATCAGTCAGTTGGACAGCACGTCGATTTTCTCCTCCTGCAGCGCGGGCGCGGGGGGTGCTACGTGCGACCCATCCGTGATATCCTCGCGCACGGCCTTGCCCTGCTGGTTCTTGAAGAAGACGATGTCGCCCTTGGACTCGATGAACTTGCACTGCGTAAATGAGCGCCACAGAGCGTAGAACGTAGGCTGCAGAGCAGAGTTCTAGCACGGAAATAGCAGCATGTACGATTAAATGGCATACCGTCGTGTCATAGTAATAGTATTCGCCGAGCACAGGCTTGATGGCCTCTGTCACCTGAGGCAGGTTGTCTGACAAGGGGAGAATGATTGTCAGCTATCTCGTTGCCAAACCTAGAAGAAATGAAAAGAACGCACAGAATGGCACCGTTACGAAGAAGTGGTGCGCCACATGGTCATGAGCGATCTGTGATAGAATTTGACCTCAACATCCCGACTGGTGTGTCTCGCTCAGGATAGCTTACACCGTGCCAGAAGAACCGTCCAACCCAGCCAAACATAGGCCTGTCCACGGTCGCCAGCGCGCCCCGAAGGAATGTCCACTGGTTCTATAAACGAATTTCTGTCAGTCCGTCACTGTATGATTCGTTAATATAAGGCACGCACGCGGTAATACGGTACCGTCGGGTCACTGTGCTGCAGGTACGTGATTGTAACGATCCTGCAATTATCTCAGAAATCTTATACAGGTCGGTGGAAATGCTCCTCCTCCACTTACCAGCTGTGCGCGAACTAGTAATAGGACCAAGTCAACGCCAGAACCTGAAGGAGACAATAGAAAGCTTACGAGCCACGGGACGAAGTACAGCCTCCAAACGTTGTTGAAGCTGGTGGTGTGGATCCAAAGGCCAAGTAGGCCCACCATGATCGCCATTGCAACATCCGATATAGCAATGAGGTGGCCTGCGAAATCGTCAGACCGATACATGATTCACAGCCGAGCGCTTCACGTACGTTCTTCCGGGCGGAAAAGCTGCGCATTTGGATTGTAGTGCTACATTATCCCAGACTGAGCACAATCCCATCGGGCAGCAAGCACACAAGAGACTCACGCTAGTCCAAGGCGGGTACTTCGGGTTGCCCTTGCGGTTGTGGCTGCACAAGAACACCGCTCAGCATCGGATCTGTAAACACAACTCTGGGAAGCGGAAGCCTACATCAGATAGAGTTGGAAACCTCTGCGAAAGATAATCAACGTCAACATCAAACGCCAACAACATATCCCCATATGTAATGAAATACCCACAAGAACTGCCGGATGAGCATCTTGTAGAGGGTGTACAGCGGTGTCTCCTCGACGAGCTCATGATAGTCCATCGGCCTCGCGATGTGCTCCTCAGGCAAGTGGAAGTCCTCGCGGCTGGGCGGGTGGTAGGTCTCGTCTCGGGCCAAACTATTGGTACCTTTCTAAGGTGGAAACATCACAGCGTTGAGTTGTGTTCTTCGAGCCAAAGGAAGCACGTACGTGATGGGAGCGATGCGTCGCACGCCAGGCGTAGTACGGGGTCAGCATGAAGGTGTGCATTATCATGCCGAGAACCGCGTTGGCCATGTTGCTCCCGGCCAGAGCGTCATGGCCACACTGAACTATCGTCAGCGCTCGCCGAAGTCGACGGCATATGGACTGACCTCGTGCCCTGGAAGCAAGGCGTTAATGGTTAATACGAGCCACCAGTGAGGTTCATCGAACGTACCAAGAGTCCAAACGCCCGTAAACGTCACACTCTCCCACAACCAGTAGAACGACCACATTGCGTAGCTCAGTGCCGTGACAGCCCTGCTGGGAAGCTCATAGCTCGCTGCAACATGGTGGACGATCGAATCGATCTTTGTCGCAAAGACAAAGAGTGCCACAGCGATCGAGAGGTGCCGGACAACGTAGAAGACTGCCTTGGAGGTGCTGCGCTGGAAGAGATGCTTAGGAACGGCAGCGTGGACGTCCTTGATGGTGATGTTTGGTGGCGTGAAGGTCGCCTTCTTGCGCGCCTCATACTCGGGCGAGTCCTTGAACAGAGCCACCATGATGGCCTCGAGAACTGTCTGTGCGGTATGGAAGAGGGAGAAGCCCGAGCAATCACCCTGGCCGGGGCTTCTTATGTATCGGACATGTCTCCCAATGCGGATCTATGCTATGCGAGTTGCGGGATCAGAGAAGACTAGACGGGGTATGCCTGTGAGAACAATCCTTGATTAAGAGTTACCATAGGAAGACGGAGCCAGGAACCCCATGGACATACCGTCTAGACGGGGACAAGATAATCATGAGAATGTCACAAGCGCTATGGAGGGTCGTTGAAACGATGATCCCACCAGCTCAGATTGGACTTCCATCAGACTGGCCAACCGGCATCCCACAACTCTTGGACGACTCTGGGCGTAAAAACACGCCTTTGGGTGAGTACCCCCTCCAGAAACGACCAGCCTTGCGGCGCTGCAGGGCCAGAACTCCTCTAAGCATCGGATGCCACCTTCTTTACCTCCATATGCGGTCGCGCCGCACGACTATCAACGCGAGGTCGACGCAGAAGCACAGCAGATGGATAAATTGCAACAAAGAATTCTGTAGACTTGAAGCGTGGTCATGCCTCGTGTCTTGGTTCTGCCTAAATGCCGGCGGCCGCGAGGCTCCGGAGAATCACTCGGACGCCGTGGTAGTGCGAAGATTTTGTCACAGAAGATTGCGACCTTGCGTGATCTCGAGGTGATAGTTGAAGTTTCGCTGTGGCCAGCCATTGGGATGCCACACTTGCAATCGCGCTCGTGCTTGTATACTGGAGGTCCAGAAATTCTGGCCTTCAACATGATTTTGCCTGATAAGCGCTGTTCTGATGGCATCCTGGACAGCTGTAAAGAAGAGAAAATTTATGCACAAGCGTGTTTTGCATGATCAAAGAAAGAAAGCGGCGCGCAAGTTCTACGAGACGCGATCCATTTTAGTAGTATCGTACTATCTCGAAGCGCCCAGCCCCAACACACGGTACACTGCCCTTCAATTTGACAATCATCAGGACTACAAATCTTCATAGCGACGGCAGACAATCTTCTCTACATTCCTCTCATGGCTATGATGCAGGAAGGGCTCTACATATGCGGCATTAACAATCTTATCGAGGCTATTCCGGGGATGCGTCCCATTTGATCCATGGAGTAAGCCACAAACTGGGCTTTCGTTCTCGAGCAGAATACATGCAGCAGTAACCAGTTGACTGATCGCATGAATATCAAACCCATGCTTCGTCCGCGTCAAGCGGTCGGTGTCCGTTTCTCAATCCACTCAAACATCCGGTGAAGCCTGTTCCAGGTCTCGCTGTCGCGCTCCACAAGCGCTCGCAGCCGCTCGATGGAATACGGCAAGGAGGGATCCAACCGCACCGCCCAGACGATGTAGGATCTGCGTGCGTTCCGAGCGGACGAGGTGTCAGCAGGATAACGTTAGACGGTTGAACGGATGGACGCACACTGCTTTCAGTGGTAGGACGCTGAAGGCAGCACAGATTTCCTCGATCGGCCTGTCTTGATGGTGCCAGAGGATGTACGCCTGCATCCATTCTTTTCGCACCGCGTTTGGTGAGAGTGCGTTGAGGTCCATGGTCTGAGGGTGCACGATGCTCTTCGGGTAGACCTTCGGCAGAGGCACCGACTGAGTCTCGATGGTTGCGATTTCTGTGGCAGCGATCGTGATCTCGGCGCCCTGAATTGCTACGTCTTCCAACGAAACGTCAAACTCATCCTCTACCGTATCATTTGCAGGCTCGTGCTCCTGCCCCTGTGTCTTTACAGAGATCAGAGTCTGTACTTCTTTGAGCCCGCTTCTTTCAATCTGACTCTCCTGGCTCTCTTGACTCTCGACTACCGATCTCGCCTCCGGGGCCATTGCCTCAAGGCGTTTGTACACCATGAGCCCGCTATGCGCGTCATTCGCCGCATCTTTGGCAGTCCGCCTTAATTAGAAGCATGGCACCTCATGAGCAGCGGGCAGACGCACATGTTATTTGCTCATCTGTCAGCGGGACGCTCTCCCAATTCGACATACGCACCGGGCCCTTGTCGAGCATCTTACCGATATACCGCTCTACCATCGCCGCAAGACTGGCGCTCTTGCGGGGGTGTTGCGTCCGGAAATCTGGGTCTACTTCGTATGCGAAGGCAGGCAGGTCAACCAGGTTCCCAGCCTCGATGCCGAAGTCCTGAAGGAGCTTCGTCCCGTCATCTGAACGCAAGATAAGAGGTTATAATATGAGACTCTCCAATCACTCACTCTTGATTCTGACGCCGACTTTCGGGATGTCGGGGGACTTGAGGATTTCCTGGAAGGTTGTCACGCATCGTGAATAGGAATTGCTTACCTTACACTCACCTGGACCTTCTGTGGAACTCCTGCGCTCGATCAGAGGATATGATGCCAGAACATGAAAGTATGGCTTACCATCCATCTGGCTCAAATGTATGAGCATAATGATTTGTTCGTCGCATAGCTGAAGCAACGCAGTGGGGAAGGATCTGAAAGGATTAAACCGGACCTTCCACTCCATGTCAAAGCCGAGCGGTCTGCCATAGATTGAAGTCACGCTATCGGCCTTCAAGACTGAGCCTGTGCTCAATAGCACGTACGTACCCTTTGAGCATCTGGACGAGGTCGTTGGCCTCGTCTTCGTTATACGTGTACGCGATAGTGGGCTCGGGCTCGTAGTCTTTATAAGAATAGAACGAGTCGGGCTCTTCTTCGACATCGGGCTCTTCTCCGGGCTCCGACCTACGCACGGACTTCTTGCGAGTCGCCCCCTTGCCCTTCGTGGAAAGCGAAGCCTTCGCGACCTTATTTGCTGCTGAGCTGATAGCCTTATTGGTGTGTGGCGCCCACTTCAGGAACGACGAATATAGCCTACGCAGCAATGCGTCCCGAGCATTAACTTAACTTAATAACGAGATAGCAGAATACCCCTACGGCTGCGAGGTCGCAGGTGGGTTGTGAGCACCCAAGAGTCCTCCACCGCCTTGTGTAACCCAAATCGGATTGAACGTCGAACCTGACTTCGTTGAGGACAGCGTGTACAGGGTCCTCCTCGACGGTGTGGCCGGACGCTTCACCCGACATAACGAGGGTGGGAGCTTGGACTCCTTGATAGCATTAAATACCATGCTGCAAAGGAAAGAATCACCTATGTCATAATCATATCTCTCGCAATGTACCCAGCTTCCTGGTTGTCACTTACCGGCAGCCGGATTGCGGAATGTTGGGGGGTGGAGGGACGACTGAACCAGTGCAGAATTCAGCGTATCCCAACGAAAGAGCGAACTCAGTTGTTCACTGACCCGCCGTTATAGCACGAGCCGATAGTACTGTTATTGTCTCGTCGGGTCACCGTAGCCGGCCGAATGAGGACAAGACGAATCGAATTACCGGAAAACCAATGAAAACATTATGATTAAATATAAAAAGGACGATAAGGTCGGCTCAAAAATGAAATCGTGGGAAGAAGCGTAGACTTTCATGAAAGTGCTTAATAGTGGATTGCGTGACGGCCCCAGAATCATTGAGCAAAATGTCTTGATTCACTAAAAAGCAGGCATCTACAGTGCTTGAGTCTCCACCGTTGTGGCTCGGTGGCGGATACCGCAACAAGTACTCAGACTTGTTAATTTCACGCGCTGTGTGTCACATGACACGCCATTATAGACTTTACATTAGGCTCGAGCGATTCATAATGCTTCTTGTCGTACCAGCATAGCTGGTGGGTTATATCTCTCCACATCCTTCCGAACGACCGAAAGTGCGCACGAATTTATAACGAGAAACAGTCATCGAGTCGATAACTTCGTTTGAGTTTTCCAGCCACCAGAGCCAAATAGAGCACGCCGGGAGGAGCCGCGCCACCAAGCAAGGGCAAATCGCATACTTGCGGCTCTGATGAAAGTGCACGCTCTCTTTACTCCCCTTATAATTTGCGTTAATATCGCGCGCGATGGCCGATGTCGTCGAGCTTCCTGTCGTGCCTCCACCACCTCCGTCATCGTGGACACCCCCAACGAGCTCGGGGAAGTCGATATCGCGTGAGTGACGATCGCATCTCACCGTGCGCAATTTGTTCACTTCGGTGCTTCTACCAGCCCTCGTTGAACGGAAACTTCTGCCTGTCGGGCCCGCATACCTTGCGCATGTCAAGCGGGCGGTACATAAGCTCACGTTTGAGGAACATGACAAGCATGCGGAAGACGAGCGGAAGCGTCTTGAGGTTCTACATGGTGCAGGAATAAACGGGGAAGATGACCTTGGCGTCGGCGATGAGGAGGAGACAGAAGAGCTGCTTTCTTTGGATCCGAAGGAGTGGAAGGTATCCAATAATGTCTTAAACCATTAAGTTCTCGTTCTCAACGCAGTTCCGTACAGAAACAAGACCACTATGCCGTGCTAGGTCTTTCACATCTTCGGTACACTGCTACGGATGATCAGATCAAGATTGCGCGTGCGTACCATTCTTTTTACATATTTACGCGAGTAGCTTACGCGACTTTGAACAGATCGAAAGAAAGTACTCAAGCACCATCCCGACAAGAAGGCGGGCGTAGCTGGCGACTCAAATGACGACGCTTTTTTCAAGTGCATTCAGAAGGCCTTCGAGGTTCTCACTAAGCCAGAGCGCCGGCGTCAATTTGATTCGGTCGACCCATACTATGAGGCACTGGAGTCGGATGTACCCACTGCATCCGAACTGAAGAGTGCCAAGGACACGCAGTACTTCTTCAAGGTTTTTACACCCGTGTTCGAGCGTGAGGCGCGCTTTAGCAGAAAGCAGCCTGTTCCGATGTTGGGCTCATACGACGATACCAAGGGGAAGATCGAGGAATTCTACGATTTCTGGTACAACTTCGACAGCTGGAGGAGCTTCGAGTATCTCGACAAGGAGGTGAATGAGGGTAGTGATAAGTATGCCTCGCATCCTTACTGCATGGTGACAGCTGATTGAGGCATCTGTTTTTTTCAGCCGTGATGACAAGCGGTACACGGAAAAGAAAAACAAGTCCGAACGTGCCAGGCGTAAGAAGGAGGACACTGCGCGGTTGCGCAGTATTGTCGATCTAGCTCTTCAGTATGACCCCCGAATCAAGAAGATCAATCAGGAGGAGAAGAAGGCGCGTGAAGCGAAAAAGAACAAGGCTCGCGCAGCAAATGGCATGAGCCAAAAGGAGAAGGAGGAGGAGCAAAAGAAGGCAGAGGAGGAGGCCAAGCGGAAAGAGGAGGAAGAGAAGGTGCGTCTAGCGCCAATACCACCGTTTATCACCGCCATTCAATTTCAATTCATCTTTTCCAGGCTGCTCGTTTGGAGGCTAAAAAGGCGAAAGCTGCTGCAGCGAACGCTGCGAAAAAGGCCAGGCGGCAAGCGCGCGCTGCCGAGGGTGCTGATGCAGGCGCTGCCTGACCCACTCATTGCCGGCCCACGCTATCTCCTTGCACGCACCATTGCATACCAGACTCCGGTTGTTCCCTCATTGACATGCTGTACGCTGCTCTGTTGCATTAGATCTGTCTGCTGTTAGACCGAAATTCATGGCGATCTGCATGGAATTACCTGTGCTGGCGGAGATTCAATATTGGACGAGGTGCTCATGGATTGGAGTGTTTATACTGAAGGCTCTATTCTTATGTGGATCAACTTGCGCAATTTTCTGAGGTTTTAGGCACTCGCGGGAGATCAACTTGGTGCGTGGGCTCTCATTTACTGTTTGATGGATGAATATTGGTACATCAATAGACACAAAGATCACCCAGTCCTCATATGAATGTCATGGACGTATGGCTTATTCGCAGTCCTATCATTACTGCTCGGCTTGCTCATCGGAGCTCTTTCACCGCCAGCGGTATTAACGCTGCTTAATTGCATACGATTCTCAGAAGGTCGGTTAAATTTACCGGGGAACTCAGATCTTGAGGCCCTGCACCCGGGTCCATTCGCGTGGTGATACACCCGGGATCTGAGCGAGGTATGTGTTTAGAAAAGACGGTTCGGAACTGCGTTTAGACTTTGCAGTGCTCGGTCGCGTGGATGTTTCTCAAGCAGGATGGCGCTCGTCGTTGTACATGCGGACATATCCTCAACTGACAGGGCCGAGTGTCAGTGATTTCCATGAAACCATCGTAGCTGCATTTTACCGCTCGGTTGAACTTCGATGACGGGCAATCAAGCCGCTGTTAATGCGCGGATCTGTACATTTCCGCAGCTAGACAGGCAGATTTTCAGCCTTCAGTATGCCCAGCCATCGTATAGTCATGATTCATTGTCGGCATCCCGTCCGACATGCTCCCGCGTTGCCGGAGCACTCGCTTGCAGCGGCCCCAGACGGGGCCTCGAGAACACTTCATCAAGCGCCAAGCTGCCTTTGTACCGTTTTTGGCGACTGGTTGACATGCAAGTATAGCAACATCCTAGGCGATTGGACGGGAGAGAATATAACCCGACATTCAGCGATTGCATGTGGCCCACTGCTGATCGTAACGTTCTCTGTCCAGGTACCGTCCCCACGTCCCTGGCGCTATCGGTAGACTCATGACTCCGGCTAGGCGAGGGTTATATATGACATGCTGAAAGACGAAGCGAATCTTAGAACGCGTCCTCCGGACTGAAGATGTTGCTTATAACTCGTCTCGCCGCCGCAGCCACGCTGGGGCTATCCTTGATCGATTTCGCAGCTTCGCTCTCTGGGCGGATCGTACACGAATCTCGTAGCGCCGTCCCGGCTGGCTGGGCGCCTGTCCGACGCGCTGAGCCACACTTGATTCTGCCTCTGCGCTTTGGCCTTGCGCAACCAAACCTCGAGAACATCGAGCAGTACCTCCTTGACGTCTCCCACCCTGCGTCCCCAAACTATGGCAAACACTGGAGTCCTGCGAAGGTTGCCGAAACGTTTCGCCCGGCTGCTGAGAGCGTCGACGTCGTGCGCGAGTGGCTCGTTGACAGCGGGTTGGAGGAGAAGCGCATCAAGCTGAGCGAAAGCGGAGGGTGGCTGCAGGTCGCCGTCACTGTGGAGGAGGCCGAGGATCTACTCGCAACCGAATACTTTGTATACCAATTTGGCGAGGAAGGCAAGGCGGAGCACATCGCATGCGCGAAGAAATACCATCTTCCCGAACACGTTTCGAAGCATGTAGAGCTGATAACGCCAACTTTGCACTTTGACGTCAAACCCCAGCGCGGCCAGACACAGTTCGGAAAACGTAATCAGCCTTCAGGCAACGCTCACTCCGTAGGCCAGCCGGGTTTTGGGCCAAGCTTCCCCAAGACCACCGGCACGATCGAGGTATGACCTGAATCAAGACGTCGTTTGTACTGCGGTCTCACAGGGGCAACAGAAAATACTGACTGAACTCGTCGACTGCGACGAGCAAATCACGCCTGTTTGCCTTCGTGCTCTGTATAATTTCGTGTACGAACCGCTTGTGCCCGAAAAGAACACAATTGCGATCGGTGTGTTTGGTGCTCGCTTTTATTGTGCTGATGATTGATTGGCGTCTAGTCGAATATACCCCGCAAGCGTATGTGCCGAGTGATTTGGACATGTTCTTTGCGAACTTCTCGCCAAGCCAAGTCGGGGAAAGGCCGGTTCTGTTCAGCATTGATGGAGGTGAGTGTCGCGCATAGGACAGCCTGTCTTGATCTTTGGAGTCGAGGACTCGTAGCTTTGTTTTCTTAGACATTTTCCTCCAGGGTTCGTGCAAAGCAACCAGACCGGGTTCGGCTACAACGGTGAGTCGAACCTGGATTTGGAGTACTCCATGTCCCTTGTGGGCCCTACGCAGCCCGTGCAGCTCTACCAAACTGGAGATGATGTAGAAGGTATGAATTCCACTTACCATTCTGCAGACAGTGCATCAATAGATGGAGTTTTGCAGGGGCTTCCTTCAACAACTTGCTCGATGCTCTCGACGCGTCCTACTGCACGTTTGAAGGCGGTGACAGTCCGACATATGATGCAACCTATCCCGACCCCGACGGAGGATACCAAGGTACCGTATTATCTCGCGAAGAAGTCGTCAGATCCTGAATCCGACATTGGTATAGGGCCTCAGGCTTGCGGCACAGTTACACCAGCCTACATCATGTCAACGTCATATTCGTACAACGAGGCTGACCTGACGCCATTCTATATGGAACGGCAGTGCACCGAGTATGCGAAGGTTGGTCCAATGCCTGAATATCGCCTGGAAATTTAATTGCTAAGCGAGACGACTTAGCTGGGATTGATGGGAATGACCATCCTGTACTCTTCCGGAGACTTTGGTGTTGCCGGGTATGAAAATTCCTGTCTCGAGCCCAATGGAACGCAAGCCATCGGCGCTCCCATATTCAACCCGACCTTTCCTTCTACGTGTCCGTACGTTACCAGTGTCGGCGCGACGCAGGTCAGCCCGGGGAGAACGGTGCGCCGCACACGAGCCTTTCTGCATGCTGCTTCTGATATTATGTTGGCAGGTCTGGGAACCGGAGAGCGCTGCGGATCAGGTCATCTACTCCAGCGGCGGGTTCTCCAACGTGTTCCCGATCCCTGAGTACCAAAAGGCTGTAGTAGAGAGCTACTTGAAGAACTACCCTCCGCCTTACCCATCCTACCTCTACAACTCGACGGGCAGCTCGCGTGCATTCCCTGACCTCTCGGCGAATGGGTGTGTGGACTTGTCACCGAGAAGGGATATGTGCTGACAGAATGCCAATAGTGTGAACTACGTCGTGGCGCTGGACGGCACCTACTGGCTCGTCTACGGCACTTCGTGCTCCTCGCCTGTCACTGCTGCAATCCTCTCCGCCGTGAATGATGCGCGGCTCGCCGATGGCAAGGGGCCTATCGGGTTCATCAATCCCACGGTGCGTTGACCGCACGACCACTTAGCCTACTGCTGACTTAGAGAATGCATCGCAGATCTACACGTCTACGTTCATGGCCGCGTTTCACGATATTACGAATGGCACTAACCCAGGGTGCGGCACCGAGGGATTCTACGCTGAGCCAGGCTGGGACCCTGTCACCGGTGTCGGCACACCTGACTTCCCAAAACTTCTCGCGCTCTGGCTGGAGCTGCCTTGACTTCCTGCAGAGGCAGTTACACTTGAGCGGTGCTTATATTATTTACTATCTACACTTTCTGAGGGTCTCATGCGCTTCCAAGTAAATCCGCAACGGCGTACGGAGCTTGTCGAGGAGTTGTTGCAAACGTATGTAGTGAGCAGCCTGAGTGGCAGGCTCATTGTGAATAAGCGCGAGGTGTTGACGTTAGGGACATTCGTGCGTGCTACGTGCAATGGATGACTGGCGAAAGTTACGAAACGATATTGGCCACAATATTTTATTGAGCTATGAGATGCGTGATTGATTTCATGTTCACTTGGTTCAGAGAACTTGATTGGTTCGAAGATCTGGATAGATGTATGTTTCATGCCAGCTCGACTGAAGAATGGATACAGGACATACAGATCGGTGTCTCCGCGCAAAGGTATCTAAAAGCGCATCCCATGCGAAGGACCGGCCGTCGCTCCCATCTACATACATACATGGCGGGCTGATACTTCCCTGACGGCTGGTTACCCAGTGTTTCGGCACGCCATTAATTTTATCTGCATACTGAAGCTGCTCTGTGTTTTTTTCCCAGTACGGGAGGCACGATGGTCAGGAGGAGAAGCGAGGTAGGGAGGTTACCAGCCTATACAGCTAGTTCAAGTGAACCTCATCATACACCGATACACGTGTCCATCACATTAGTGGCGAGCTTCCGGGCAAGCTTCATGAGGCAGAAAATCCTGCGAATGTTTATAACAGAAGCATACCAGGTGCAACAGCTTCCCAAGTCTGAATAACATCAGCCTTCACCCGTGGCCAATAGGCGGAAGGGCGAACGTCGTAATGGAGTACTTGCATCTTGCGTTCACCTTTGATACAGCGCATAGAAGCTATGTACGAGGCACGCATGTAATGAAGTGTTCACGCGATAATCGATGTCGACGAGCAGCGAAAGGCAAAGGAGGATGAGGTGCATTGCGGGTCCGACCTTTCCTCAGCCACGCGCGCCGAAATTCGCACGATAAACGCGATCACGTGGTGAGATGTTCGACTTTCAATCGCACACTGCGCTGCTGCCGCTATCTCACCGTCCACTCCTCCCTCCGCGATGTTGTCGTATAAAACCCCCTCTAGTCATACCCGCTCCATCTCTGAGATGAAAAATCCTCGCACACCCGCAGTCGCGACAAGCAGCAACGCGAGCGACGCAGGGCAAATTTCGGCGAACAAGTCGAAAGGCGACGTCTCCATCAACCCGTTTCTTGCCAGCCGACCATCAACGTCTGTGAGCCGTGTTGCTCGCAATGCACCATCTCCGAGGAAGCGGAAGTCCACAGGTAGCTTTCCAGCATTTGAGAGTCTCCAGCGGCAGGCAAAAGCGGGAGTCATCCGAAAGGGAGGCGTCGAGAGCAGGCTAGATGTTGTCACCTGCGACTATGTCCCGCCAAAGTCAGGAAAGAAGCGGTCGAAATCACAGCCTACCGTGAGCTTTATTGTGTGAATCTTCGTGCGACGGACCTAATGACAGTGCCTGTAGCGAGACACCCGCGACAGGTTCATTACGACCCGTGACAACATCGACGAGGTTGCTGCGACATTAGACATGATGTCGCTCAAACATCAGTCAGCTTCTCCAGGACATACCGCCCGACTCGCTGCAGCCGCAGGCGTCCCTCTCAACCGTCGTGTGCTCGCCTACCACGAGCCGCCACCCGCCGCGTCCGCCGATCCGCTCCTCGCACAGGCCCGGGAGCTCGTCCGTCCCCTCTACGCACGTCCGGGCACACTCCCTTCCTCGACATCTACTGCGAAGAGCCGGTCACGCAAGATCGCCACTCAACCCGAGCGCGTGCTGGATGCGCCGGGTATGGTTGACGACTTCTACCTCAATCTCGTCGCGTGGAGCACGCTTAATGTCGTTGCGGTCGCGCTCGCAGAGAGTACCTATCTCTGGCGAGCAGATACTGGCGACGTCGTTCAGCTAGGCGAGGCGCCGGAAGGCTCGTACGTCGCCGCGGTGGACTTCTCGAACGACGGGCAGTTCCTCGGCGTTGGCATCGGCACAGGCGCGGTTGAACTGTGGGACGTAGAAATGAAGACGAAGTTGCGCACGATGACTGGTCATTCAAGCCAGGTAGCATGTCTGTCGTGGAATCAGCACACCCTGACATCAGGGTGCGGTGACGGGAGCATCTGGCACCACGATGTGCGTGTGCCGAGGCATAAGGTCGGGGAGCTGATCGGTCATCAGGGAGAGGTGTGTGGCTTAGAGTGGCGGAGCGACGGGGAGCTGCTTGCGAGTGGTGGGAATGACAACGTCGTGAATGTGTGGGACGGACGCGTCGGCGACGTCACACCGGGCACAAGATCCATTGCGAGGTGGACGAAACGCAATCATACTGCGGCTGTAAAGGTCCGTTACCTTCTTATGCTGAGGGCGATTTCTCGATGACGCGTTATCCAAGGCTATCTCCTGGTGTCCGTGGCAGCCCTCTCTGCTTGCCTCCGGCGGCGGCACCAACGACGCGACGGTGCACATCTGGAACACCACCACGGGTGCGCGGTTGCACTCGCTCGCGACGCCATCGCAGATCACGTCGATTCAGTGGTCACTGCACCGGAAAGAGTTCCTCACGACGCACGGGTACCCGACGAACGCGATCATGATCCACGCGTACCCGTCCATGGAGCGCGTCGTTGAGATCCGCGACGCGCACGATTCACGCGTGCTCTGGAGCGCGCTTGGCCCGAGCGGAGACCTTGTGTGCACTGGCGCGGGCGACGAGAACCTGAAGTTCTGGCGCGTGTGGGAGGTCCCGAAGGTGAAAAGGGGCAAGGAGGCGAAGAATGGGAGCAGTTCGGGGACGGGAAGCACTAATAGCGGGATCTTGAGCATTCGTTAGACCTCCGCCTATCCGTTGAACATGAAGTCTATCTCGTAGTAGGCGGGACTTGGACGCCCTTGATGATGCCTGTCTTTAGCTGTCTTTTATTTTATCTAATATACGTGCGTCCATCGTTAGATGTAGCCTTCTCATGTTGTATGGCCGATTGAGAGCCTTGGTCGACTGGTCAACCGGTCATTAGTGAATGGCGAATGGTGAACGTTTGAACGGCGGATAGCACGGTTACTAAGAACGTCTGCGATCTCGTGACGGTGGCGGCAACTGCTCAGATGTGCTCCCCGTCGTCCTTGGACGCCGCCGACCACGACGACGGGAGTTGTCTTATCTCTGACGGTATTTAGCGCGGTAAGCACTGCATATTCATGGGCTGCATGCCTGAGTAGATTGAAAACCGAAAGTGATAGAACGGAACAACGTTCAAAGTCCATGCTACAGTGGCAGCCTGCTGTGAACGGAGCTTACCTGCAAAGTTACTGCCGCTGTGCGTATGTCGTGCTCTGCCTGTTTCGTTTTATTGCACCTTATTGCACGAAATCAATGTGCCCATACCGTCAATTTGCATCTCAAGGACAACATTTGTTCAAACAACAGTTCTCGTTGACATCGACACATGCAACGCTGACACAGCGGAGTCTGCGAGATTGTTGCGAAATCAACCTCAAGTGAGGCCCACGTAGAAGGCCGGGGAACGAGATGAGAGGGGAGCCAAGCCTTCTACCTCTCATGGTAACGGCAGATCAGACATTCATGACATAACGTGTCCTCAAATCTGAAAAGCGACGCTAAATCTGCACTGCCGTGTGACATGCCCTATCAGTTCCTGACACGCTCAAGAGACGGAATCAGTGATACATACCTTGATTGATTGATCCCTTGCTTTCTCCCGAGGCCGGCTTCACACATCGTTAAAGCGATGCGAAAGCAGAAGTTCGGCACATGCATTCCGGATACAACACTGGAAACGTCGCGCTGTAATTATACAATGAACCTGATCGATGACATATCCCGAACCAATCACAAGTCGTACAGACATAAGCCTTACGCAGGCATCGACAACAATTCAACCTCGCGCCAGTAAGCCAGCCAACTCTTCGCGTCGCCCGAGCGCAACTGTCGCAGACCGGGGTCTCTCAGGATGGCAGCTGAGCTAGTCGCGTGAGTCGTTTCGAGCACAGGGAAGCCCAAGGCATGCGCTCCTGGCGCCTTCAGGACTGATTGGAAGAAAGGCAGCCGGGAGGGCGCGAAGGGGCTTCGTCTCATCATCATCATCCCCGGACATTCCACTACGTGCTTGTTCCAGAGCTGTCAACCACTCCTTGTACGAGACAAGCTTGGCAGATAGATCGCTCGCGATGACAGCGGCGATGGACGACCAAGAAACGGGACGGGGATGTACGAGGTGGACGGAACATGTGCGTGAAACACCGCGGAACTGGATCACTGCTGTCGCAGCGATATCGATCGGGATCCAATCCACCGTCTGCGAATTATTGATCAGTTTGTTTTGCAAGAGAACGTGGAGAATCAATAACGCACCCTCTGATCATCTGGAAGACAGCCTAGCTTCTGAGCACTTTTCATGAGAGAAGGAAACCACTCTCCGGCGTTCCATGCCCCGTCGGGACCGCCGCATATCTGACCAATACGGACGATCACAGACATGAGCGTGGTTGCTGCAGAAGCACGGCAGAGGATCTCTTCGGCTACCCATTTCGACTCGGAATACCCGGTTCCAGCTGCTATTGTGGGCTCGATATGGCTTTCGCTCTGCACATCACCGCCGGGAAGGTCTAAGAAAATGGTCAGACTAGGAATCGTTCGGATATAGCGCTGATGCATTACGCACTGCGGAAAACGCTAATAGAGCTCATGAACAGCAACTTCGGGGGAGTCGCTTGAGGAGACCCAAGCGCAAAGTCGATGAGAGAGCGTAAGCCTTTCACGCTTTTTTCGAACGATGCCAGAGATAGGTTGAAATCCACGGGCCAGGCTGCGGACGCCAAATGAGATCCAAAATCCTCAATGAGAAACAAACCCGGATGAACTCTACCGTTGTGTATAATGTGCGTCACACTTTGGCGCATCTGTCGCATAAACATATCAGCTTTGCTTATGAGGAGAGAACAATTAGACTACTGACCTCCTCATACACATCTTCAGGAAGACCGAGGTTCGTCGAAGCAACGTCACTCTCTAGCAGGATAACCTTGCCCCCTTGCAACAAGCCAGCATCCAGACCGTGCGTAGCCATAGCCAGCTTCTGTCGTTCGGACAACGTCTGCTCACTGCTCGATGATCTATTCAAGGCATAAACTCTGGCAACAGTGGTGTCCGATGCCAGCTCAGCGAGGACTCGGCAGCCGAGGCTACCAGTCGTTCCTGTCAGAACTACTACATCCCCATCCAGGGACGAGAGTGCTGAGCGCAGACTTTCCTTGTGAGCCGGAAACGCCTTTGTATGCGTGGAAATCATTGCATTCATGGCATCCACGCGGGCTTGCTGAGAGATCTCCTTGCCGTTTTCGATCCCCGACGCCACGGACGATATGAAAGCAGCGAGGCTGGCGATTGTTGGGTGCTCGTAGACAAAGGTTTTGGCAGACTTGCGAGTTTCCAGCTCGGCAGAGTTACGTACCGCTCGTAGAAGAGAGTTGCGGATCCACGTTGCCTGCAAGCTGCACTAGATATAAGCCACATAACTTCCAGCGACCTTTAAGGACGAATATGACTGACCTGTCGCACCCATGCTCGAACAGGTCATCGTGATCGCCGACATCGTGCGTCATGACCTTCGCAATGACTGCACGGACGAAATCTGTAATGTCAACTATATCCCACTCAGGCGGCGCCGGAATGTTGGACAGCGTGCTTTGATCGATGAGCTTATACAACTCGTGGATTTCTTCATCATAATCCTTGATCACAGCGTGACGGCGTGGAGTTCCCTTCGCGGTATACGTGAACGGCTTAGACGGTTTGGACACAATAATTATCTAAGACACATGCCGTCAGTGATCTATATCTAAAGTAACGGAGAACTAGTTACCTCCTTGAAGATGCGTGAGTGCTGCGGCGCGTACTCGTTCATTCTTTCTACTGTTGACCTAAAGGTGCAGCTACACTTCAATTCGATTTACTATGAATGATACCTAGTAGGCTTACATTATCGCATTTCGGAAGGCAGCAAGTGCAACCTCGTCCGATGGATCAAATTTGAACTGCGGCTTTACATCTATGAGTACGCCCGCTTGGAAGCGACCACGGCCGAACATCACGCATGATTGCACATGTGGATCCTGATAGAGTATGCTCTCTGTGCAGGTACACCCTTCAGCTACTCTATCTGCGAAGAGAATAGAGAGGTAATCACCTAGGGGGCCAGGATTGGTCTGCACAAAGCAGTCAATGAGTGATCGCAGCCTTCTTCATGCAAATTTGTCCTACCTTCTCGCCCGTGCTATGCATGATTTGGTCATCTGTGCGGCCATAGACCCTCCAGAATCCTGCTTTGGTCGGGTGGGGTGCGAGTAAATCGGAGGTCGCGTATGCTTTAACGCCGGAGACAACCGTGTTCAAAACCGATGGCTTGTTGAACTCGCTGGCCTAAAGTCCAATGCCTTCCCTTTAGCATGGTTAACTCCGATGATTTCGGTCCAGAAGACGTACTATTATGACTAGTCCGAAAGTGTTGTCGCCGTAAGGTACCATCTCCGTCTTCATATATTCACGAAATCTGAAGTAATCCCAATCGTAATCGACATGGGCTTCCGAGGGAGATTAGTTGGAGATGCATGTCGATCGAATGGAAATCACGCACCAGGTATAATGGGACTCATAACCCCAGCTTCAGTCCTAACGCATCCGATACATCACGAACAGTATCCTCGTGGCTCAACATCAGTACTTACGATCCATACAATATGTAAATAGATACGCCTTTTGATGTTAAATAATCTCCGGTTTCTTTGCCCAAGGGGCCTCCACCGTATAGCTGTCAGAACATGAGCGCTGGTCATTAGTCAAACTAATCAATGCTCACCACTCCCTGACGCGAGGCAAGCCATGTAACATATTCAGGACTTCTCGACCATGCCTTTGAACATAAAATCTTTTGCACCTGCATGAGAAGAACTCGAAGAATCAGGCGCACTTCGATGAACGCCGGAACACAGAACACGAGATCACTGCGTGTAGCTTTGGCATTGAGTAACACCAAGTCAGGGGTCGGTATGGGAGTGGGCGACTTTGGCTCGAACACGCTCAGTACCAGCCCACAGGAGGCCTGACAGGCGACGCAACGATAAGAATTCTAAACCGCCGCATAGATTACGTGACATGCACCGTCCAACTGGCTTGCATGGTACCCATCCCGTGGTACATCGGCATCGCGTGTAGCGAAAGAACCTTGTCGGTCAAGTCATGCTCGCTAAACCATGGTATCAAACCAAGTTCAAAGAAGCGACGATGTGTGACGTGTATTGGCTTTGGAAACGCAGTCGATCCTGGTGAACAATATCAGAAGACGAGCGAACTAACATAAAACCAATCCCATACCTGACGAGTGTATGATCATTGCAGTAGCATTCATATCAGGAGCGGTGAATGTGTACTCTCCACGAGGTCAGCGAGGTCGTCGCCGCGAAGGTATAAGTCTTCAAAAAGAGGCATGGAGGAAAGCTGCGGCAGAGGGTCTGAGGGATGCTGAGATTCCAATACCTTGAGCGCGCTATGCGCAAGATCGAGCATCGCTTGCTCCCGACCAACGAGGATGTGCCGAACCTTTGCGGTGACTAGGAGATGGGTGGTAGCCGCAGGGGAATTGCGCGGAGAAATCGGGAAGGCCACGCAGTTCGCACGTAAAATGGCTATTTGCTTGGTGAGGTACGGGATGGCATCTTCGTATACCATTACCTTCGATCCATACACAAAGAGCGAAGTCTCACCAGAATGTGCGAGTATGGCAACTACAGGTGCATCCTTTGACTCGCGTTTAGCGCCTAGACGGTCCTGAATGATCCTTGCACCCGTATGCACGGCGCGAATAGCCTCGGGCCAATATATGTTCCCAATAGTACCATCCTCTCGCGAGAAGGTGAAAATACGATGATTGGGAGAGTGTCTACTCTGCCATTCAAAGAGCTCTGGAAGAGTGAGTGTCCCGTCGAGTGGAGGGGCAGAGAAGGTGGAGCATGAGCGAGCTTGAGTCTGTGGAACGCGGGAAAACATCTTACGTCCTGTGGTGGGGAAGGTCTCGTGAAGGATACCTACCCTTATATATGACGTACTGAGTCACATATAGCTACAATGAGCATAGAGAAGTAAGTATTGCTTATAATTAAAGAAGGAACGATGGCCCGCTCTTACTGCACACCTGAAGCACTGAGATCATCGATCTTCCTATTCCCGATCTTAAAATGATGGTGTCCTCCACATGCCGAGCGTAATTTCTTTTTACCTCGTGTTCTGAGCCAGGCTATGTAAAAGATGAATACATCAATCAGAGACGCAATCAGTGATATCAGAACCAAGCGCAGCGCATACCAATGATTTGCCGCGCAGACATTGGCTCGTTTCTTTCAAAACTTCTCTACGTGATGTTGCTGACTTTGGAGAAACTATCGTGCAGACTGCCCGGACCTTCATAGCATGGAGGCAGGATACCTGATATAACCCGTCCAGCTACAAACTGTCTCAAAGCTGTCTTCACGTGAGACTGTGGGTACCACCTCCCTGTTACGCCGGTTTTTGAGGGGCACTAATGTGACTGCACGGCGTCCCGGCGATTTGACACGCGGCTGGGCGAGCTGTCATCCTGAACATCAAAATGATACATCATGGACATGATCAAGTTTCCGTCGCTCTTTTGTTACAGGACTTCCCGCAGAGACCGCATGCTCGTGATTGCATCAGATTACTGCCATGCTCCGTGAGGGGATGGGGGTAGAACTCTAGAAGGTCTGAAAATGAATTAGAGAGAAGTCAAGCCGCCTTCCGATCAGTGATCAAAAACCCAAGAGGCGCTCACAGTCACCTGTACCCCTCCTTGTCTTCGGGGTTTCGATCTCTGATCGTTTGTCTCCATGAGGGGCAGAAGGTCTGGGAACGAGATTAGACAGAAGAAAATTCACTGGAGCTTTAGCCGGAATGCTGAGGTCTGGCTGATTCTGATGTTTCTCGCGGATTCATGGCCGCCTTAGTAATGGAGGCTTCTTTGCATCTTTTCGAACCCAGAAACTTGAAGGTTCACCGAAGGCATCAGAAATAGAAAAGCTTGAAAAAAAACATAGAGCCCGATAGGGTGGAAAAGATGATAATACTTTTAAAAATGACTAAAGATATTGCCGATGCCAGCCATGACTCGTCAAATGTTGCTTTATTATCTGAATATCGATACATACATGATGATGAAGGGAGTAGCTCGAGAGTATGGGGCATGTAGGCATAAAGAATGGTGAGGTAACAGAGCAAGCGGCATATTTAGGTCAGAATCTAGACAGCCTCCAGGGATATGCCTGCACTCGAGCATTTCCCATTACCCACCGTGTACTCGTCCTCCTGATGTACCACTGTACTGATGTTGACCGCGAGGGGCTTCATCGGATACGGTTGGGACTCCACAGAGCGCTGCTGATTATGTCCTGCCCCTGAATGACTTTGGACGGAGCCTTGCGAGGCTAAATGCGCCCAACCCAGTCCGACTCGGACATTGATCAACATAAAAGAGATGCCGCTGATGACGGCGAAGGTGTCGACCGCTGTAAACTGTAGGTTGGAGCCAGTTTGATAGGTGACGAAAAAGAAGATGGTCCATGAGCTTGAGAGAAAACATATTCAGTGTTTTACATTGAGGTAGCAAAGAACATGCATACGTGTACAAAGCAGCACTTTCGATGATCGTTGCAAGGACTCCCTGCATACGGCTTCGACGTTAATCATATGGCCAGCACAGACAAAGACGATATCGAACCAGTAAATTTGCGCCAGCATAGTTTCTTATCGAAACGTATGAACGCCAGACACGCAAGGTGATCATAACTATGTATTACAATTCGTTAGTGACATGCACCGCAACAGATTGAATGAATAGAACAAACATGAACTATAAACATTTGTGCTATGTCGGAATTAGCGTTGGATGTTGGAAGCTAGTGACGTGTGTCCTACCAGAGCGTGAACACGCAATCGCTGGTGATCCAGCGGCCGGCCGCAGATAGAAAGACATCTTCGCCTGGATCATACTGGCTAAATTGATACGTGATCCCAACCCCACATACTGGAGCAACACTATTGCGTGAGAGGGCACGATGCATCTTTGCGAACATGGACGTACCAGTCAAACCGACTAAGGTGCACAACGGAAAGATGATAACGGCTGAGCGATAGTTCCAAATAATCCAAAGACGATAAATCTGGAGGACAAGTCCGGTTGAGAGGGAACCCGGGACGAGTATGGCGTTCCAAGATACATACGACCATCGAGTCACCGATAACCAGTGTGGCCATTATGAACCCGGTCTTGACGACTTCGGTCGTCTGCTTGAGATTGCCGAAGAACCCAATTGGATTTGACCCTCCTTCATGATATACGAAGGCATCAAAAGACCGGGTGACAGTCAGTATCCAGTGCTGGAAGGAGGTCACAGTTAGTGATCGACTTCTGCGCCTGACAAAAGAGAGCCAATACAGCTGTGATGGTGGTAGACAGCGCAATTGCGCCAATGAACATCGGATTGCGGTGCAACGGCGGAGGAGTTGCTCGGAGAGGGCCGATGGATGCTCGTTGCTTGAGGACAAGAAGATATATTGAAGTGGTCGATAGAACGAAGAAGATACCATAGAAGAAAGCTTCCATAGACACTGTGGCCAAGTTTACAGAAACAAGTGGCTCTTGTATCATATTGCCCGTCGGGAAGAAGTGGATTGAACCTTACGGCCGATTCAGTACATGAATGAACAATCCAAGACGTGGGTTTTGAGCGAAGGCAAGCGTCTAAGATGACATGACAGGGGCGTCTCCGGATCTCTGTAGGTGGGAATGCATCATAACAATCAGAGCTAAGTAGCACGAGGAGTTGCAACTTAGAAACGACATGAGTACGCGCACAGCTTTGCTCAGATCAAAGTCGCACTAGTGGTGATATGCGCACTGCAGTCGTCCAATAACTCGAGCTCGTCAAGAGAAACCCGTAGCCTAATAAATTACAAGCTCGATTGAGCAAGCAACAAGTCAGTCTCCCCACACTACGTGAGTCAGAGGGTTGATAGATGCCACGGCTAACCAGATGAGACAACAAATGGAGAAGTGGCACCTTTGAAGCAGTACATCAGAGATGATTGCGATCATCCATCACCGTTGCGAATCGGAGGCTATCAGAGGCCGCGCGTGGACATCTTGATAGTACCGGCCAGATTGACGGTCATCTGTGACACTTCGAACACTCACGCGGTGCTCAGGCACCACATAATCAGTTGTCAGCACCATGCCTCGCGCTTGACGCATTGATAGCCGAGCGCTGAGGCCTGAGGCATGAATGCATGTCGCATGATGCACTGCCAGGCCTTGAGGCCTTGAGCTTGAGGCCTGAGGCCTGAGGTCCAACGCAACTTGATACAGTTGAACATGAATGCTGCGGAAGCCATGTCAGCGGTTGCAGCGGAAATGGATAGTTTCACATCCTTCGTACCGCCAGTCACTGATATATCAAATAGAATAGAGTAAATCCGCAGGAAAACACGGATCATCTCACGAAATATACGCGCGCATGAAGACCTGAACTTCTCGCATTCGGACACGTTATTCAAGGCTATCTCCTGGTGCCCGCGGCAGGCCTCTCTGCTTGCCTCGGGAGGCGGGACCAACGACGCGATGGTGCACGTTAGGAACACCACCACGGGCGCGCGGTTGCACTCGCTCGCCATCGCATAACGTGGTCGCCGCATTCGGAAGGAATTTCTCACGACGGCGTCACTCACGGGCGTCTACGGCGTCCCTCCGCGTAATTAATATTAATTTCTCTTTGCCTGTGGCCCGTGCACTTTGACGCGTCTCCCTCGCCCATCCAATGCACGACTCCGCCCGTCTGTGGGTCCGTGGTAAGCCTGATCAATTAGGAGAGCGGCCCACCGCAACCCCGCCATCTCACTCTAAATGATCCCGATATAGTTATCGAGTCGGTTTGTAGTGAGCAAGGCGTTGAACGATATTGTTGTGCGGTGGAGAGTGCGTCTCGCGAGTGAGCTTTATACTCTCAATTTCAAGCTTCACTGGTCGAAAGCATTCCGCATCGGGCGGTCGACTAGGTCAGACAGCTATGAGCGTCGTCCGTTGCGGGCATGCAGTGATTAGCACTCGCGGCTGCTCGACCGCTCGAGGCTCTGCCACCTGCGCATGGACGGTATGCAGCACCCGCCGATTCGTATGGCTCTTAATTATGCCTATTAATTCCATTCTTTCCTCGTAATTGTATCCCTCAGCCTCCTCCCCAATCCTTTAAATATATCTCGTCATTCGCTCAGAAGTCCTCGCCATCTGTCACCGGCGACGTGAGGCGAGGCCACGAGCAAGGACTGGTCCGATCCTTATGTCCACGAATGTGAGCAGCGAGCGAGTGTTATGCGAAGCTGATCATGCGAGGGTGGTCGGCGAGCTTGGTGTCCGCGTCAGATCTCGGGTAGAGCTTCAGCGCGTGCAGCTCAACAGGGCAGGTCTGTGATGCGCATCTGCTCGGGAAACGGCATTAATGACGAGCGAGGGACGCTGGGATGGTGACTTACAGAGACAACCTGCTTGCACTGGTGCCACGCTCCCATCCTGACCGTTTCGCGTAATCGCGGTGAACGCTGCGCCTCCACGGCATTGCCGCCTTTTCACAGGATGGGTATGATTACGCAGCTGTATGCGCCACTCGTAACCGGCCAGCCGGTCTCGCTCTTCGCACCTCGTACTCCCAATCCCCACTTCAAAAAACGCGCTCGAAGCTACACGATGGACAAGTGCAAACGCGCTCCCTGCCATCCATGCATACTTAGAGGTGTGTGCGACCAAAACGTTTGTCCTACTGTAGCGGGTCGACCTCGTGCTCAATCGTCTTGTGCAGGAATCAATACGCGATGACGAAGGTGTTAGATTACTCGCGGAACTTGATGCTGTGGTGCGTGAGCCTCCCACCTGATCTCGCATCCCGGGCACTGCTCAGCGCCTCGCATTATCATCAGGCGTACGGCGGTGGTCCGCTCTCAAAGAAAGCTGGTGACAGGCTCATCGACGCGGGTGTAACGTTAGTCGCGGTGTATGGTGGCACCGAGTTCGGTGCTTCCTCGTCAGCATTTGACTATGAGCGCGACGTTCGCATGAACCCTGCAGGTAAGACTCGCGAGGAATGGCAGTGGATCCAGTTTCCCACGGACCTGGTGAACATTCGCTGGTATTCGTGGTACGTTATCAAGGACTCGATGCGGCCCCGTGCTTATATATGCACGCTGTGTAGCCATGCCCGACTCACTAGCCCAGCAAGGAAAACCTCACAAATGGCGAGAAAGGCTATGCGGCCTCGGACCTTTGGGAGCCACACCCAACCAAGCTGGGGCTTTAGCGGATGTACGTCTCCTGACGCTCATATTCTGTCAACTTCGATCCTGACCCGCCACCTGCAGCATTGGACGTACCGATGACGTGGTTGTGCTGAGCAATGGTGTGGTTTCTGTGCGGGGCGAACGTTGGATTCTTGCTGATAGGTTATTGCGTGTTGCAGGTGAGAAGAGCGTACCGATTCAGCAAGAGACCCATGTCGGTGCACATCTTTGGGTTACTGGGGTGCTCATGTTCGTTCGGGGGCGTGAGCAGCCCAGCGTGATAATTGAACAGACGCCCGAGTACGCCGTTCGGGCGGGCGACCAGGGCCATCTAGTCAACGTGAGAAACACTGTCAGGTATGGCGCAAGCAATACCTGGTGTTGTCTCATTGCTGAGAACGGAGCGTGCTGCTAGGCGGCAGGTTGAGGACGCGAAGGCCCCAGCACCGGCCTTCGCGCGCATCTTCAAGGAGATGATTTTGGTGGCTGATCCTGCACGGCCATTTTCACGGGCTGCGAAGGGGACGATCATGGGGAAGCAGGTCCTTGCGCTGTACGAAGCGGACATAGACGCCTTGTTTGTTTGACGACAAAGAGTCTTTGGAGCATTGCTGACTGGCCGATACCTTTCAGGTACAACGTCATCGCGGAAAGCAGAGACGCACATGGAATCGTGCCTCCGAAGTCGTGGGCGTTCTCAGATGTGGAAATGTAGCTTCTGCAAATCGCATGCGACATCATCCGTCGAGGAAACATATCAGCTACGGACAACATTTTTGAGCGTGGCTTCGACAGGTCAGCAGTTTCCTCCGTAAAGCTATGGTTCATGGTGTTGACCATCGGTCGTTTGTCGTCAGCTTGAGCGCCGCATTCTTGCGAAACCGCATCGTCGGTGCCCTTCGCTCGTCATCTGATCCCTGTGCTGTTCATGCCGCGCGGGCTATACAGTCCAATCTCATCTTCGCACACCCGAAGCTCTCATCGCTTGCACGGTTCATCTCACAGCTTGTTGCACTGGACCGAGCAGCCTCCAGGAGATAGGCTCCACTGCCGAAGACATCGAGACTTTGGTGCAGAAGTATGCAGCACTTCTCCCGCGAGATCCTCTGGAAGAGACACAAAGGTCATCCGGGAAAGGACCGATCGTGTTGGTCACTGGCATGACGGGGACTCTCGGGGCGCATTTATTAGCCGAATTACTATCCAATTCGCAGGTCGAACATGTGTACGCGCTCAACAGAGGCTCAGAGCTGCATGAACGTCAGCTTGCTGCATTCAATGCGGCACAGCTTCCAGCAACCGTCGCGTCTAAGCCAAAGCTGACGTTACTTTCCAGGGACCTTGACCGGGAGGACTTCGGTCTGGACGACGCTCTTGTGGAGACAGTAATGGTCTTTATGCTCCGCTCCTACTTACTTGCGCTTATCAGCTTTGCGCGACGGTAACGCACGTCATGTACGACGCATGGCGGGTCCATTTCAACCTCGCGTTGTTGTCACAAATCAAATCCGCGGTTCAGCTAGCCACCACTTTCGCGACCGCGAAGTTCTTCACATCGTCCGTCACGATCGCACAAGCATGCTCAAGAACACGGTCTGAGCCTGTGCCTGAAGTGCCAGTTGAGAATCCTGCGGTCGTTGTTGGCTCGGGTTACGGTAGCTCCAAGTATGTCGTGGAGGAGGTGAATGAGAAGCTTCCTAATATGCTGGGCACTGCGAGCAAACTCTGGCAAAGGTCCTCGCTCATGGGCGGAGGTCGGGTCTGCGCTCAAGCATATTAAGTTCCGGCCAGATCTGTGGTTCTAGGAAGGGCGGGGCGTGGAGCACGAAAGAATGGGTACCAATACTGGTCAAGTCCAGCATCGCACTGGGTTGCTTTCCGTCCGTGCCTGGGGTACGTCGCACTGTCGGGCCATCGTAGACGATCTCACGTGCATAGTACAGGTCGTCTCTTGGGTGCCGATGGACATTGCGGCCCGTGCAGCGACAGACATCGTGCTGGGCGACAATGACGTTGATGTTGTCAACATTGTGCATCATCGACCGGTCAGATTCGACGAGGTCCTGACTGCCATTGTCGCTGAGCTACGAATTGGATTGCCGTTTGTATCGATGGAACGCTGGGTTCAAGAGCTGGAGAGTAAAGCTCACAACCCATCGGTGAATGACGTCGAGGGCATAGTGAGTTTGTATGTTTTGTCCAATATTTCAGTCTCTCACCTCTCCCAGCCTGCCATGAAGCTGCTGGACTTCTTCCAAACCTTACTGCAAACTCTGCAAGGCAATGACAATGCAGATGAGACGGAAGTGTATGGAATACCCTTCTTCGAGAGCGAGAAAGCTCGAGAAGCGAGTACGGTTCTGCATGAACTAGGCCCTCTTGGTACTGACGACGCGAAAATCTTGTTCAAGTACTGGAGGGATAAAGGATTCCTCCAACAAACACCAGAATGGAAGCAGGCTACAGAGCGGCACTGTGTCATGTCGCAGGATTAATAGTTCCCGAATGACCCTAGGGTATGGCAAACGAACTGATGATTGCCCATTGCGTAACTGATGTGGATGACGGTGTCGGTTTAGGCTGTCTCATGGGTCCCAATCGACATGGCCGCGAAGGCATTGGTCGAGTTCCGCACTGCAACAGCGATGCCGGCTGTAGTTCACCTTGTGCACCCTCGTCCGGCGCCCTGGTCAATGCTTGCCACCAACATCGCGTCCGATATCTCTGTTCCTCTGGTTTCGTATGCCGAATGGCTGTCCAAGCTAGGGAATATGGTCCAGGAATCGCACGACGAATCACTTGCGGAGGTCGAGCTTTTGCGAGACATGAGGGCCCTTCGCTTACTTCCGTTCTTCAAAGGACTTGCGCCATCCACCGGAGGAGACGCATTGGGCTTCCCCCGTCTGTCTGTGGAGAGGGCAAAGGCTCTATCGCCTACGCTATCCGCTGGACGCCCTCTGGGCGTCGATGACGTCGGAAGATGGCTTAGGCACTGGCGTGACGTAGGCATGGTCCCGGATTCGAACTAGACATCCTGGTGGCCTTGTGTCTGACCTGAACTGCTTCCAGTGTTGTGTAGCCTGCCGCGTGTGATTAAATAGGAAAACATTATTTGATATCAAGGGTTCGTGCGATCATATTTCCGTAGCAGTGGGAAAATTACCTTGGTCGCCTTCATGCAAAAATGAGAGCATCTGCGTCAAGTGTTCATTCCGATTATTGATTTCCAGCTCTGTGATATCGTATTGCGATGCCAGTATTCATCTTCTCAGTGCTGTAGCCATCAATCTTCATGAGTCGGTGGAAAAATCTGTCGGGCGAACTCTGGATGCACAAAGATATAAGAGATGGTCTGGCGTCCTAAAGCTTTAACTCGCACCTGCTACCGCAGCCGCCAAGCGGATAATTTACTGCATCGCTAACAACGTATGTCCAGTTCCTCACTCCCACGTTCAATCGATGCCAAATATCGAAATCTGCTCATGCCGTTAGCCTTCTTTGTTCTGCATTCGGTTACCAGCACTGTGCGACATGAAGCAATTTGGTCGCCATGAAGATCGGTTCATGCCGCCTTACTGGCAGCTTACAGATGTTTCGCACCCCCTCGCAGCTGAGGAAAAGGTTTATTTTGTAACTTATAATACGCGCAACGCGCGTTTTAACCCTGCAAAACAATGTCAATGGAAGACCTCCCCGGGCCCGGAACTCTTCATAATACTGAATCGTTTCCAATGGTTCGTCCCGTCCCGGCCTCATCGTGACCAACGACATGACTGACGAAACTATCATTATCGTCGGATGTTTCCAGACAGAAGTGTTAGTCCGCGAAGCACTAAGCGCTCAAGAGCGGTCGAAAAGCAAGCGAACGTGACCGTGACAATGACCACAATTGTTTTCGTCCAGACCGCCGTGATGCGTGACTTCGGAACCGTTCTACATACTACAGCAAGTCCACAGTGCAGCCAATTTCAATGACGGAAGACTGCTCAACAATTGCAACGCGTTTCATGCTAACCGGAAGCGATTCGATCAATGATGCCAGTGCACCCTGGGCGCGGGTTTGAAGCTTTAAAGCCCGGTCGCCTCGGAGGTATCATCTATCATGACAGTGGCACGCTTTGATATTCTTCATCAATGGGAAGTACATCTCCTGGTTCTTATAGTCAGATGTACATTTCTACATCACACTCGATGCCTACCACATCACGCCGGTCTTCGCGTTTCGATGGTCTGAGCACGTAGACCAGTGCCACCGGGCTACCACCGAAACATCTCTGATCGAACAATATGGCGTGTTCACGGACGCGAAGCCATTGCAGGAGCTGCCATCCACCTGGCCTACCTCCGTCATACTTCCCTGCGTTTCCATGGTCCAGATCGCATTATTCGATCTTCTCCGCGACAGTGGCATGCGTTCCGATATTGTCGTCGGTCATTCTGCTAGAGAGAGCCATACTACATGCTTCTGATGCCGCACCGAAGGACATAGCAATGGACATCCCTATCGCGCCAGTCTGGATTTTGTCGAACAGGAGCACAGCACCATGGCGGCACTCGCATGCACACCGGAATCTGGCAAGACAGTCATGAATATCCTAATTTTCGACGAGGGTGAGGACCCCCGCCTTCTCGAGCAAATTCGACTTCTGATTTTCTCTAGAATCCTTGTATCTCGCTCATGCACTATCCACAAATATCGAGAAGATATTCAGCGTGCACACGACAACTAGACGCTTGGTCGTCAATGGCGATGCAGAGCCGTCACAATTGGCATCATTATCTCTGCTGTGCACAGCAACTCAGATAGACCTCTCGGAATCGCATGGTGCCCTGAACCTGCAGGCAGTCTGCTTCAATATCATAGCATCATTACACCCATCGGTTTCAGGAAGATCACTGGCCGAGGACCTGCAATATCTAGAGGAGTTCCTGACTCCGGGAGGGCTTCTCGTTCTCGTACAGAATGTTGATGACCGGAAGCTTGCAAACTCTCCCATCCCTGCCAGCAACATTACAACCGATGCGCAGCCTCCGCATCCAGCAGAGATATCTTCCTCAAGGCATTGGCTGGCTCCACTGGAATTTCACGCCTTCCCTTCCACTGAACGCCCGTTTTATACTTCAGACGGGCTCTTGCTACAAGCACAGTACAGTGCCCGACTATATTTCCCCCGGATAAAATGCGGTCTTCAACTGCGCAGGAGATCGTCCTCCTGCCGTCATGGGTCAGAGCGATGTGCCGCCATTCCATGCGAGCATCACTGGGTTAGGTGCGTCAAGATCCGACGCCGGTCTTTATGCTATTGTCGGCCATGTGGACCAACTCGGGATGGATGTGGACCCTGAACACTTGACCCGAAAGGCTCGCCGCTCATAATGTGGTGCATGAAGGTGCTTTATTTCCGGCAATGCAGACCCATCTCGCGGCGCTGGAGTGCTTCTGGCATTCTTGTTAGTGCTCCGCTCTCAGAATCGATTTCTCGCAGAATACGACGAGAATATGGAAAGGTTCAGTGATTGCTATACGCTCATCCGCCTCTTTTCTCGACTCCATGTCTCGGCGCCCTCATATAGACGATTTCATCCTTTCTGAATATGAGCAGGACAACGAGGTACTGGACACGTTTGCCGCCACGAGCGCATCTGTACTCATCTGGCGAACATGCCTCAAAGCGGCCCACATTCTCGCTACCGATCCTTGGGCCATCGGATTGCGCGCGGCTCTGCTTCGAGTGCAGCGGAGCTCATATCTATCTCCCTTTCCGTGTCCGATCTTCTCCTTGGCTATTCAAACCGAATGAGACAAACCTGTTAATCGGCGACGTAGGCAACATTGGCATGCGTACCGCTTTGTGGATGTACGAAGTAGGTGCTGTTTGCATTATCCACGGTGTTTTATTCTCTTTCTGCCATTTAACTCTAGAAGAAAGGCGTCAGGCACATTGAGAACACCTCCTGATCTGGGTGAAGGCACATAGAGCGCGCAAGTGACACTCTTGCGCTTCATTTACTGGTACTTAGAGACAGGCCCAGACCTACCGTTGTCGCTTAGGCGTCTGACGCCAACTCCGCTGCATCGCTCGGGCGCATTACGGATGTACGCATTCCACTAGTATTTGCATGACCTCAATTTACTGCAGGGCTGCAACTGCGGCTTCAACATATCATTTGGATATCAGATGTGTTCCAACTACTCGCTACAATGTGAAAGCAGCGTGGTCAGTGTCGGCTTTGGCCCGTGATAGAGCGGGAGAACTCACAAGAATCCACAACCGGAGAAAACAACTGCGGCCCTTCCATAACTGGAATGCATGCACACCGTTTTCCCACGTCAGCTCTACGACTTCACAATATGGGGCCCTATAATGCAGGCTGAAAAAACGGACGCCACGCACCTCTCCATATGCATGCGTGGCAGCCCCGGTGACGGGAGTGTTTGGTGGGTGGATTGCAGATAGAACATGTGTGAGGTCATCTGTCACAGAGTAAATCGTCACAGTCCCAGCAAGTACTTGATCCGAAGCTTCAATAAGAGTCGGGCATCAGATTCCCACTCACATGTGACATTTGAAATGAACGGAAGACCGCTGCGTATGGATCTATTTTACGCATTGCGACAGAAAGAGGTGGGTGAAACGATTTTACGCAGCCACCATCCCATCAGCCGACGCAATCGGAATGTACACGGCCCTTTGACGCTCCAGGGGTCCGCTGCCAGGACGCACTTTGTGCACTGTCGCTCCCTTGTTTGACGACCACGATGAAGCATACGAGCGAAGACGAGGTTGTCATTCAGAACCCTGCGCCCAGCACGGACGATCTATATGTTTGTGGCCCTTGGCGCGCCTGGAGCACGGGTGAGTGATACGCGCACTTCAATCTGGCCACGTCACATTTCTCATTGTGGCGTACCTACCAGTCTTCGGGGCCTGGTTACTACAGTTTAGTGTCGTTGGATACGTGAGTTCGCCCCACTCACTCACCGAGAGATCACTACGATAGCATACCAGCGCAAAGGTCATACTAATGACGATGTTAGATGTCCGCGTTCGGGGTGATGCAAAGTTACTACTCCAAAGACATCCTCGCGAACGAGTCGGCATCTTCAATCAGTTGGATTGGCAGCATACAGCTCTTCCTGGACCTGTGCTTGGCGGCGGGAGCAGGCCACTTGTGAGTAGTCTACCAACATCACATTTTCCGGACGTCCTCAATTCGTGTTGTTACCTAGACTGGATCGAGGCTATTTTAGACATTGCGTGGTATCTGGAAGCCTCATCTTTGTTTTCTGGTGGGTGTTTATTCTGGTCAGGATTGTCAATTCAGCGCTCAGCTAGTTGTACTGTAACTCTTCATGACCGCTGCTTCACGCCAGTCTCTTCATGTTATCCCTTGCCCAACGGGATCACTACTATCAGTTCCTACTCGCACAGGGATTCGGGATGGGAACTGGTGTGGGTTTGATTTATCTGCCGACGTGTGCGATAGTGTCACAACACTTCAAGCAACGCAAAGCATTTGCTATGGTGAGGATGCTCAGTGGAACACAGCTTGGTCTACCGCTCACGTTATCATGCATGGCAGGGTCTAGTGGGATCCGGCGGTTCGCTCGGTGCTGTCGTGTTCTCGAGTGCGTGATGTTCGTTCCTTGAATACTGTGTCGTCTTCCTCACCTCTCAACAGTCTCACTGAACTATCTACTGAACGGGAGTTTGACGTTTGGCTGGGCAATCCGAGTCACGGCGTTCATCGTGACTGGTCTCCTTTTGCTGGGAAACCTCCTCATGTTCAAACCCACGACATTAGCTAAACATGACGTACAGAATGCCGAGTCAGAGCAGCCTCGGGGTGATTCCGCGGACATCACAGATGAGAAGAAAGAATCGCCTGCAAATACGCCTCCCACTCTTCAGAAGGAATCTAGTAAAGACGAAGGCTCATCAAGTGCTACACCTGCTCGTGTGCCATTCTGGGACACGAAATACATCCTGTTTCTGATCGATGGCTTCTTGTATGGTTTGGGGATGTGGTTCCCGTCATACTATGTGCAGCTATACGCTGAACAGCATGGGATCAGCGAAAAGCTCTCCTTCTACGCGCTCGCGATCATGAATTTTGCCAACATGGTTGGCCGGATCTTGCCCAACTGGCTCGGAGACAGGTTTGGTGTGCTGGATATCTACATACCGTGTGTCTTAGCTTCAGGTACGTGTGATTGCATGTCTCCGCGGAAGCAAGCGGTGACCTCGACTTTTCGATAAATAGGTGGTATTGTGTTCGCGACGTTTGGTTGTTCGACGCCGTATGGCCTTGTGCTCTTTACGATATTGTACGTCTGCTCTATCTTCTTCCAGTGTCAGCTGCTCAGGGCTCTTTGCTTCAGTTACGGTTTCTTCTTCGGAACGGGTATGTCTCCGAACATTCCGGGACCTATGTGCCCTAACATTCAGTACAAGGTGTATCATTGTATCTACCGGTCGTCTCATCAATCAGCAAAGATGGCGTCGACATTGGGTGTGTACCTATTCTTCTGTACTGCAAGACTCAGTATGCTGACTAGGGCGCGACTAGCAAACGTATGGGCATATCCCTTTTCCCAGTAGGCATAGCCTCGCTCATCGGCAACCCGATCAACGGCGCTATACTGGGTCAAGATTACATCTGGTGGAAAGGCGTGACGTTTGCCGGCGTGAGTGATACCGTAATTGCAATGCGTGGACTATCAAGTTGATGACCTGCAGGTCACGATGCTCGCGGGAGGAGCGATACTTGTACTCATCAGGCTGATTAAACTGCGAGAAAAAGCTTCAAGGTAGCTATGTGGTTCCTTCACAGACCATGTGCCACCACACGCTGTGTATGGATAGATATGTTTTTGGTTACGTTGTGTCTTTCCCATAGGCCAAGCTCTATCTCTGCTCCCGAATGGCTTTCCCTTCGACCGGTGGATACCAGGGAGGCCGCGGGTTGATCAGAAAAATGTTCCGTTCTGTTGAAGTGCTTGGCTTCCCGGGTGAGGGTACCACCGAAGAGATTACGTGACGGTAGCATTTGTCTGATTGATATCTTCAAGCGAAGTATCGGCATACTCCATCGGTGTGGGAAGCAGAGGAGCCAGTGCCATACAGTTGACCCGGCGGGGCACCGCACGACTCGAAATACGCTGGTATCCCCGCACCCGCACAGATTTGGTGCCGTTGCAACTGGGGGAACGTGCATTAGTTAGGGAGCAATCATAGCATGCATGGGTGCATGGTGGGGACATCTATCCATCTCTCGCAGAGACGAGTACAATTCATGGTTTGACGTCTGCCCTACAACTATCGCGTGCCATAGCAAGAAATCGTAGCAGATACCGTATGGGACATTAGAATCACAACAAGTAAGGTGAAGCTCCCAAGAAAATACACCAGAGCGACGCTCCCATCACCTATCCCAACCGAGGCACTCGCCTCTGCCGGCCCTAGCACACCCTGTCGCCATTCGGATCCACCTTCTTCGCGGGCAGCTCATAGTCTTCCTCCTGGTCGATGACGGTCGTGATGTTGACCGCGAGCGGACGCATCGCGAACGAGCTGGTCTCCCCACTGCGGTGGCCGCTCACAGCGGATACCGTGTGCCGGGTGGTCGTCTTCTCGGAGGTCTGTGCCCAGCCAAGCCCGACGCGCACGTTGATGAGCATGAACGCGATTCCGCTCATGGATGGCCAGGTGTCGACGGCTGTGAATTGGAGGTTCGAGCCGCTTTGATAGGAGATGAAGAAGAACAGCGTCCAGGAGCTGTGATGGGACTTGATTAGCTCACGTTGCGGTGGATATGAGGAAGGCTTACGTGTATAGAGCGGCACTTTCGATGAAAGTTGCCAGTACGCCCTAAATGAATGATCAATTATCCGCTCTAGCTGGGATGAGAGAAATAGCTCACCATGAGGTTAGATCCGGAGTAGCTCTTGACTGATATGTGCGATCTCCAGACGCGGAATGCGATCATGACTATTCGGCCATGAGCAACCGGTTCTTCATTGAAGCAGACATAGGTCACTCACATGTGCAGTAAACGTTCGTGCTGTTTGAAGGATACGTATCGGGTGATCAGCACATTTGTGGCGGTTTTCAAGGGGAAAGGACTCACCATAGCGTGAACACACAATCACTTGTGATCCAGCGGCCGGCCGCAGAAACGAAGACATTCTCTCCAGGATAGTATTGCGTGAACTGATATGTGATGCCGACCCCACACGCTGAATAGTTGCAACGTGAGATGCACGTCCGGGGACGGATTATGAAATGAACTGACCTGTCAAGCCAGCAAGTGTGCACAGCGGAAAAATTGTCACTATTAAGCGACGGTTCCAGATAATCCAGGTACGATAAATCTACAATGATCGAGGTCAGATGGTCGACAAAGTGATATGCGAGCCGATCATAGTATACATACAACCATCGAATCACCAACCACCAGAGTGGCCATAAGGAACCCAGTCTTGATGACTTCGGTCAACTGCTTAAGGTTGCCGTAGAAGTCCAGAGGCTCCGTGCCACCCTCATAATAGATGAACGCTTTGAAGGAGCGTGTTACCGTAAGGGCCCAATGCTTCACGGAGCAGTTCAGTCGAAAGCTGGCGCCTAGCCATAGCAGTAGCACGTACAGCTGTGATCGTGACGCTCAGAATCACTGCGCCTATGAACATGGGTGTTCGGCAGAGCGCGCGGAAGATCAATCCGGACGTGGCATTGCGGCCCTGCAGCTGTCGTTGTCGGTGGACGAGCAGGTATATGGAGGACACCGACAGGACGAAGAAGATGCCATAGAAGAAGGCCTCCATAGACACCGTGGCGAGGTTGACCGAGACGAGGGGCTCCTGCAGCATGGTGAACTCGAAGCCGGCCGCAGAGGGATTGATGCAAAGGACTTGGAGCAGGGACCTGCTAGTACTATAGTGCACGCGCCATGGTCGATGATATGAAGACTGAATCGACGTCAGAACAATACTCCGAACGATCCCTTGATGCGTCGGATAGAGCGGTGCAACGGGTGTGTCGGCAGTGTGGAGTTTAGGTGCTGGCCTAGAAGTCGGACACCATGAGAACGACCGTCGTCAGCCCATAGAAGATTTCCCAAGGGGGTACGGCATTGCCTCGCGAAGTCATGCTTTCAATTCTCCCGCGGAGTAATCTTGGACGTGTCTAGCGAGACTGACTGCTGTTAGGCACAAGCTGCCAAAGTAGGCGAATTCAAGGAATATTCATAACTAAATCGATGTGACCTACGTATCAGGGGGTGAACAATCATGGATCATGGCAATCAATGAGTTGATAGCCGATCACGGTACCCACGAGGTCAGTCCCTGTGGAGGACCGGTACAATCAGGAGGCCAAGAGATGAGACATCCTGCCGCAAAAACAACGTCAAAGTCACAGAATACCTACACAAAAAATAGCGGTAGAAGTTATGGTCCGAGGCTAGCATATTTTGAGCAGTCGTCTCCAAGGTGAGGTGAGAACGATTGGCTGAGACGAGTCACCCGCGCACAGACATAGGCTGCCCAGAAAAGGTTGCTCCCGGCAAGACTTACTGCTTCCATGATATTCGCGCATGCATCGTCGATGCGACCACTTTGGATGCTCCCAGCCTTCTACTACCTCGAGTCGAGTTGCCGTGGTTCCGGTGCTTACAAGCAAGCGCTGACTTGCGTCCGCGAATAATCATTTCCGTCTTTTCCGGTAATGTCGTCGCTCGACAAGACCTCGACGGCCGCGTGCCAAATACTTGCGCTTCAGGAAACGAGGATCGTATTCATACAATGTGATGCCGAACAACACACAGCACTTGTGTGTCAGTGGCCTATTCGCCTGGTGCGCGCCTGTGCGATGAGCCTCAACTTCTGCTTCCGCTTCATTTCTGGCGATAGCTCAAGACTGGCGATAGCTCAAGAGATGCATCGATAATGTTCGATACGCTGGCGATCCAGATATCGTGAAATCACATTCATACCTGCATTCTGATCAGGTCGAGCATGGAAAAGTCGCCAATTGTCTATGCATTTTAAACTTCAAGGGAGGAAGATCCGGAAAACTGTCTGACCGCTGCAGGATCTTCTGAGCACGCGATGCTCGTGCACACCACTGACACTTGCATATCGGGGGTTCCTTCTGTGCGTTTCAAAATATTCGCACAAATTTTATCTGCTACCATCACAACAGCGAAGCACATCTGTATCCGTGTTCTGATGCCGTGATTGTCATTTGACCCATCCATCAGGTCTCAAAACAGCCTCAGGCGTTCCGTGTTCTCCTTTGGCGAAATCATGATGTTCTCACTGCTGGCTTATCATAGTCGCGTTTGATGCTGACCTGCTGGTAAGAAGATCATGCGAGGACCGCGAATCAAACCCTGGGTACCGCATCATCTTCGAATGAGCTCTAGATTCACTTGACGGCCGAGGAAGCATTCTTGTCAGCTACATATACCGTTCTCCCGGGTTTTCCGCACGCTCAAGTTTTGGCTGCTTTCTGTCAGCAATCGCGACAGAATATGCATATGCTCGAGAGCCGACGCCAGCTTCAGACGCTCTATCAGAGGACTGATGAACCATTCTAGTTGAAGATAGAACGTGGCAGTTTCAGAGTGCACTGACGCAGTGTCACTCAGGACGAGTATATACGGCCTGTTATTGCATGGATACCTCAAGGTAACCAGCCATGCACCCACGTCGCAGTCTCCCGAAGCCACCCCAAACTCAGGCCCGCACCAGCACGACGTTCTGTCCACCACCGTTGGATGGCTCGTTAACGTTGCCCGAGATCTTTGACTGGCATTTGGATCACACTCCCGACCATCGCTTGTTTCTCTTTGCAAAAGATGACGGGAGCATCAGAACTATTTACTGGCCTGAAGGAGTAAGAGCCATCTATGCAGGTGCCAAGGTCATCAAGGATCATGTAGGAGCAAACGTCCAAAACGATGACGTCCCAATCGTAGCCATACTAGCTCCCTCAGGTCATAACGCAACTTCACTTTCTTGTAATGTATACTCACTATAAGCATACGACGCAGATGCGATCCCATATTTCACGATGACGATGAGCATCATGCGCGCAAACTGCATCGCGTTCCCCATCTCTCCACGGAACTCGCCTCTCGCCGTGGCGCACCTGGTCAGCAAAACCGGCGTGCGCCACATCCTTGTGGGACGCGAGCAGGCCACGACGGACCTCGCTAACGAGGCGATTCAAATCCTCAAATTGCAACATCCGTCCGTGGCGTTGCCAGAATTGTCCCCGATGCCCTTGTTAGAGGAGCTGTTCTTGCCACCCGAGGAACAGCTAAGCGGTGACCTCGTAAAGTACAGATACAGAGGCCCGGATGCCACCGCGATCATCTTGCACTCTTCCGGTAAGTCAGAGAATGCAGGTGATCTTCTGAGAGTGTGACATTGACATTGATGTGCACTATCAGGGTCGACTGCGTTCCCTAAGCCCGTCTACTGGACAAACCACCGCTTTCTCCAGCTATGCCTCATCCCGTACTTCGGCGAACGCGACCTCACAGACCAGGTTTTCTCCTTGCACGTGATGCCGATGTATCACGGCATGGGTATATTGCAGTTGTGCTGGACTGTACGCCAATCTCGCATCTACCTATCACTGAATCACTATGTCCTGATGCATGTCAATGTGTCATCTCGAACAGGCCTCGTCCGGTTTGGTCATCAGCTCGTTTGAGCCAAAGTCGCCTGCTCCGGTACCCACTCCCGATGCTCTCTTCACGGCAGCAAAGGCGACTAATAGCGACATCATATTCTGCGTGCCGTCGTTCATCGAGGTAATCCAGTAATATTCAGCTTGTCGTGCTTGGTTGAGCCCAGTTTCAGGCTTGGTCTCGCAATCCTGAATATGTAAAATGGCTCTCCACTCGCCAAGGGGTGGTACGTCTTCAGGATGCAGACACATTTGATGTCCACTGAACCTTTTCGGAACAGCTGTTCGGCGGTGGACCCCTAAACAAAGAGGCAGGCGACTACTTGACGTCCCAGGGAGTGTCCATCTTCATTCTATACGGCTCGTAAGTCGGTGACGTATGGAATACGAAGAGTTGAATTGATCGGAACCTCGTTCGCAGGACGGAAGGTGGTATCATGAGTTGCATTCTCCCTGGTGCGTTGTCTGTTTCATCATGATGGCGCACCGCGTAAATTTCGATAATGTTTGTCCTCCAGAAAAGGTTGGATATGACTGGGACTACTTCCGCTTGCCCGATCTCGTCACACCGGAGATGCAGCCCTACGGGGACAACACGTTCGAGTTCGTCATGGTGGTACGTGTACCGCTCTGTCTCCCAAATTGGTCGTGGTAGCTGAGACCGCTGAAAACAGTCCAACGACTTTTGCAGGCCGAGCGTTCTGAATACGAAAGTGAACGGCGTGGATGGGTACGCTACTTCGGACCTCCTGGCACCTCACGCGACGAAGCCGGGATACTGGAGGATCTTTGGCCGTACCGACGACCAGATCATGCATAACACGGGCGAGAAGGTCAGTGATTCTGCGTGCGAGGAAACGGTATATTGACTCATCGTTTACTTGTTAGACGAATCCGGGGCCTCTGGGTTAGTGAGAGTCCAAAATGCAGGGATGATCACTGATATCGTCCCGTAGAGAACATGCTTAACCAAGATCCGCACGTTCTTGCTTCCGTCATGTTCGGTCGCGGTCGCTTCCAAGCAGGCGTCCTTGTAGACCCGAAGCCGGAGTACAAGTTTGATCCCTCAGATCAGAGCAAGCTGGCCGAGTTCAGGAATATGATATGGTACGCACGATTCAGCGTCTCCCAGCACTTTGTTGGTTCTTAAGCACTTATTTTCATAGGCCTACCATTGAACGCATGAATGCATATGCCCCTCAACATTCTCGTCTGTTCAAAGAGGTGAGTTGTGAAGTGCCATATCTTGGTGGATGTTAATCGAGCCGTATACGAAGATGATTTTGGTATCAAAGCCATCGAAGCCGTTCACGTATACAGCGAAGAACACAGCACGACGTCAAGCCGTGATCGATGATTACGAGGAGGAGATCAATGCGGCATACGACTTAGTGGAGGAAAGCACGCAATCTAGCATCCCGCCTCCGCGTCGTTGGGACATTGTGACTACTACGAAATTCGTGAGGGCCGTGGTCAGCAAAATATCGGTTCATCATGTACAAGATAGTGATGATCTCTTCGAGCATGGATGCGATAGGTGCGGTACATCGCGCAAGTATGACGCCTGCGTACGTTGACAGCCATGCTTAGTCTGCAGGCTACCTGGATCCGAAACTCTTTGCTGCGCGCGTTGCGAGAGTCAGCGCAACTTGACACGCGCACGATCACTGGGAACTTCGTATACGACCACCCTACCATAAATCGTCTCGCTGCGTTCATCTTATCCCTCGCATCGGGGAGCAGTCACAATGTTGGCTTCAAGGACACACGAGCTACGGCAATGCGCGCCATGGCTGCAGAGTACAGCGGGCAGTTCCCAGCTCGTCCCATCGATGCCAAAGTACCTCGCCCAGAAGGACAAGTCGTGTTGGTGACTGGCACCACGGGCAGTTTGGGCTGTCACCTGCTGTCTCGTCTTGTCTCGGACTCTGAAGTCTCGCGCATCTACGCACTGAACAGAGCTGCCAGGGATAAAACATCGCTGCTGGATAGGCACCGAAATGCTTTACGCGCTCAAAGTCTCTCTGCCAATCTGCTAGAATACGAGAAGTCTTTTCTACTTGAAGGCGACCTTACCGAGGATAATTTCGGTCTCCCTTTCGAGGTTTATGAAGAGGTGAGTTGAAAGAGTTGTGACTTCGCTGTAGCAAGCTTTCGAGCCATTCCATAGATGCATCGATCTGTGACGCATATCATTCACAACGGTAAAGCCAGTTCTATCCAGCTTCATTGAAGATGACATTGACAATGTCCCCATTCCAGCTTGGCGCGTAGACTTCAATTTAGCCCTGACATCGTTCCAGTCGAACGTGAAGGGTGTTAGGGCCCTAATAAATTTCGCTCTCACGTCTCCTTTGGCTGAAACCCCTCGCATCATCTACACTAGTTCCATCGGTGTCTTTCAAAGTGAGTTCCTTTTAACCTGTTATAACGCACGAAGTGTCTAATCGAGCCTAGACTTTAATGAGGATGCACTGCAACTCGAAGAACCTATTGAAGCGGAAGCCGCCGTTGGATCCGGCTACTCCGAATCAAAGTGGGTATCAGAACACATACTATATGAGGCCGCGAGGAAGACGCCTCTAAGCTGCCTCATCGTCCGCGTGGGTCAGCTGTGCGGAAGCATTGACGGCGCATGGAACATCCACGAGTGGTTCCCATCGCTAGTGGAGAGCACTACGAAGTTGAAATGCTTCCCGGAAGACCATAGGGTAGGCCTCCTATCGATCACAGGACGAGACAAGTCGCACTCATTCAAAATCGTTATTGTCACAGGTCGTCGACTGGGTTCCCCTCGATGTGGCCGCACAGGCCATGGTGGAGTTTACCAAAGCCTCCCACGATTATATAGTAGTTCATCTCGTGCATCCGCACCCGGTATCATGGTCTTCAATTGCTAACAGCCTTTCTCGCGAACTCTCAGTGTCGTTGGTGGAGTACACGGAGTGGCTGGCACGGCTGGAGAGCCTGCTGGATTCGTCCCACAGCGAATCGCTGGAGGAGGTTGAGGCGCTCCGCGATATGCGAGCTCTCCGTCTGCTTCCATTCTTCAGAGGCCTGGCCAGAACGCGTGGTGGGAACGCTCTGGGCTTCCCGGAGCTGGCGGTGGAAAAAGCGAAGAACCTGTCGCCGACGCTCGCGAACGGCGCCCCATTGACCGCTGACGATGCTGTGAAATGGCTCACCTACTGGCGTGGCATCGGCCTCCTACCTACGTTGCGAACGGGCCTATGATTTCGTTCACTCCTAGTAATTTAGGCATACATATACAGTGAGCCACAAAACTGTTGCAATGTTTGCAACAGTTGCATTGTTTGGCTTATATCTCAGAAACCAAAATAGTTAAATATGCAAACATATATATCGTTAGAAAGCCTATGATATGAGCTTTCAAATGGCACTTGAATAAAGTAAATCGGCCTTCTGGTTGGTGAGATACAAAATATTCTTTACAAAAGATGCATTGCAACAGTTTTGTGGCTGACAACTCTGAAGACAAAAATACCCCCTTGCAGAAGTTTGTTTGCTTTAAGGTTTAAAGTTTGGATCATGTGATCTTTGTTGAACTTCAACATGAGTTGATCAACACTCAACAGACTGTTCAACTTCAGTACAACCATCATGAAAAAGGTTTCTGCTACTCAGACTGCCCACATTCTCTCCCTGCTTGATCAAGGTCATTCTGTCAGACAGATTGCTCATCTGACTGCAGTCCATTACTCCACTGTGTCCAGAATTCGCTCTGAGCATTGTCCTAACATGCCTACATCTGGTGGAGGTCGTCCTACAAAGCTTAATCCTGGAATCATTCGCCATGCTACTCGCCTTCTTACCACTGGACAGGCAGATACTGCTGTTGAAGTGACCAGACTTCTCCAAGATGTTGTCAACCAGCCCTTTCATGTGGAGACTATGCATAGAAAGCTCAAAAGCACTGGTCTGAAGGCTGTGGTCAAGCATAAACGTCCCCTTCTCTCTAAGCGTCATAAGAGAGAAAGACTGGACTTTGCTATTAGCCATCAGCACTGGACTGTGGAGGACTGGAAGAGGGTTATATGGTCAGATGAAACCAAAATCAACAGGTTAGGATCAGATGGGAGGAAATGGGCATGGAAGAAGCCAGGGGAGGGACTCAGTGATAGGCTGGTAGAAGGGACACTCAAGTTTGGGGGAGGAAGCCTCATGATGTGGGGGTGTATGGGCTGGGAAGGGATTGGATATGCCTGCAAGATCGATGGCAAGATGGATGCTGACCTTTATGTTTCTATCCTGGAGGATGAACTTCAGAATAGCATAGAGGAATGGGGCAAAACTGTGGAGGATGTGGTATTTCAGCAAGACAATGACCCCAAGCACACCAGCAAGAAAGCCAGGAAGTGGCTAGAGGAGCATGGGTTTAAGACTATGATATGGCCTGCACAGTCTCCAGACCTCAACCCCATAGAACACCTCTGGCACCATCTCAAAAGAAGGCTGGCAGCATATGAAAATGCACCTAGAGGAATTACAGAACTTTGGGAGAGGGTACAGAAGGAATGGAATGGTATTGAGGCTTCTGTCTGTCAGAACTTAATCAACAGTATGCCAGACAGGGTTAAAGCTGTGTTGAGGGCAAAGGGAGGGTACACAAAGTACTGAAATTGGGGATTTTTATATCTAAAATTGTCAGCCACAAAACTGTTGCAATGCATCTTTTGTAAAGAATATTTTGTATCTCACCAACCAGAAGGCCGATTTACTTCATCTGAGTGCCATTTGAAAGCTCATATCATAGGCTTTCTAACGATATATATGTATGTATATTTAGCTATTTTGGTCTCTGAGATATAAGCCAAACAATGCAACTGTTGCAAACATTGCAACAGTTTTGTGGCTCACTGTATAATAGAATAGAGAGAACTCATTGGGAACCACAGGCCAACGTTTATTCTGGTCGTCGTACGCATGAGAGACAAGATTCATCGATCATCGGTCGACAGTATCAACGCAGCGGTAACAGCGACACGTCTTCAACAGCATATATACGGTAGATTCAGCGTCTCAACTAGTCACAATGCAACACAACAACCATGGCTTCGTGAGGGTCAAAACGCGCCTTGAACAACAGTGGGGGTAAACAGTCTGCACAATACATGTACATAGTGGAGGTGATTGTGCGAAGACGAAACCAAGAGAAGTCCCAACTAAGCAGACCGCCCAGGAACTCCCCGATATGTTGGTCGTCCTATGTGCGGGCCAATCCGCAAGAACCGGGCGCCGTCATCGTACCTGGTAATGCGAGAAGTTCTTACTCTTGACATGATGCGGATTGATGGCGATATAATTGACGACGAGAATCGTCTACGTTCTTACCATCACCGATCAAGGCGCATCGTAGTTCAGCACGATCCATAAGCTGGTCCTTTCCTTGGTCTCGAATGCGCAAATTCTTTATCCCGAGAGAGAGCCAATGCAGGCAGAAATCAAGTGGGATTAGGCCATAATGGAAACGTGGAACTATGCGCCGTAGCGAGTTTGCCCAATCCTTGCATCGCGTGGTAAATGACCGGCCAAGTGCTGATATTCGAGTGTCTGTTGCTGACGTAGCATGGAATCCGAAGTTGGCAGCATACGATCTGCGTATGCCACTGACATGCTGGCTGATGACACGCTGGCGCTGTGTGGAACAGAGGTCAAATCGGTGGGCAACAAGTGACTGCCCGAGTGGCCATAAAACTGGTCTTGACTTCGGCTAGGCACCTCGTTCGAACGATTCGGTGAAAAGGAAGCAGTCCGTTGATGAGCACCACTGAAGACATGTGACGGGATCAAAGGCGAAGTCGGCAGCAGGCTGTTCTGCGATCGCTCAAACTGCAGTGGTGCTTGCAGCGGGGGCGGCCGTGTGGGTAACAGCGACGGGCCGGCGAGCCGCCCAGGTGCTTGAAGATTGTCGTGCTCGGTTGACCAGATTGAGTTTGAGGTTCCAAGCCCGAAGAGGCCCGGTAGGGGAAGAGGAGTCGAAGGTGCACGAGTGTGTCCGGAGGGCCGCTGTAGCAGGTTGAGTATGTCTGCTGCAGTAGTTCCCAGAGGCCTCGCGCTGGTTGTTGGAGTACGGTTGAAGTTCTGATAACCATGCAGAGGCGGTTGAGGGGCTGGAAGTTCGTGAACAAGGAGCACAGCAGGAGGACTAGTCGGGTTAGAAAGAATGGGTATGTCAGGCTGAGGAGGCAGCATTGGCGGTTGTGGCGGGGTTGACAGTCTGCGATAACGATGACAAATGAGCTTTCCAAACAATTCAACCAATCACTTACCTGGGATTGAACAGAATGATCTCGTCTTCTTCTTCCTCCCCGTCTTCGTGCTGCGACCCATTCAATGCTCTGTGGAAAGCCTCACTGACGGGATCGTCGTCTGTACGAGTCACGTCCGTTCTATTGTCCTCTTCGGACTCGGAGAGGTCGGCAAGCCCGCGACGCATGTCAGCAGGTATTGGTGCAGATGAAAACACGTCAGGTGACCGATCGGCGCGCAGTCGACGATCCGTACTATGGTCTTGCGGAATAGCTGCCGCAACCTCAGCCCTAGTCTCAGAGACGAGCGAGAACTTGTTCTCAGAAAATCTGACAGGAGTATCCTGGTACCGCATTGATGCTACATGAGCGATTTTCGACTCATCACGGCAAGAGATGCTCACCTGACGGTCTGCAAGTGCCTTTGCGTCCCGGAGCAATTCTTTGATTCTCATAAGGAACTCCTCGTTAGGATGCAAGCCTTCCGGAAGGGGAGGGTTCTCTCCGGCAAGGGCACCTTTTCTTAGAACGCTAGTCATTACATCGTCTGATATTAAATCCTTGAAAGGAAGGAAACCGATCATCTCAACGTCCTCCTCCAACACAGTCTTGAGATCAGGAAGCTTTTCGAGAGGAAACTTCCGCAACAGAGCATTGAAGAACTCTGTGTAATCGCTCCAGAAGCTCTGTACTCCAGGTAACACTAGTTGCGCGGACGAATGGCGTCCTGGTCTGTTCCGGCTATCCAGAGCATCAGTTCGATTGCCGTTGACGCCGTGCGGTCTCGGACTTTGCAGGATGTATTTGTAATTAGCACGGACCCATTTGCTTGACAGACGCAGGGCAGGCAGCATTCTGCGGAATGGTGCGGTGATGGACTGGGCGAGCTCGCCCGCATCCTCCGGAGGCGGCTCCGCAAGTTGCACGACGCCAACCTCAAGAAGCACGCGATATAGGGCGAGAAGATGGCCTGCGATCTGCGACTCGACGCACAAATCAGATGCGTATAAGCTTCTTCTGGAGCTTCCACGGCTTCTGGCTGCTTTGTGGCGAACGTCTCGGTGTTTCCAGAGCGCACCCTGGGCCAACACAATGACCCTCCAGATCATCTTGGGCGGGAGATGGCGCTCGGAGATGAGAACCCTGAATTCGTCGATCACCTTTTGAGAAATGCCATCGAGCGGACTGTCATTTTTGAGAGCGATGTAAGACGTTCAGTAAAAGCCGAACACTTGGTGAGGACACTCACTCCTCATGAGGGAATTGCCACAACGCGTGCACCACAACTACTTTCTCCTTGAATGCCTCCACTCGTAACCGGACACTAGGTTGCCCGTTCGCCTCTTCGCTCTCTTTCTCCTTTTCGTACCTTCCTCCGGTCTTCTTCCACGCATCCAGCGCCTTCCCCAATGTCATATGCATGTTATCCAGTGCGGTGTCATATGGCGTGCGCACACAAATTGCACGGTAATAGTACACCAACAGATCGAACGTTTCTTTCTGGTATGACTTCAAAACGGCAAGTTGGTGCCATGCGTTTCCGTCGTGAGGCAGGAGCAGCCGCGCCTGCTTGTAGCATCGCTCGGCCTTCTCGTAATTCCGCATTCGAGGTACAACCGGTGCAGGCACGACGTTGGCAGCCCCGCCCCTCTTGCCCCGCCCGCCCCGCCCGACAGGAGCAGAGGCGGGTGGCCCATCCTCGTGTCCTGCACGCGGGCGCCCGCCCGCTTCATTGTACTGCTCCTTATAGCGCTCGATGTCGCCGAGACAAATCAGGGCCTTGCTGAGGATTGCAATCCGGCTCTGACGTTGCTCCGGCGTCGCGGTAGAGGTGATGGGATGGATGGCGTCGGCTTCCGGTGGGAATTGATGCTGGTTGCGCTTGGGCGTCTCGCCCTGCACGGCAGTGTCCTCGGGTACGATGTTGATGTTGGCTAGCTCATCAAGCGCACCTTGCGCATCGTCAAGAGCAAACACCCGGCGGATGCGAAAGATCAACTGGACCCAGAACTTCTCTTCCTCGGAGAGATATTGGCGGAAACGCTGCAGCAGCTTACGCTGTTCGACGATCCGCTGCTGCTGTTGTCGTCCCTGCTGCTGTGCAGCTCCTTCCTGCTGCTGCTGCTGCTGCTGTCGGGCAGGGTCATAGATAGCACGTTCCAGGGCAGTATGGCGTTCCTTGTATTTCGAGATGAACTGGTAGGAAGTCGCGATCCACAGCTGCGTGTCGATATCTCTCGACTCCGCGGCGTAGGAATAGACAAATAGTAAGCGCAGATAGTGTCGCCGCAAACTGTCTCTGGATGAGGCCCACAAGTCAACTATAATACTGTGGACGCACTTTTTCCTTTGAAACTCAACCTCTCTGTCCCATGGATCCCGAGTCTTCAGCAATTCCTTCAAACCCTGCTGGATGCTTCGTGCCTCTCTGAACCTCCATTAGCTCCCCAGTCGGCATAGCTCAGGCTCAGCGCACCTTGCGATTTGTGCTGGTTCTTCGGACATCGTGAATCAGCTGATGCACATTGCGTGCGATGATGGGTGTCTGCGGAGCAAACCACTCAGCCTACTGCCAGGGATGAGCGCGAAGTTAAGATACGCGCCCAATGGATACTTCGCCGAGGACTCTTTTATTGAAAGCGATCGATCTGGGTTACTTCTTCCCCCTGGTCTTGGATTGTTTCTGAAATGTGCGAAGTGGCATGCAGTACATCAACGAGAGCCAGGGGAGACAGGAGGTCAAAGTAGGAGATCAGAAAGTAGAGGTCGCATTGCAAGCGCCTATATCATGACGTTCGCTTGAAATGTCATACAGATACTCCAGCCTGTGCCAGTGCAGGGACTACACGTAGATTCTAATCAAGGATAACGTCGACGTTTTTAGTAAATACACTTGGTAATCAACAACGGGATATCCGTCAAAGTATAGGGAGATTGAATCCGGATGACTGTGGTCATTACTGCATAGATGGCAAAGGGAAGCGTGTCATGAGCGTGATATAAGCAGCTTCAATCTTCGTCGTCGTCACGCCCTCCCGGCTTGAACAAGGCAATAAGCTCGTCAGCACCAAGGCGCATGTTCTTCATCCTGTCACCGGAGAGAGCGGCTTTCGCAAGCGCTCGTTTCTTGTCTTGAAGCTGAGGGATAGCAACTATAAGTGGGCATCTTCAAAGTCCACGAGCTCCCTACTGACCTCGAGAATGCGCTGCTCAGTGGTATCTGGCACACAAAGTTTCCGAATGTGAACGTCGCGAGTCTGGCCGAAACGATGGGTACGATCGAAGGCTTGGTCCTGTTCGAATAACGATGCCAATTTACTCTTCACCCCGTACTCCATAAAGGAATGTCCTACCTCCAGAGCTGGGTTCCACCATGGATCTACGAGTATGACATGGTTGCAGCATGTAAGGTTCAAACCTGTAAGCGATATGGTCAGATTGCAATGCCAAACGAAGCATATCGAGGCTAACCTGTGGAACCGGCCTTGAACGAGATAAGTATTACCCTGATCGACCGGCTTTCCTTGATACGATCGAGCGCATACTCGCGTTCGGCCTTGTTCATGGTACCATCGTCTACCGAATCGACATCAGTCTCACCCCTCCCTAGATGTAGACATAGATAGCATGCTGCCGACACGCACAGCGAACAAACTTGATCTTCTCCGCACGGAGGAACGGCTCGATGAGGTCGAGCATAGAGGTGAACTGCGAGAAAATGATCGTCTTCTCTGTCCCCTCCGACAGCTCGTCGATCTCTTGCAGGATCTCCAGGATTTTGCGGATCTTGGTCGAGTCGGGTGGGAGGTCTGAGTCACGGCGGCTCTTGGTGCGAGCTTTAGCGACCACAGCAGCACAAGATGTGCAAGTGTCAGACTTGGCAGTGTTGGCCGTGTTGAGCCTAATCTCCCCGGAGAATGATAGTGAGAACTCGAAAGCTAGTCGCAGATAGCCATCGAGACTTACAGCGTCTGACAGAGCTGACAACGTTTGGTTGTCGCGATGCCCATAAGAGCAAGACGCTCCGCAAGCTCATCTGCATCCTCCTCCTCATCGTCCTGGCTTTTCGCCTGCTTTGGCTCCACCGCCTCCTTATCCCTGACATAGTCCGCGGAGACGAGCGACGGATGATTACATGCTGCGCGAACGTCAGCCAACATCGGCGAACGTAGATCATTGCGCACCTTGCCGGAGACGGAGGAGGAGAACGAGCACGGACGTGTAGTTTCTCGCAGCTCCGCCCTGTTTCTCCAACGCCTCAAGGCTCGACTGCACCCGGTCCTGGACAGTGTTATAGAACGCACGTTCGTCCGCATCGAACTCGCAGTCCACAATCTCCACGACTCTTTCTGGTAATGTCAGGATGGGCTTGCCGTTCACTAAGGTATCCTTGGTACGTCGCAGCATGACGGCACCCAACACGACCTACAACAGTCAGCAGTAAGAACCTTCATGAGCAATTAACCGAAGCGATCTCTGACGTACGTGAAGGCGCTTCATCGCCCGCACCGTCCGGTTCGCTTTGACAGGCTTCGCAATTTGCTCGTTGAACGTGTGCCACTCGTTGAGTGGCCGGATCTTGAGGAATTTCAAGAGCGGAAATAACTCCTCTACGTTGTTTTGCCTGACCGAGGCAAACATCAGATAAACATGGAGTGGCTTGATAGGGAAGTCGCACATGGGAGTTCCAGTTAGGCACCATCTGAACTTCCCCTCCAATGCACAACAAGCGATAGAGCTCTTGGCATTCCGGTTCTTGATATTGTGCGCCTCGTCTTCCGCTCTTGTCAGAAATATGGCTGTCAGGGATATGTTTGTATATCATCCATACCGAGCACAATACGCCACCACCGCACACGGAAGATAGCATCCTTTTCCTTCCTCCTCGACGTTTTGATCTGCGTTTTGCAGATAACGGAGTCGTCATCTGAGTCGTCCAAGCTCTGCTTCTTGCCTTTCTTCCTCGACGAGCTGCCCTCGTCTGATGCGGGATTATATGCATTGTATTCTGATGTCACGGTAGAATACGACGTTATCACCACATGCGCTTTCCCGAGAACCTTGGGATCTATCAGGTCGAGCCCATTGAGATTATGAATTGATTAGAATGGTTCAAAACTGACCACTTGTGCGACTCGCGCCATGGTGCTCGATGACGGTCAGGCCGACGGCAATCTTCTTTATCTCACTCGCCCATTGTGAAATCACAGCTACTGGGCAAATTACTCTAATCATAACGATCGCTAAGTTCTAACAAGAGGCGCAATAGCGTTTCTTACAGAGTGGTGGGCGACCAACCCTCTTTCTTGTCTTGCTGTGTAGCACGACCATCGACAATCCTTGTTATGGTCTGAATTGTCTTCCCGAGTCTGCACCTGTGCTCAACGTCTGCTGCAATTAAAGCATCCTATCCCTTACCCCATATCATCAGCGAGGATCCCGCCCATCTTCTTCCCCAACTCGCGCCCTGCCATCCACGATCTGCCGGAGATCTGGTGCGGAAGAAGCTTGACGTTTGGACGGAAACCTTCTACTGTCGCATCCTCGAGCGATACCTCGATCTCGTGCGTGTACGCGCCAGTAACCAGTTCACGTAGTGCCCTCTCGGCCTCGGCAGTTGTGAGCATGGGATCGTGTAGAGTATCGGCTCCATGCACGTCGAGCATCTCGTATTCCCGCTCGAATGGCACGATGGGTGGCAGGTCCTTGTTGGAGGGCACATGTACAGGAATGGCGTGCTTGGACTTCGAAGCAGAAGGCAAACGTCTTTCACCCTGAGCCTCGATGTGAACAGAGGGCCCTCTGAAGTGTGGATATGTGAGTGACCAAGGCTACGAGCTCATGAACAACCTACAGGACTTGTACCTCGTCATCTTCCGAGTCTGATATAATGATGGCAGTGGATGGCTTCCATTGCTTCAAGTTGATTGATGACACGCCGCTGGAGCCATCCGAAGACACGGACTATGAGGAGTCAAACAGGCGTAAGATCGCAAGTAGTTCAGCCAACGCTTACGATGATTGAGGGCTCGTCCGAAAGCTGCGGTTTACTTGCCACGTGTGGCTGCAACGGCTTTCGGAGTTCTCCTTCCAGATCAGCATACAGGTTGAATTGTTCTTCAAGTAATTTGCGACGGCTGGAAGGAACACATAAGACATAGATCAAAATACATCGCAGCAAGATGCTGCTGCGTGTGCCTCACGAGCAAACAGAGAGCATCAGCGACGTACAATTCCTCCATCAAAGTTGTGAGAAGGTTAAAGCGGGGATATTTTAGTCACTTTGGCAGACTGTCTCAGGCGAGCTATGATAATGGCTGGTACGGTCAAAGTAGAAGTTGAAGATGCAGTTGAGCTTTAGTTCGTCCGACGGCGTAGGGATCATCAAACGCGATCACGTGTGAGCCGCGTTATTGAGCTATGTTTATCCTCGGTGGCTGCTCTTTGTACTGTACCACTGCATGTTACTGCTCGCGGCGCATTTTGACTCGCTAGTACATCCCCTGTTCGGAGGGGTGTGTACAAAACAGTGCGTTGCACACATTATGGACAGAGTGGAGCAATAAAATATTAGCGTGAGTCGCGTTCCATAGACTTTCACTGGAAGCCCCATGAAGCGCGAGACGATACTATGCTTCTGCTTGTAGCAAAGATGTAGACGGATATGCAACAAAGTGAGTGAGACTTTAGAGCATCTGATTCATTATCAAGCAGTGTCACAAGTGCACAGAGAGGATATACCGGTCAGTAGCCAGATCGCAGCACGGAATGCCCATCCTGTTCCGGCCAAGGGACCAGAAAACTTGGCACACAATCTGTGCTTTCGACCTCGGTGCTATCGTAGTGGTGGAGATGTTCCCAGAATAGATGAGTGCGTTTGTTGGCTACCTTATTGCTCCTCATGACAAACCGTCCGGTCATGAAGGTCATCTGTAATGAAGTTCACGGGCATGGGAAATCCGCAGCTTCTCCCATTAAAAGATAGCGCGGCAGTACGTAGAACGCGTTGCGCGAGAATTGTATATTGCACAAGAGATGATGATTAACGCTCCGTAGCTTTTATCGTTGTACCAGAAGGCGGGACCAAGACAATAGCGGTGGGCAGTGTGCCAAGCGCTATCCCACGTCGCAGATAACCCCCTGGGTACGTATCAACCCTCGAAACATCCAGTTCAGGACGCCGCAAGTCCAGTATAGCGTACGCGTCGGACCTCATTGAATGTTAGTAATTGTGGGACATCATCTGATTGAGCCACGGCTATGTAGAGGGAGTTGATGTTTGCAGCAATTGCATTCAGCTATGAGCCGAAACATCGGAATGCTTGACCGGTTGACAGCAGACCTTGCTAGCCCGGAAAGCAGCATATCCTGGAGGGGGCTGGTTGAGTGCGCTTCCAATGATGAGGCTGTGACGAGAGCGACGGTGCTGAACATCCGGGTCTGAGAGTGTCCCTCACATGAACCCCTAACGTATCTCCCTTACGTTAATGGGCTAGCATAAGGGAGATACGATATAAATGCATCAACCCTGATTTTTCATTCAGGTTGTTCATGGGATCGATTTGCCATTCGCTCGTTCCATTGATGCAGGCTGCACCTCCCACCTCCCACCTTTACTCATCCCCGCGTCAATGACAAAGCCAGAGCGCCGTCTTCGCCACGACGAGGACGAGAGCCGCGTATCATTTAGAACAGTGACACGATTACATGAGGTTAGCGGATATGCTGCTGTAGAATTATGTCAGCTCAACCATGAAAGCATAGATGCATAACTAAGTCACTCACAAGTGACCCTGAAGGTCGTTACGTTTCCCAGGGCTTCTTCCGTGCATTTGTCGTAGAGTGACTCGGCTGTGCTTCCTGTTGTGAACATGTCTTGAGAAATTACAGATGAGACAACAATAAACCGTGAGGCTCACGTTCAATTTGTCAGGAATTAAACGATTATTGGGTATCTGATCGGTTTTGCCTTGCTCGATGAGAAGCTTGAGCTCAGCGAAGGTCAATGTCCGTGGTTCATTGGCGTCCTCTGTAGTCTTTGGAGCTGATGGCTGCAGGTGTTGAGCTGAAGGGGTTTGCATGCTAGAAGCCAGTTCCTGTTCCCTTTGAAGCACATCGTCCACAGTGGTGAAAGAGCCGGTGACCCTAAGAGCGAATCATCATCATCATCATCAAGGATCTGCGTTTAACCTGCGGGTCTGCCGGACATACCGGTTGAAATAGAAAACTTTTGAGCGCCGTAGTATGTCTGTCTTCACTTCGTCTGGGTTGGCTTCGAACACCCCATCTGCAATGATGTGTTTCAACCCTTCCTTGTGGTGTTAACGCAGTGAGCGGGAATAGTGCTGAGCAACTCATGCCTTACCTGAAATCCGGCATCTTCAGCAAATGGATATGTGAAGAACGCATCGACTGAAGCTTTCACCGCTGCATCACGGTCCGCCGCAGATAATACGTGCTCTGACTCGGCGGGAATGGTGTGCGCATCCATAATGGTTCACCTAACCTTTCTGCAACAGACTAATGAACATGCACGACAAATACGGCCGCGTGGTGTGGGTAGTCGGACTCGATGGGATGAACACAGTGACAAGTTGTGAATGATTGGACAAGCAAGATCGTCGGCGCTTGCGCGTAGCCTCCATCAGGCCAGCGGAACCCAGCTCTACGGCTTGGACATCTACCACCTCACTCTTTCGGCGGCAATTAATATTCTCATTCAAAAGTGCGGCCCAAGCAGAACTGGACGAACGACCTGACCGGGTGTCATCAAGCCTACATATCTGATGGCTAACGTTGCGCAAGGGCTCATCATGGATATCTTTTTTCCAGCTTGGCATCACAGAGTTGCAGGTCTCGTCTTTTGCGGTGTTGGCTCAATTTCTTTGGTACACATGCGAGCATATGGGTTCGGAAAGCCAGATCTTCCCCATCAATTCGGAAGTATCCATCATTCGCATCCGTCACAATTCATGCGAAGTGACGCCTGATACTAGCGTTCATCTGGTTTTACCTGTCGTAATCCACAGCACCGCAGCTATCTTACTTCTCCAACATGGTTCTCTCGGCTGATGGGCAACACTAGCTCTCAGCGAAAGCAAGTTTGCCATCGTAATCAGTCAGGTTCACAATATCTTTCGGGCTGCGCAAATCCGGCCGTGGCCGGTTGGAAATACGAATCATGTGTAATCCTCGGGGATTTCGACGTCGCATAAGGTATCGCATCGTATGCTGTCATTGCAACGGGGATTTAAGCCTTCGATGCAGTACCGAGAGTGATCAGCGTTTCACAGGGCTCCTCTTGCATTAGTGCCGCTGGACCAGTCGAGGGCTACTGATGCTATTGTTTTTTTGTGACGCACAGAACAGCGCCCGATGGCGCGACTTTCACTACGTGCTTCTATCAAAGATTGCCGGTTGAGTCGGCGTGTCAATTACCATTCTGACGATCTTTACCGATGCTCTCATGCTTTAGCGAGATGGAAAACGTCGGCCTGAGCGGGAGAATCGTGCTCAACTTCCATTGCATGATGAGAACATGAATGATTCCCCCGTTTGTCCTGCATACTGATGATCAATACAGACAGGCGTTCATGCATTGCTGTGGAATCATGCTGCTAACGTTACTGGAACGTAAGGGACTCGGGTTCGGTACGCGTGACAAAGCGTGCGTGGACAACGGTTCCACGGGAACGTTCAGAGCATTGGGGGGCCATCTGCTCATCCATAAAGGTGCGCATGTTGTCGGCTATAATAGAGCGACGATATTCCCGCTTACGGACATGGCTATCTCCTCTCAATCGTTGCCTAGACCGCCCATAGCAATTGTAAGTGGTCTGGTTACGACGATGCCTCTCGCTTTGCTGAGGTCGTCGTCTGAAGGTCGGTATCGCTGCAGAGTTGCCTGGCGGCAGCTACTCCGCGAAAAATCTGAGCTATAAGGAGTTCTCTGACTTCCTCCTGCATGGTGGCAAGGCATACGAAGACATACCACCGAATCGGTTCAGTGTCGACTCGTGAGTCCAGATAGCTTGCATCTTCCCAAGAACTCCTCTGTAACTCTCTTTGTAGATGGGCCGGAGATGGTTTGGGTAGGGTTGTGGCTCGGAAGGGGTCGTTTCTCAAGAATATCGCAGAGTTCGACCATAGCGAGTTTGGCGTATCGGCGAAGGATGCGCGTGCGATGGCGCTGGGCACACGAAAGCTGATAGAGCTCTCGTTCTTATCATTATTGGATGCAGGCATCGCCTATCGAGGGCGCAACGTCGGGTGCTATGCGGCGGCGACGGCGCATGACATTCTCGGCGTCGCTGAACCGGTGAGGACCTAGCCGACGGCGCGCCTGCGATGATCTCATAGAACGCCAAAATAGGATGAGATGGAGGCGAAGGGATCGTTCGCAGGCATACCGTGCATGGTTGCCAACAAGATATCGTATCATCTCGATCTTCGAGGCCCATCAGTGCCTGTAGATACAGCCTGTAGCTCGAGTCTGACAGCTTTGCATCTTGCTGTACAAGCGCTTAGGCTGGGAGAATGCGAATCGGCAGTTGTCGCTGCTTGTCAACTCAATCTCAGGTAACTTGCGGTCTTGAAACCGGGGGTGACTACCAAGCTGACTCTAGCTCTTTCAGGCTGGCAGATTTCGTGCAATACAGTCAAGGTTCTGTTCTAGCGCATGATGGTGAATGCAAACCTTTCGACGCCTCTGCAGACGGGTAGGCATCTCACTCAATGTCTCGAACAATATCCATGACACGCCGCGTAGATTTGCAAGAGGTGAAGGTGCTGTCGCCATTGTTCTTAAGCTATACGATGATGCTGTACGCGATGGCGACTATATCTATGGAAATGTAGGCTTGTCTTTAAGGCTGTGGCCATCTCGTTGACTCATTCGTCACAGATTCTTGGCACGGGAATCAACGCATCTGGAGGGGTTGCACCTGCCTACGCTCCTGTTGGCAACGCACAACTCGACGCCATGCAGCGCGCGTACCAGGGAATCGGTCGGTTTCCTACAGAAGTCGACTTCGTCGAGATGCACGCTACTGGTATATATGCTGACTTTATTATCCTACTGAGCGATTTCTGAAATATCTGCACCAGGTACTGCTGCCGGGGATCCCATCGAGAGCAACTGGACTGGTGAGAACTTTGCAAGAGATGGTGAACTCCTGGTGGGAAGCGTGAAGGGGAATATCGGGTAAGTTACTGAATGAACTAGATCACCCTCTATCTATGCTGAATGCTCGCAATAGACACCTTGAGGTGGCTGCTTTTCTCGCTTCACTGTGCAAAGTGTGTTCGGTCTTCGAGACGGGCGTCATCCCGCCTAACGTCAATCTCTCTGTACGAAACCCTGCAATCAAATGGAACGATTACAAGCTCAGGGTTCCTGTCGAGCCAACTCCGATCACGGCACGCTCTCCTTCCGGGAGGCTATTGGTTTCCATGGGAAGCTCTGGAATCGGAGGCGCCAATGGTCACGCCGTATTAGAAAGTGTACCAAAGACAGTCAAGTCGAAGGCTCGACAGGGATCCAAACAGCGACCGGTGCTGTTGCTGGCCGGAGGCCTTTCACCGCGGTCAAGCAACGCTGTCGCGGATGGCCTCTGGGAGTCCGCAATTATGTATTCCGATAAGTGGGATGCGCTGTCCTACATTTATGGAAGGCGTGTTCGGCAAATGACGTGGAGAACTTACACAATCGCGCGCCCCGGTCACCAACAACCGTCAGTAGCAAGATTCTCGGCTCCAGTCTTGACACCTCGAAACAAACCACCGTTGGTCTTCCTCTTCTCGGGGCAGGGTCCCCAGCATATCAACAGTAAGTCTCACCAACATGACCTGAGAGGCTCATGGACTTACAGCGTTGCTCAGTGGGCAAGCAACTCTACGAAAGGTTCCCTGTCTTCCGCAATACCGTTACCCTATTGGACAGATGTCATCGAGCTATTACAGGGGCTTCGCTTGTGGAAAAATATGGAATCTTTGCGGAGACGAAACCGTTGCAAGGTCTGCCACCTGTCTGGCCGATTTCCGTCATTCTACCTTCCATAGCCATGGTCCAGATCGCACTTTTCGATCTACTTTGCGACCTCGGCGTACGTCCTGATATTGTTGTGGGCCATTCTGCAGGAGAGACAGCAATGCTGTATGCTTCCGGTGCGGCGCCGAAGGAGATGGCGATGGAGATCGCCATCGCGCGAGGGCAGGCTATGACCATTATTGAACGGGAGCACGGCACCATGGCAGCACTCGCGTGCACGCCGGCACAGGCTAGCTCCATCCTCAGAACAGCGCGTCAGAGCATCCAAAAAGAGGGAGTGCTAGAGATAGCTTGCTACAACTCGCCGTCTGCCGTTGCCATCGCTGGGCATGACTATCTGGTCGAAAAAGCGATCAAGCTTGCCAAAGATCGCGGATTCCTGGCGCAAAGGATACAAACCAGAGTCCCTGTCCATTCGACCCTCATGGATATCTGTCAGGAAGAGTACAGATCTGCTATGGCGGAGATTTATGCGCGCTATCCAGGAGAGCACAAGCCATCCATCAAAACATACTCAACGGAAAGCGGAGGCTGTCTCAATGATTTCAGCGCCGAATACTTCTGGCAAAACAGTCGAAACCCTGTTCAATTCACGCGTGCGATCAGCGCTATCCAGCATGCACATCCAGATGCAACTTTCATGGAAATCAGTCCTCATTCAGTGCTCTCGTCATATTTACCGGAGCTCGGCGTCCCAGCGGTGTCCATTGCATGCCCAATGCGTCGGTCGAAGAAGTACGAGCAAGATCAGGAAGAAGCCCAGCTTCTGACCTCTCTTGGGCAAATCATTCTAATGGGCCACAACTCGGTTGACTTCCGAAAACTGACCTCCTATGCAGCATTCGAACGAGATTTTGAGCCTCCACCGTATCCCTTCATGAAGAAGAACGTGCCTTATCTACCTCAATACTCGCACATACTTCGAAAGCAGATGGGTTTCAGAAGGCCGTTAAGTGGAGAGGATATGAGAATCAACAGTTTGACTCATCCGGACATCGCTCAGCACGTTATTAACGGCGAACCAATTATGCCAGCTGCCGGTTTCTTGGAAATGGTGCGGCCATTCGAATGCTTTGAAGTCCCACATGTCTGCTGATTGATGTGCAGACCCTCGAGGCCGGAGCACGCGTAATGTGGAACGTGCAATTCCATTCAATGCTGTTTCTATCTTCTGAAACACCCAACGTGGTCTTGGTTGAGATTGACCGCATGCGTTGGTCAGTGAAGTCTCTTCAACCGAGCCCCTATGGTGGCGCAGTGAGCATTGCTTTTCCTAAACTTATTCGCTGGAGACTGATTCATATTAGGGTTCACCGCGGTTGCATGCTAGTGGTTATATGACGGGAGATAGTGTTTCAAATACGGATCAGCTTCCCATAGATATTGTGGCCGTTTGCGCACGCTGTCAGGCGCGCAGTGTCAAAGGTGATTACTCCGCCCATCTCAACGTTCATTGCTGACACTGTCATCCAGTATTTTATGAAAATCTAACACATTTTGCACAATATGGATCTCTCTATCGCCGTGCCGCTGAGGTTCATCTTGGATTCAAGGAAGCCCTCGTGAAAGTTAAAGGTTTAGATGAAGACCTATCTGCGTAGGGACTCCGATCTTCCTCGCACATTGTATATCAGGGATGCTCAACTTGGCGCAGGATCCCGGGTTATATCATCCACCCCGCCATCCTCGATGCATGCATCCATGTCGTGGTCCATCCCGATTTCACTGGGAATCCCAACAAAGACGTTTACTACCTTCCATCGAGAGTCGGGCGATTCATGTACCATGGTTCACTGGACAACGGTCGGATGCTACCGGACTTTTTATACGCATATGCAGTGCTGAAAGAGTGGCTTCCTGGTATGTTCGCCTATCTATGCTCTTCACTCGATTTCACATGATTGCTTAGGAGAGCTCATAACTGATGTCTACATCATCGACGTTAATGGCGAAAGAATGTGTACTCTGCAAGATCTTACGGTGGAACGCCATTATAACGTCTCGCCTCGAGAAGTGATGAAGCGTTTTGATTTGGTATACCAGCGTTTCCAGATTCTTCCACGTAGCTTTGAGCAGTCCGACTCGACGGCTCTGCTTTCAATCGGAGATCCACGGTGTGGGCATCTAGTACGTCATCGCTCCCCCGTGAGACTCGTTTTCCAGCTAATGGTTTCTGACATAGGTTGAGCGGGAAACATCCGAAGGGTGGGTTGAGGTTAGTGCCGCTCTCCGGTCCTTGACCTCGCGGCTAACTGATACTGCTGCAGTTCCGACTCGACGACAATTTGACTGCGACGGAAATGGTTGAAAACACCGCATTAAACGATGCGTTGAGAATCTGTGAAGCTGGAATTGATCATATTGTTAATGTATCTGGCAAAAAGGTCATCAATGTCCTGATTCTTGACGAGGGTGAGCACCACGAACTTCATTACATGAAACCATTTTTTCAAATATTATCTAGGCTCTCTCCATTTCGCTTATGCCCTGTCCGCGGCGATCGAGAAAACGTTAGGCACGAGTACGACAATTAAATTCTTCGTCGCCATTGACAGTGCAGAGTCATCACAATTGGCATCATTACCTCGGTCGTGCATAGCAACCAAGGTGGACTTCTCAGAATCGCATGATGGTCCAGGACTGCAAGGAGCCTTCTTCGATATGATAGTATCATTCCACGCGTTGGTTCCACGAGGGCCGCTCGCCGAAGACTTGCGATACTTAAAGAGCATTCTTCTTCCCGGAGGGCTTCTTATTCTTGCAGAGAATGTTGAGGACCCGAAGCTTGCAGAACCTTCCATTCCTGACAGCAACAACCCGCAGCCTCCGTGTCCAGCAAAAACGTCTTCCTCAAGGCACTGGCTAGCTTTGCTGGAATCCCATTCATTTCGTACTGCTGTGCACCCATGCCACCCGCCAAATGTGCTCTTGCTAGAAGCACAGTGCCCGACTATATCTCCTCCAAGGATTATACAGCCTTTAACTGCGCAGGACATCGTCCTCCTGCCGTACGCTGTCGGATCAGAGATGTCTATCCAGCAAGCTTTGAAGGTCCTCAATCCGGAGCTGCCTACTAATATTTGGTTCATCGCGCTAGCCGGCATGCATGGAGATGGCGCGAAGGGCTTCACGCGCTCGCTCAGGCGGGAGTTTCCTCTCTGGGACCTGGGTCTAGCCATATTCCAAGTGGAGTATCCGCAGTCTGAGGCAGAACAGATCGTTCGCTACTACTCCAGCGTACCTGGCATGGAGAGGGAGATTTTCATCGATGACAAGCTCGAGGTCTGGAACCCTCGATTCTGCGAGAGTAATGTGCCTACCGGTACGAACAGTACTCTCGTTCTAGCCATGGGTCAGAGCGATGTACCGCCATTCCATGCGAGCATCACTGTATTAGGTGCGTCGACATCCGACGCCGGATGTTACGGTATTGTCGGCCGTGTTGATCGCCTCGGGATGGATGTGGACCCTGAACACTTGAACGCTACTGTGGCAACTGTCATTTCCGAAAAGCCCACCGGTCACGTCGTGGTCCATGCAGGCGCTTTATCTGTTATTCCCAACAATGCAGACCCATCTTCCGTCGCTAGAATGCTTCCGGCATTCTTATTAGTGAGTGCCGCTCTCGGAATTGGTTTCCTACAGAATACGAAGAGAGTGCGGAAAGGTCGAGTAATTGTCACTCATAGCGACTCGTCCATCGGACAGTCCTTGCTCTGGCTCCTAGAAACATTCGGTATCACGCCACTTGCTATGCGCACATCTGCCACTCCTCTGGACTTCATATCTCTCCACCCTCGTATAGACGATGTCGTCCTTTCTGGGTATGAACAGGAAAGTCAAGTGCTTGACGAGTTTGTCGCCACAGGCGCATCTGTACTCTTCTGGCGAACGTGCCTCAAAGTGGCCCACATCCTCGCTGCTGATCCTTGGGCCATCGGGGATACATTGCGCACGGCTTCGCTGCGAGTGCAACAAAGCTCATGTCCATCTCCCTTTCCGTGTCAATCGCAGGAAAAGGCTGACGAAGTTCTGCAACTCACGAGTTCTTCTCCGTGGCTGTTCAGACCCGATGAGACATACCTGTTGATCGGCGGCATAGGGAGCCTTGGCATGCATATCGCTCTGTGGATGTACGAAGTAGGTGCTATCTGCGATGATTCACAGTATATCATTTCCTTATTGACATTCGCCTCTATAGAAAGGCGCCAGGCATATTACGATGACGTCTCGGTCCGGACGAAGATCCATAGAGCAGGCAAATGACACTCTTGCGCTTTATATGCTGGAATATCTGGACACACGACCAGACCTATCGTTGCGGCTTGAAGCGTCTGACGCTGCCTCCGCTGCATCGCTCAAGTGCCTGCTGGCTAGCCTTTCCCGCCCCGTTGCGGGATGCATGTTTATGCCTGTCGTCCTCTCAGATCGCACTTTCATGTCACAAGATGCTGAGAGCTTCGACACGGTCTTCAACTCTAAGATGAAAGCCTTTGAAACGCTGGAATCAAGTCTGGACGTACCCAAGCTTGACTTCCTGATAATATTCTCTTCCATTACAACCTTCGGTAATGCGGGGCAGACTAATTATGCAAGGTGAGCAATGTAGTCATTGTATAGATCTATCTGGTCTGATAAATTGTACAAAGTGTCAACACCATATTAGACGGAAAAGCGGCAAAGCACCACAACGCATTTTCCATTGTCGTGCCCACCATCAAAGATTCGGTGGCAGTGAAAGGGCGGGAGTTCCAGCTCCAGCACTTACTGCAATGGGGCTATTCTGGAAGAGGTAAGCGTTCAAAAGCCGTTTCTTGCGATAGGCTGCTCATCATCCACCTCCCTGCAGAACTCTGCGACTGCTTGGAAGATGGGATTCGCAAGCTGGCTGACGGACCCTTCAACCTCTACGTTCCTGACTTGGACTGGGATCTCGTCCACGAACATCTCGGGTCCTCCCCTTTGTATGATCATCTTGTTAAGCAACAATCCACATTCGATACGAACGTCTCAATCAATGACATGCAAGAGCAATTGCGGAGCGTTGTCCTGCAGCATCTTGACGTTGATCCCAAGGAGTTCTCTGCCGACGTACCGTTCACCGCATACGGTCTCGACTCCCTATCAGCTGGGCGACTGTCTCTGGCTCTTCGGCCTTTCGTGAGACTATCTCAGTTGCAATTGCTCGGCGACCTCAGTTTGGCAGGTGTGCAAAACTTTGTCAAGCAGGCCAGCAAGGATAATATCCCGATCGACACTGTTCCTCAGCACGAGCTGTTCCAATGGGATGAAGTCAACAGAGCAGGACAGCCGTTGGTGAAACTTGTCGACCGTCCGGACGATATTCCATTGATTCTTGTTCACGGGGCAAGCGGCAGCATCATCGCTTTCATGACTCTCCAGGAGAAGTTCACGACTTCATTGTGGGCTCTGCAGACGACGCCGGAGACCCCTACAGAGTCGATCGAAGCCATGTCGCGGTACTACTTCGCTGCCATCAAGGCTGCACGGCCTAATGGACCGTATCGTATCGGTGCATATTCGGGAACCTCGATCATCGCACTTATGCTGGCACGTATGCTGGAATCCAACGGAGATGAGGTGATTCAGCTCTGCGTAATCGACCACTTTACGTTGCTGTTCGCGTCTCCGTACATGGAACCAGACGAGGAGACAATCCAGTTGCACTCTCCCGGACCGGCCATGATACGGCACGCGCTTGATAGGATGCTCACGTTGTACAGAGCTGAGGCGACGCCCACTCGCCCGCAGATTGCTCAGTGGTATGAAGATGCCCTCAACGGCCTCGACGTGCCCGACTTCGCCCGCGACTGGCTATCTGCCTTCCAGAAAATTGTAATTGGAACCTATGAGTTCATGTTCCAGCTGCTACCTCGAGATCGACCGTATTCTCTGGAGGCTTTGCGGCAAGCTCTGATTGACTGGATGAGGGGCATACGAGCTCCGGTGATTGCATACTTTGCCACCAAAGGAGTGCTAGCGAGCATCCCAGATGCAAGCAGAGAAGAGTGGGGAGATTGTGGTGTCCACCTAGCATTCCCAGATGCGAAGATCTTTACGTCAGAAAACACGCACTTCACGATCCTCGAATCGGAAGAGCTTGTGCATTTACTGGTGACAGAGTGGTCCCCTGTAGAGTAGTCTGCAATTCCTGAGTCCGATGAATATAGATTGTCCCCTTTTGTGAAGAAACTTGAGTATTACATGATGTGTCTGTTAGATGCGGCCGAGCAATAGAGGTACGGAAAACTGTTGAGGACGTGTCGCCATCTTCGTGGGCAATTTGAATGATGATGTCCATCATAAGAGATCTTAGAACTTCGACAGAGCAGAAGCTGATTATACAGGGCGAAATCCAAGGCGTGTTGCGAGGCAACGCTGCAGAGGCACGAGGTCATAATGGGAGACGACGAAAGAAGTGACGCGCTCACCATTTGATCGACGACCACCACGACCAACTTCAGGGTCACCAGCACTTCAATTCCTCGCCATAGATGTCTCATGGGCTAAACAAGATCACTGTTGAGCGGAACCAACGGGCTGTCCTCGAGTTGGCGAGCCAACCTGGAAATGGCGAGCGGTCTTGGTGAACACACCTGTTCACCTACTCATGCATGTTTCTGCCATTCACAGATGTCTGTGCAGACTGCAAGGCGAGGAACCCGCGATGGGCATCACATAACCTGGGTATCTTCATATGGTACGTCTGCCTGCGTCTCTTCAGTCTTTGCGGATGATACAGAGCGTACACTTCTAGTATGAATTGTGCGAGCGTGCACAGAAAGATCGGCACACATATATCCAAAGTGTACGTTCCTGATCTCCATCTTGGGATGCAGGTCTTATAACCGCAATGTCTTAGAAAGAGCCTTACCATGGATATGTGGACCAAGGAGCAAGTGGAGGTATGTTGCGTCGTATTATGCCCGCTCTACCGGATTGACTGGTCTCAAGGTGATGAGGAGCACCGGTAACATCAAGTCTAACGCGTACTTCAACTCGGATGAGAGACGCAATCCTCCACCGACCAACATGGTCGACGCAGAACGGGATAGTGAACTTGAGAAGTACATCCGAGGTGAGTGTGCGTCCCATGTCATCTCATGCTCGGTCGTTCAACTGTGAGACTTACAGCGAAGTACGAATACAAGCTATTCATTTCGCGCTCGGTACAAGCTGCTGCCCTTCTCGGTCCCTCTCAATCATCCACGAGCAGGCTAGCTCATGTGCCACCGATTCGCTCACAAACTGTACCCGCCCTGCCGATATCTACATCGTCGCCCTTGTCTAGCACTCCTCCTCCTCTTCCGCCAAAGACGACCGTCGCTGAGCAAATGCCTGCAACGAACAACTTCAACTTTCCGAGCGCTACTATGTCTCCTCCACAATGCAGACCAGTATCGCAGCCAGTTGTGAATGCATCGTCGCCGTTTAATCTCCAACAGCAGGCTCCATCGACAAGTACCTCGACATGGGATCCCTTCAAATCCCTCCAAACATCGACACCGACGTCGAGCCTTCCACTACAGTACACGCCTTCTCCTACGAGCCTTTCGACAAGCACCGCGTCCCGGCCCTTCCAGGCTACTGTCACGCAAGGCGCAGCAGCCACCAATCCCTATAGCTCGCTATCCGGAGCTTCGACAACACCGTTTGCATCTTCTCTCTCCATGAACAACTTGTCGGGACACACTCCTAGCACCATCGGACGTAGCATGAGCCTTAGCACCGGACTTCAGGTCAACAACACCATGGGCTACCAGAACGTGAACCCCTTCCAGAACGCACAGACTGGCGCTGGGTTCTCGGCACCGGTGCTCACTCCTGGCACGGCACCAAGACCGAACCCGTTTGCACAGCAGGCCTTCACGGGAAGCACGTCGGGTATGGGTGGGCTCGCGATGCAGATGCAAACACAGCCCTCCATGCCATTCACAACGTCGACTTACGCGTCGCAATCCTCGCCATTCGGTCAACCAGTCTCTCAGCAGTCCCAAGGTCAGCTACAAATGCAGATGCCGTCAACGTCGTCCATGTTCCAGCCGCAGTCCACTAGCCAGATGCAAATGCAGATGCCGATGCCAGCGAACCCATTCGTACAACTTCAGCAGCAACAGCAACAACAGGTGCACACGCCGTTCGCGACCCAGCCTCCCTTTACAATGGGCACACCGTCGCCTTTCGGCCAGCCTCAGATGCAACAGCAGCAGACACCCGGCGCGTTCAATCCGTTCGCCGCTGGAGCAGGATGGCAGGGTGGGTTCGCGGGGCAGCAGAGGAACGGGATGTGATATACACATATATGTTACATATGGCACAGATACTATACAGGGAGACTACAGATCTGTTACTAGGCATAAGATACCGTAGTAGTATTCCGGTTAATCTATCATGAGTACCTGCTGGCGGGGCGCACGGGCAGATGTGAGGTGAGTCACCGCAAACGTCCTAGGGCAGTCGGCACTGGAATTTTAAAACGTCCTGGGCATCTCATCGTGCAATCATCGTCGTCGTTATCGTTATCATCGTCAGTCAAGGACCAGCGTGCCTTCGACACGGTCGCCTCCCATGATTCTCTCCGTCTTCGCCTCGCACCTGACCAGCCTTCTCACCTTCGCAATGACCTCTTCTGATGCAGCTTTCTTCAGTGCCACCGCTGCTCTCTCGACATCTCTCCTCCTTATCCGCGGGCCCCATATGCTCTCGCTATAGGCGTCCACGAGCCGTATGTTCTCGAGGTGGTCCTGGCCCGGGAGGCAGATCATTGCGGCGATCGAGCTGGGTGGAAGGAGCGTCGCCTGGCCGATGGACAGCGTTCGCAGACTCGGGATGACGGGCAACAGCGGCACATTGCGCGCAAGCGGCGCGTGCAGACCGAGATCGTCCGAGGGAAACGCCAGGTTGGTGAGCGTGATGTGTGTGATGTCGCTCCAGGTGCGAATGGCGCGGAACAGGTAGAACGTCGCGGCGGGCACAATCTGCAGGGGGTATGTGAGCGGCAGCGGAGTAAAGGCAAGAGGCATCGTACAGCGGTAGAGAAGTGGTGGGCTGGATCAGGGCCCGTCCACACGAACGTCTTTGGGCTTTGGGGGGAGAGGACCTGCATAAGCACATCGGAGCAACATCTGATGCTGGGACTCACTTCGCCATAGACAGAGCTTCGTAGATGTGCTCGAGGCTTGGGTTGCGCGTGTGCGAGTGCAGACATAGAGATAGCAGGTCGAGCGGGACCTGCGTTTGCTGCTGAGCGGTCTGGTCGTGGGGACCCTCTTGCTGCTCGAGCATCGTCAGCGTCATCCGACACCGCCGCAGCGCGACTGCGAGATGCAGGAACACATCGAAGCTGGCGGCTCCTCCAGACAAGGAGATGGTCAGCGTCTTAGGAGGGCACGCTAGCACGGCGCGCTCTTCGGAAAACCGTATGAGTTGGCGCACAGTCCGGAAACGGAGATCGGAATGCAGGATGCGCTGGCCAAGCTCTGCGAACGACTTGTCGACGCAAAGCACGTCGGTGGGCCGCGGATGGCCCTGCAGCGCGAGGGAGAGGATATCGAGCAGGAGTTCGACGGGGACAAACGTTAGACACATTGGAGCAGGTGGTGGGAGTTCTGGTATCAGCTGGCTGCAGGAGGCCCATGGACGACTAGGAGATCAATGGCTGACTTTGTTGCCCGGGATCAGAAGGCGAAGTCGAAATATTCATGTCCGACCGGACATCTTTCGGAAATCACTTGCCGCATGGAGATTGATAATGGGGGTTGCTCACCTCAAATTTGGCAGAAGGCGCAAGAAGACTGCAAAGTCTAACCTCTTTCAATTAAGTTCATCAACGGTATTGTTCTTGTATTATTTCCCTCACACAAAACAACAGGTAGAGAGAGCGGAAGGCGCCCTCCATCGCTCCGCTTCGCCTGCTGGGCATGATTAGATAAGAGCATCACGACCTGCTCCCGCCACTCTTCCCAGTACCCGAACTCCTACGATCAGAGGCATAGAATCAAAAATTCTCAGCGGTAAAGGATGTGAGCCAAAGAGGCGGAGTGCGGCGCCAGTATCAGAAGGAGAATCGTCATTTTATGATGTTTCGAGTCGACAGCAAGAGTGAGTACAGTATTTGTGTATGCAACTCAATCGCTATCCAGCATCTGCGAGCACAAACTCAATGAAGCTCGGTGGAAGACGAAAGGCACAACTCCCCACCTGAGCATTCTTCCGTGTGGCTCGTGAAGCTGCTGCTCTCGTCGACGTCCGGCCGGAAGGAGCGAAGCTCAATGTAGCCTGCTTAGCAGTGGTCTTCTTTGCTGGAGCCTTCTTTGCTGTGGTCTGACTGCGGAGATAATCAGCTTGGCGCATCGATTAGTCACGACAATGGCTCAACATGCCTTAGCACCGCAGCCCTGTTCGTTCTCTTCTTCGGCTGCGGCTCCTCTACTTCGTCTTCCTCCTCGTCTTCGTCGTCATCAGACTCCTGGGAATACTTTAGGCATTCTGGTGTCTTACAGCAGAAGAGCACTGACCACTTTTTTCTTCCCTCTGCCCTTCGCAGGAGCTTTCTTTGCGGGTGCAACCTTCTTCGCGGGCGCCCTGCTCTTCTTCTTCGGCACGTCTGACTCGGGTTCTTCGAAGTCAGACACGCCTGCGTCAACGTCCATCATCATAGAGTCGATGGATGCGTCTGAGTCGTCCTCTGCCGCTTTGCCCTTGCCCTACCACAGCCATCATCTAGGTCATTGCCAGAAAAGTATGCTGATGTGCTCACTTTCGACTTTGAGGACTTGCCTTGCTTGCGCTTCTCGATGTACTCTTTGTCCTGCTTCTCCTTGACTTCATCGACCTGACAAATGTCTTAAGCACGATGGCAACAATGCCATGAGGTATCACGTACAAGGGCATCGAGGTCGTCATCATTTTCGACGTTCTTGCCATTGGCTTGTATACCTTTCAATAACGACCTAAGCGCAACGCTGACATGACTGGGTGACAATCACCATCAGTGAGAGATCAACTCCATACAGATCTGCCTGAACCTACTTCTGTATCGCATGGATATCATCTTTATCCACAAACGTCTCGATCGCGTCTGACATCCCCGCCTCGCCCAGCAGCTGCAGCTCCTGCGCAGCGAGGTACTCCCGCACTAGCGTCTGCACGCGCACCTTGGACAGCTTCTCCGATGTCGACAGGTCCGGGTCATCGATGCTCAGTTCAGGCTGCTCGACGGTGATCTTTGCGCCGCGCTTGGCGGTCGCGCGGGCGCGGTGAAAGACGAGCACGTCGCGCGGGTTCGCGAGGCGCCCCTGGAACTCCTGCCCGAAGCGCACCGGATTCGACATCTCGCTCACGCCCGTGGTGTCCACTTTCAAGCGGACGATGGGCAGCATTCGCGGTAGCGCTTCTTCGCCCTCGTCAACGGCGCGCTGGTTGCGCTCGTCCCAGAGCGCGTTTGCCTTCTCAATAAGCTCGTTCACCTGGGGCATGTGGTGATCAGGACGTTGACTGCATGGAATAGTCTGCATTGCGCACCCTCTTCTTCAGAAACTTTGTGATCGCCATCCTATCGCCGAGATCGAAACCCTCTTCTTCTGCTACTTCGGTGAGGACGACTTCGTCGAGCACGAATGGCCGCACGGTCCGTAGAGGGATAGGAGTAAGTTCAAATTCCTTGCCCTGGATATTCAGTAGGGCAACATGCCTGTGCACTATCGTCAGCGTCCGAACCTGGATGATACACATATCGATAGGCATACTTCTCAATAGATTCTCCGTCTGCAAGAGATGTGGCTACCGACGACCCTGGCTGAGTGATGAAGTATTTCTTTCCGGCTACTGGCTCCGGGAGGATGCGACAGTCGTGTTCGTGCCCCCACACGACCAAATCAATGCTATCATCAAACATTCCCTCAGGGACGGACTGTTGTGGTCCATGCGGGACTCTTCCAATCATCAACATCTCTATTGTCTCCAATCCAAGAGTCGACTTACCGATTCTGATGCAGCAGCAAGATATTGAACCAATCGTCCTTGTCGCGCGGCATGAACATTCGCACGCGGTTGCTCCGTAGCTCGAAGTGCATCCGCTGATCCTTGACGTTGCCCACGCCGTACAATCCGAGGCGTGTATTTCCCTTTCGCAGCAGTACGGGCCGGATGGCGATTCCGCTATTTTGCGCCTCAGCATCGTTCAGCGGCAGATCGATGCGGCCCATGTAGTTGATAAGCCCGCTCACTGAGAGCATGTCGAGAGCCGAGAGTGCACCTTCCTATTTGATGACTTAGAAAAGTGTTCCGGAAAATGAGAGGGAGCAGGAACTTACCGGGCCAGCACCTTGTGGGTCATCGTGATTTCCATGTATCGAGAAGACAGGAATGCCGACATTGAAGTTGGGGTCCTCATAATTGACAGCTGGGAAGCTACATGAGTTGCTCTAAGCAACTCGAAGCTCGCTCTCTGATTACGAGACACGTACGAGTACCCAGCGGCTTTGCCGTCATTCGGATCGCTCAGCAGCTCGATTTGTATTGGCCGGTCACCGAGCGTATACTCGCGCAGGAGTGCCATCACCTGGTATAGGCAATCGCGAGATGGTCTGTTCTCGTGAAACAGATCACCTGCAAGTAGGATGAAGTCAACCTATGGGATGCACGCAAAGCGAAAGATGATCAGCAGGGAGCCTGATGAGAGAGCCAGTGAAAATAATGTCTTTCTGCTTTCGAATGATCGTGGCATGAACATGATCTTTCTGAGACACCATGTAGCACCATCTTTTGTAGGGTCATCACATGAAGATCCAATGTATCGCGCAGTTGTAGCCTCACCCTAAGCCAACATGGTGTTGATGGAGGGTCGAACAAGTGCCATCATAGGACAGTCCTGGTCCTCACACGAGTGTCTCTGCAAACATGCAAAGATACAGAATATTCCTGGGCTACTCCTCGATATCAGAGGTCACGAACTCATCGTAGCACATTTTTGATCTTATAAAAGAAGCCATTCAGCGCATAATGGACAAACCGTGGCATGAGGCCTGAGATGGAGGAATGTTGCATGGTCACGATTGAAATCGCGAATCCATAGGCAGTGCAATCGAGGAGGATTGCAGTCAGAGACCTGGATTCCGTAAATGGAGTGTTTCCGAACATCTCTTCGGATATCAGCGGCCACAAGTTCCGAACCTCAAAAAGCGCGCCACTAGAGCGGAACGTCTAGTGAAAGCCATGCGACATAGTCTTACGCATAGTCAGTGTTACGAGCTGCGTATGCATGCCAAATTCGAGGCACCTTTGTCAGGGATAAATCAGGAAAGCAAACACTCACATCATGTTTGACTGCTAACTGCAAAATCTCGCGGAAGGTATTGATTGAGTCTTGACCACGTATTGGGTCTCGCTCTAAATAGCCTATATGGGTGTCTGTGGCAAGCATTATCTTTATCGTATCATCTGCTGCTGTGAATAACATAAATAACAACATTAAACACGACTTTCTGTTGGGCAAACGCGGTGCTCACAAGCTTTCTGTATCACGGGTGGCGGTGGCATGGCAGGTTCTTCATTTTGTGAGGACCCCATGATAACTCTGAGAAATCCAGGAGATTCTGCGTGTTGTTATTTGAAGACGAAGATGATGGCGGAGGCGAAGATTTTTAGCGTGAATTGTGGCCGCACTACAGAAAGCAAAGGGGATCCAGCTACAATCGACGCCAAAGCGAAACGCGACGCGGCGTGTCACATGCGATCACGTGGGTCGTTTCTCGCGGTCGGCGTGGCTCTAAGCGCCGTCCATATTTCGCAGCGTGTGCTGCGGCACCCTTTCCTTTTGCAACAGGTTCTGTCACCCTTTGTTTTGCTTTCCACGTCGACGGTGACGGCGACGTTCAGAGACCATGTCTCACCAGTCTCATTCACACCACCAAAATTCGCCGTCTAGGGCCCTCGTTGTAAGCCTGAGTTGGTGCGGCGTTGACACGCAGATGATGAGTATGTTGCTAGATCGGAACAGTCTTGTTCTACCTCGTAGCAGCGCTGTCGGTGAGTGGAATATTTGATAAGCGATTGTTGATTCGCTGAGCTCGAGGCAGTGTAGATGGTCATGGCGTGCGTTGCTTCCCAATCTTCATAATGAATTGATGGCAGCGGGAGAGGTGTCCCATGTCACGACGTTTGCTTCTCCTGCTGTTCGCTAGCCATGAGCACCGGCTTGCCTGTGCACACCCTCCCAGCGGGCAGTTCTCGTTGAAACTTTTATGATTATCGTGAGATACGGGTTCATTTCACTGACGGACGTGCAGAAATAAATGGGTACTGAATACAACCGACGTGCCACTATTCTTTTTGGATACCCAGCTGCTCATCGCCGTCGTCCTCTTTTTGATGGCGCACGTGGTCGGGCTGTTGCAACTGCCTATACGACTGGACATGCAAGTATGCAAGGGTCTCATCCCCATGGTGGGGCTCAACGTGATCGGTCTCAGGTGAGTTTCCGCACAAACATTGGTGCGTTTTCTGGGAGCTAATACAGGCATACCGCACAGCTTCAGCAATTATACGCTCAAATATGTTGACGCGTCGTTCTACCAAGTCGCACGAGGCATGGTTCTCCCATTCACTGTCGCGACATCCTTCTTGCTGCTGCATGCGCGCCCCTCGCTGCGGATCCTCTTCGCATGCTCGATCGTCACCTTTGGCTTCTTCATCGGTGTCTTCCTCGACGGCACGCCTGTCTCGCCTATGGGCATCTTCTTCGGTGTCGTGAGCTCAATGATCACCGCGCTGCACTCGGTCGTTATCAAGAAGGCGCTTGACATCGTGCACGGCAGCGCGCTGCACCTCTCGTGGTACACGAACCTGCTTAGTGCGGTTCTCCTTGCGCCGATCCTCGTTCTGGTGGGCGAGCTCCCCCGCGTGACGCGCCTGCTATTTGGCCCTAATGAAGCGCCTGTAGGCGAGTTGAGCACCTTGGGGACCTTTTTGCTCGGTTCTGCGATCACGGTAGGTCGGCCTGCTGTAACGGCTGTGCGAATATCTCAGTCAATACATTGATTGCAGGGCGCGTTCGGCTTCCTCATGAGCATTGCGAGCCTCCTCTCTATCAAAGTCACATCACCTATCACACACATGGTGTCCTCTGCCGTGCGGGGGGTCGCTGCCTCCCTTCTCGGCATGTGGCTCTTCCACGATGTTATCACAACGTACGTGCGCCGCATGTCCTCCACTTCATTCTGGCCGGCTGACGACCATTCTTTCACCCAGTGGGCGCGCATCTTCCATAGCAACTATCCTTTTCGGCTCGCTATACTACACCTGGGTCAAGCATGTCGAGTCGCAGGCGGCCAAGCCAGCGAACGGCCACTCATACGAGCAGGTGCCCCTCGAGGATGCCGAGGCTGGCAAGGCATCGGGCAAGCCAGAGTAGACCCGGACGGCGAATGGAATGTATGGATTGGATTGAATCATAGAGACATACTTGATAGTTTAGTGTACTGGATTGTTCGTGACTGGATCATCGATTAATTGACGAGAGCGCCTGGCCAGGTGGCCATTGCTCGTTCACCTCCCAATGATGACCCTAAGTTCGGTGAGGATCCGGGCCCAAGATATCACTATACATGGAATGGATTCGTAGAGACGCTATTACCACTATTCCTCGCCCACACTCTCCATGATCAGCCACTCCCCGTAATACATGCATCCTTTCGGGTCCACCGGTCCCCCGCTCTTGCAAAAGTCGAAGGTCGGACAGCGCGTACACGGCGCTTGCGCAAGCCCAGGAGCAGTGTGCTCCTGGCGGACGGCGCGGTACACGTACGCGCCGTAGTCCGCACGGATCTCGTTCATGGCGGGAGGCGAGGAGGAACGCGGGCGCGACTTCGTCTTGGACTTCGAGCGCGAGCGGTTTTTGTCGCCTTCCAAGCCCGAGCTGTTTGACTCGGAGTTCTCGCTCTCGCTTTCAGAGGCGTGCTGGCGCTTCTTGCCTTTGCTCTTGCCTCTATTATTGTTTTTGGTCTTGTTCTCATCGCTGTCACTGTCATCGCTCTCCTTCAAGCGCCTTCGCTTCTTCTTGGGCTTCCGTTCACTCTCGCTCTCGTCTGTGTCGCTTACTTCCTCCTTTTTGCGCCTCTTCTTGCGCTTACGTTCGCTGTCGTTATCGTCTACGTCAATTGCGTCCTCGTTGCGCTTCTTCGATTGTGGTTTGCGCTCGCCTTCGCTCTCATCTGCGTCGCTCATATCCTTCTTCCTGCGTTTCTTCTTTGGTTTTGGTTTACGCTCACTCTCACTTTCGTCTGTATCGTCTACAACCCCCTTCTTCTTCTTCTTCTTCTTCTTTCTTGAACTTGTCTTCTGCTCTCGGCCGTCATCAGACTCGTATTCCGACTCCGAACCTGAGGACTGGCTTGATTTGCTCCGTTTCCGTTTGCGCGACGAACTCGCCTTCTCCTTTCGTTTCTTGCTTTCCCGCTCCTCATCACTCTCGCTCTCAACCTCGTGGGCGTTCAACCCCCACATGGCGGCACCGAAGGCAGGTATCTTCATGAAATCTTTGAGCATATTATTCGTGAAACGGCTGTCTTGATGAACTGACCTCCTCAATCTCACCATCGAGGACCAGCACGTTCAGCAACATCTCGACGTGCTCGACGTTGAGCTGCGTTTCTGTGATCCGGCTCTTGCTTAGGAAAGTCAGGATCTGTTGTGCGGTCGGGTACGGTGGTGCAGCAGAAATCGGGTATAAAGGCTGATTATGTTCTGAGTGAACTTCCGTGGCTTTTTGTTTTGGAAAACTCTGCGAGGGACAGTTCAACGCAAGACAGGTGCCGAACATGAGCTTCACTCACACGATCACGGATGAAGCGTAGACACGCACTGCAGAGCAGCTTGATGAACTCTGTATCGAGCTCGTTGTCGGTGTACCATGGCCCTCCAGTCATCTCAACGGAAGGATCGAGGTGGAACAGCATGTAGATTTTGCGAGTAGGATACTGCGCGTACATGAGATCAGACCTTGACCGCCTGAAATATCCATCATAACGCACCTTTACCGACTTTACGGCCTTGATGAGCTGCTTTTGCGTGAGCGATTTAATGCAGCGATCGATGATGGTCTGGTGTAGCTCAGTCTTGGCTTTGAGATGCTTAGTCCAGATGCCTGACTCCGTCAGTACTGCATACATGATATAGAGAGAACTGTCCTCACCTTCGTTGCCTGAAGCTTGTATGTGGCTGAGCACCATGCCCTCCTCCCCGGTCATGTCCTTCTTACTGTATCCCGAAGCTCAACGTCATCGGGTATGACTGACATGAATTACACGCACACTTCAATCTCCTTCTTTGCAACCACACGGAATGACAAGACACCCTTCGTGTCCTTCATGGCTTTGAATAGACCCTGCACCGAGAGATGTCAATGCGTGTATTCCTTGCTCGCGATGCAGCTCACTCACCGTACCTAGCAGAAAATTGATCGCATCCATACGAGAAGCAGCATCTGGGATGAGGGTCTCGACTTCTTTTTGAGACAGAGTCTACACGTCCATAAGCCCACATTCCCTCGCAAGTGATATAACTCAGCACCTTCTTCGGGTCGGCCAGAGCTGCTTGGTGTAGCCTCTGCTCGAGTGCACTGAGCTTGCGGCCGCTCATCGTGATCGTAACTCTTCGGCGTGATATGCTTTGCGAAAGACTCGCGTCCGGACTGGTGAGAAATGAGGGAGCTGGATGCTGCTATCAGCGACTCACTGGCATCTGCTTTGCCGCCTGTGACAGCGACGCGATGAGTCACGGTGACTTGTGCGTGACACTCGCGTCGATGTTCCCGCAAATCGAATTGGATCGGGTCGCCTCGCAGCAGGTGAATCCATTGGTTCGGCTCCATATTTGGTCCGGATTGTGGCTTTCAAGCCGAACTGTGGTGCATGACGTCACGCGTGAAACGCGTGCTCACACGACTCATCGATCGTTTTGACCCGCTTGCATGCCTTGACCAGATACCCGCCACAGCAAATCCTCCTCGAGTTCTGTTGCAGAAAATGTCTCTCACTGCATATTATACCGAGCAGGCAGATCAAGATAACCTGTTGTCCTACTTCGACAAGAGTGCTACGCTCGTCCGACAGACATTTTTGCAGTAAGCGCATCCACAGGGTCTTGAGGCGGAATCGGAAAAGCCTGAACATCTCACAGTTATGAAAGCAAATATGCACGCCCTATCATGCGATCAGTCGTACAGTCTTTCTACGACCGACCCATTCTTTCGGTGAGTATCTCTGCGATCTACCATAGAGACTTGGCCGACGGGAGCTTACATCCTTGTTTCAGACACTTCTCGCCATTTTTGCAATCTTGAGCCTTCTTCCCACGCTTTCCTTCATGTAAGTGTGATCTGCTGTTCGTCGTACCGATGCACTAAGTCATGGTACCCTCTAAAATGCAGAGGATTTGCCCTTTTCATACTCGCGTCCTGTTTTATTATCTGTCTCGGGTGCTTCCTCGTCGCCATCTCCGTGATCGCATTTTTTGGTACGTTGTATATTCTATAGACATTAATCTGCTGATCGTACGAGACGCGCGTGGTAGGAATGTTCTTCGTGGCCTCGCTTCTTGCCACGCTCGGTGTCTCTGTGTTCCTCACCGCCTTTGGTGTTGGCGGATACTCCGTTCTGCAAATGGCACTCCTTGTACGAGCCGACGGGCCTCGTGCAGGCATCAACGGTTGGATGCAACAGAACAAGCAGCACTTGTTCGCCTCCATGCCTGCAAAGTCCGAGTTTGACGCCCAAGATTATCCCGAAACGGAGAAAAACGGCGATGTGCTGCATGGCATAACGACAGAAAGTATTGTTGCAGATAATTCTAAGGCGATGGGAGGCACAGTGTCGGAGGTTGTGGACAACGATTCCGGGGAGCACTCACTAAAAGAGGAAGAGAGCAACTGATGTCTGCAGCCCGTAGATTGTTTGTATCGAGAATGTTATGTCGCCAGTTGAGAACTTATACCCTCGGACTATATGGTCTGGATCCATGCATGTACTACCTCGAGATCCCACGCCCAAACGTCTGTTCGCGCATACCACATACGACAGGAATAACACAAGGGTTCGTTACACGAGAAACATCACTAGTATGCGAGGTGGCCAGCTTGAACGGCTAAGCTGGCTAGAGTGCAGCTAAGCTTAGAGTCACCTCTAGAACTCGATATGCGTGTAACAGTAGTATTGCAGCGAGAAGTCGCCACTGGCAAGTCACTCATGTGCATGAGTTGTGACGCAGCAGTACATACACAGTTTGGATCACATGCAAACAGGGGTTGAACTAGTTTTCTCATCATCCTCGATGCATATCAAAAAAAAAACAGCTGCTGTCCGTATATGCGCTTTATCTTGCAAAAGAACAAACAATTTAATGACTGGTTTTGTTGAAGCTAGGCGTATATATTCGGACACAGGCAGAGCGAACAATGCAGTAATATCAAATCACCATATGTTAACCTCAACGAATTTACAATGTCCCACTTACTCAAAAGAGCGTGGCCGAACAACGGGAATGGCCTGTAGTTCGATGCGGTCGATCTCGACCGCGCTGTCCTTGAATGCATTCGAGATATAGGTCACGCCATTGCGCCTGAGATGGTGGCGAGCGTTCAAGCTGGCGAATAACCGTCAACGCGCCGATTGTGCGAAAAGAGCAATGTACATACACTGCAAGAAGCGAGTTGACATAGACTGTTGGACACCAGTCATCAATAATTCTGCATCGTAAGGAGACGAGAGCTCACTTTTGCTGCCGGGAAGTTGCAGGAGGACCCAGTACAGGACGTTCTTCGGTAGAGAGATGTACTGATGGGTGCGTTTTCACGACTGATCTTCCATCTCAATAAATAAGATACTCACGATGATCATTTGGATAGTCTGGATGAGCCTGACAGCACGATCATCTGCCAATCCATTCTCACCCAATACTTTACAAAATGATACTCACGTCGTTAAAACCCCACGGTTTATTACGAGCACTTGGAGATTATGGATGAGGTCCCGTGTTCTGAAATAAACATGTTCAGAGAAGGAGTGTGCGTGTCATGTCCTGCATAGGTACCCCATAAAACCTGTGTTGTGTCTGCTCAGAGCATGCGTCGAAGCGATCGTGATGCAAATATCCGTCAGAGAGGCAGAGGAAACCTGCAGCGTCGCGGTGGACTTCAAAGGTCGTGAGCAGAGAAATGTCATGTCGTTGTGTTATGTCGGAAATAGGGTCACCTTTGCTGCTGAGAAGATGTTGGGAAAACTGAAGTTGTGCAACCTGCAATATTAAAATGATGATGTGCAACTTCTTTGACAAGGGGTATGACGTACGCTTCATTCACGTTCACTAAGCGCGAGATTGGATGACAGTCAACAGATGCAACGTTGACACAATGAGAGGCCTACCGAAGCCAGTCACTGTCACTGGCCAGTGAGCATCGCCATGCAATCTGCGGATGGACATACTCACCGAATGACAGCAGGGAGAGCGCACTCTGAGTTGATCAATAACAGTACGTGTCTCGAATCAGGACCCGCGAAAGTCAACGCACTAGAAACGCGGTGATCGGAATCGTAGATGTATCCTTGGACACCTCGGACAAGACTGTAACGTCAACAGGACGGTAAAACCCACAGGTGCCACGAAGGATTGTAGTTAACACTCACGTCTCCAAATGATGTAGATATAATAGCTGACGGGATTGACGCAGTTAGTGCAAAGAACCTCCAGTTTAAGGTATTGACTGACCATTGTACGAGAAACACTATTGGCACCTAGACGAGTGACTCTGAACGTTTCGAAAACACCGCTACCGTTGATCACTCACCGCTAGTGCATACTCGGCCTGAGTTGCTATACGTCAGTGACGTTCCGTACCCATAGCAGAACTCACTAACAACGGCTGTACTGTGCACGATTTATCAAAATATCAATATGAAGGCGAGTGGAATACATCATGAAATGCGACCGACCTGTATAATTTTGCGAGTTCGAGCGACCCTTCATGACCTGCCACGAGATAATGCCATACAATCTTTCGAGCGGTGAGCAGCTGTTCCAGCCTTGCACAAAGCCACAATAAGTACCATAATGACAACGATTGTGTGAACAGTATCCAGCAACCTGGTACGAGTATAGATGACGCTTCAACACCACGGAACATCACGGAGAAGCTCACCACAACATGGCGACCTGTGAAGGCATCAGAGGAGCCTGGACATCCATTATGAATGACCACAGCACACACCAGCAGTTTCAGCATCCACCTGTCCTCGGGATACTTCCATACGTAATATAAAACCTGAGCAACGCTGCAGCCATAGAGCCTACGCGCCTCCGCTCATTCAAGTTGATCAGAGACGTTTGAGCCTATAGTCCTCACATAAGAGCGAACAAGAAGCCGACCAACAGAGCACCCAGTGTATTTCCCAGGTTGATAAAGTCGATCCCAGACATTGCAACCTGAAGATTCGCTCAGAGTGATGTATAGAGTGGGCAGAGTGCTACCGTCCATTATGCCCGCCGAATAGGAGAATATATAGTGGCCTGTCATACGGTCAGCAATCGACGTTACCACTTCTCGGCGGAGGTCTATCACACTTGACGACGCGATCAAATCTGTCATCGGCTTTGGAAAAGCCGTAGACACATCCATTCGTCCATCCGTATGGAAACACAGCGGCAGCGGTGGTAAGAATGGTGATCCTTTTCGTGGTGACATCCCTTCCGTGTCCTGATGTGGTTAGCTCGCAACGTCAAGGTGTGGACAGCAATGATCGGCGACTGAAGAAAGGAATCGCTGACGACCCTTTAACGTAAAATCTCACTTCACTGTACTGCGTAGTATGAGTGCTGCGTTCTCCCGGATGCTTCGACTGTCAGGACAATCAACGTACCTTGTGACAAGGCGGGACAACGTGGATCGGAGAAAGAGCTTCAATAAGGTGGTTGGATTGCCATCGCCTGCATGCACTTCTTGAACTCCGCCTGATCCACAGCGAAGAACTATTGCTGTGGGTTACAGCGGTGCATTACCCGAAATCTTATCCGACGTGCGCGCATCTTTGACGGAACACACGTGAACAAGTCCTTCTGAGATTCTGGCCACGCTCGGTGTCTCTGCAGTGTTCCTCACCGCCTCAGCGGCGGCACCTCTGGTGTGGGTGCATACTCCATCCTGCAAATGGCGCTCCTTGTACGAGCCGACGGGCCACGTGCAGGCATCAACGGTTGGGTGCAGCATGACAAGCAGCATTTTCTCACCTCCAAGCCTGCAAAGCCCGAGTCTGCCGCCCAAATTTATTTAAAAACCGAGAAAAACGGCGATACGCCGGGGGGCATGAAGACAGGAACTATCGTTATGGATGATACCAAGGCGATGGGAGGCACAGCGTCGGAGGTTATGGGTAACGACTCCGGGGTCCGGGGAGCACTCACCAAAAGAGAGCAACTGATGTCTTGAGCTCTTGCATTGTTTCCGCCAATTGTCTTGTGTGCGCCTCCCCGTGTATAGAATGTTCTGTTGCCAGTTGAGCTTATACCCTCGGACCATGTGGCCTGGATGCATGAATCCCATACTACTAGCCTCGAGATCCCATACCCAAGCGTCTGTTCGCACATACCGCATACTACACGTCGGGGCCGCTTGCTTGAGATCGACCGGAATAACACAGACGAAGTTCGTTACACAAGAAACATCACCGGTATGCGAGGTGACCAGCTTGAACGGCTAGGCTGGCTAGAGTGCAGCTAACTTTAGAGTCACGCGGTGATCGGAATCGTGGATGTATCCTTGGACACCTCGGACAAGACTGTAATGTCAATAAAACGGTAGAAAGCGCAGGTGCCACGAAGGATTGCAGTGAACACTCACGTCTCCAAATGATGTAGATATAATAGCTGACGGGATTGACGCCGTCAGTGTAAAGAACCTCCAGTTTATGATATTGACTGACCATTGTACGAGAAACACTATTGGCACCTAGACGGATGACCTCTAAACGCTCCGAAAGCACCGCTATCCTTTACCACTCACCGCTAGTGCATACTCGGCCTGATTTGCTATACGTCAGTAATGCTACATACCGGTAACAGAACTCACTAACAACGGCTGTGCTGTGCACGATTCATCGATATATCAATATGAAGGCGAATAAAATACATCATGAAATGCGACCGACCTGTATAATTTTTCGAGTTCGAGCAAATTCCCATGACCTGCCACGACATAATGCCATACAATCTGCCGAGCGGTGAGCAGCTGTTCTGGCAGTGCACAGAGCCACTGTAAGTACCATGATGTCAATGATTGTGTGAACAGTGTCCAACGACCTGGTACGAGTATAGATGACGCTTCAACACCAGGAACGGCACGGAACAGCTCACCACAACACGGCGACCTGCGAAAGCATCAGAGGATCCTGAACGTCCATTATGAATGACCACAGCACACACCAGCAGTTTCAGCATCCACCTGTCCTCGGGATACTTCCATACGTAATATAAAACCTGAGCAACGCTGCAGCCATAGAGCCTACGCGCCTCCGCTCACTCCAGTTGATCGCAGACGGTTAAGCTAATAGTAGTCCTCACATAAGAGCGAATAAAAAGCCGACCAACAGTGTATTTCCCAGGTCCAGAAAATCGAACCCAGACATCGCAAAATGAAAATTCGCCCAGAGTGATGAATAGTGGGCGAGTGCTACCGTCCATTATGCCCGTCGAACAGGAGAATATATAGTGGCCTGTCATACGGTCAGCAATTGAACTGATGCCTGTCATGCACCGAGAACTTGAAGCACTTCTCGGCAGACATCTACATATCACAATTGACGACGCCATCTCTGTCGTCGGCTTTCAAAAAGCCGTAGACACATCCATTCATCTATCTGTATTGAAGCACAGAGGTGGTAAGAATGGTAATCCTTTCCGTGGTGATATCCCTTCTGTGGTCTGACGTGGCTAGCTAGCGACGTCAAGGTGCCACTTAGAGATGTCGCGTTTCGAGTGGACAGCAATGATCGATGGCTGAAGAAAGGAATCCAGCAAATGATTCGCTGATGACCCTTGAACGGGAAATCTCACTTCACTGTACTTCATATGAGCGCTGCGTTCTCCCGGATGCTTCGACTGTCAAGATAATCGACGCACCATATGACAATGCGGGACAATGCAGTGGGCGGGAGACCGTGGCAAAGTGCTTGAATAAGGTACGACGATAGCCGCTGAGGAAATGATCACATAGCCTGGGATTGTCGTCGACTGCATGCATTTCTCTAGCTCTGCCTCGATCCGCAGCGACGAACTGTTGCTGTGGGCTGCAACGGTGCACAATCTGGAGTCTCATCCACGCGGGCATCCTTGACGAACCACAAGTGAACAGATCCTTCTGAGAAATGCCAACTCGAATAGATGACAGATGTAGATGTCCTTCCGGTGATCCGCCGTTTTGGTCTCCCCTAGCAGACCTATAAATCTCCTTTTTTGAGTGAGGGGAGGACATGAGATATAAAGTCCGCCGCTGGACATGGCGCAGTTGGCAGCTTCTGGCAAAACTCGGTTTCCGAGTGCGCTCACTCTTCCAGTCCCGACCTCGTCGGTGTGAGCAAATAGATCTGAAAGCTCAAATCAGGTATGTAGTTGAAAGCAGTATCCAAGTGAAATTCGATTAGCGCAACGGAACCGCATTGTGACGAGCTGCGCTGCCTGAGGCACTCTGCTGAACAGGCGGCTGGGTTCAGGAAGATTGTGCATGGGGCAGAAAACTTCATCATCTGAAAGCGAGAATCCGTGAGGTTGGTGAGACTGGGTAAACGAGACGTTGTGCTCAACATCTCGACGGTTCAGCCACGCTCCGACGAGCTGCCCTGCTGGACGAGGCAATATAAAGTTACTTATTTGATTTTGCGCCTTCCGTCAGTTTCCGCCCGCGTAAATGTGATGAGATTCGTTGCCATGTGTGCATTCATTGTACCAACAGAACATGCACAAGGTGGTTCAGGACATAGATGTGCGTGCCAAAAAAAGGAAGCGCGTCTCGACAACGGGCGCTAACACGCTGTTAACACTGAACCAACTCCTCCACAGCTCTCTTTCTCCGGATCTTTCGTGGTTGCTCCAGATTTCTGCTATCTTTGCCGTCGTCGCTGCTACTTTAGCGTCTTTCAAGAACCTTGGCTTGCGTCTGAGGATAACTTTCGACGCTGCTCTCCCGTCTCCTCTTCACTGACGTGTGGCGAAAGCCAGCTGCTAATTTCTGACATTCTACAAACATGCAAGACGGACGAGCTCCTCGGTATGCAGCTTATTATTTTCAAATAACGTATCTCACTGTACCCCAGCATCAAGAACCGCGCACCTGCGGCAATCCAGGCACGTCATAATGATTTGGTTCTCTGCTATTTTTGCTAAAGTTGTGTAGGTGACCGCGGAACAACTTCTTCGAGATGTACGCATAGAGGCACTGCCTCCACAAACTCAGTCATTCTAACAAAAATTCAGGCTCAAGAGCGGCAAGAGTCGCAGTTTCGTGCACCAAAACAACGAGTGGAGGATTTCGAGGAACTGCATGAGTATCGTGGTAGGAAGCGTGAGGAGTTCGAGAAGCGCATTAGGCAGACAAGGGGGAATATGTGAGTAAAGACTGTCATCAAAAAGTGGACGATATCCTGACATTTCGCGCCAGCAAAGAATGGCTGCAATATGCCAACTGGGAGGTAAGTATTCATCCATGTAACATGCAATAACGGTCATTCACCCTCCTTCCATCTCAACTTAGGCAAGTCAAGGAGAGTATGCTCGCTCACGATCAGTCTTTGAGCGTGCACTCGACGTCGACCCTCGCAGCGTCCAGCTATGGTTAAGCTACACCGAGATGGAGCTAAAAGGCCGCAACGTCCAGCACTCTCGCAACCTGTTTGACCGCGCTGTCACCCTGCTTCCGCGCATCGACCAGCTCTGGTACAAGTATGTTTACCTCGAGGAACTACTGCAGAACGTGCCGGGCGCGCGCCAGGTGTTCGAGCGGTGGATGCAATGGGAGCCGGAGGACAAGGCATGGCAGGCGTACATCAAGATGGAGCTACGGTACAATGAGTACGACCGCGCGAGTGCGATATATGAGCGCTGGATCGCCGTGAGGCCCGAGCCGCGGAATTGGGTCAAGTGGGCTAAGTTTGAAGAGGAGCGATCGAAGCTGGACAAAGCGCGAGAGGTCTTCCAGACTGCCTTGGGATTCTTTGGGGATGGCGAGGAGGAGGTGGAAAAGGCCCAAGCTGTGTTCGGCGCATTTGCAAAGATGGAGACGCGTCAGAAGGAATATGAGCGGGCGCGAGTAATCTATAAGGTGAGCTCCTCTCGTCTATTTCCATCGAATAGAGAGCGTCTTAACATGATCTCAGTTCGCGCTGTCCCGTATACCCCGGTCTAAGTCTGGCTCGCTTTACGCGGTGTACACGACCTTCGAGAAGCAACATGGCACGCGATCGTCACTCGAGTCAACGGTCCTGGGCAAGCGGCGGATACAGTATGAAGACGAACTTGCACAAGACGGGCACAACTATGACACTTGGTTTGAGTACTCGCGCTTGGAGGAAGGTGCGCTTCGGGACGCTCGAGAAGAGGGCGCGTCAGTAGAGGAAATCGAGGCTGCCATTGGGCGCGTCAGGGAGGTATATGAGCGTGCAGTAGCTCATGTACCGCCAGGTGGGCAGAAGAGGCATTGGCGAAGGTACATCTTCCTTTGGCTCAACTACGCGCTTTTCGAGGAGATTGAGACCAAGGTGCTGCGATTCATTATCCTCTGACTTTGTACGAGCTCACATCCGCTTGCTGTAGGACGATGGACGCGCCCGACAAGTATATCAGACTGCGCTCAAGATTGTGCCGCACAAACAGTTCACCTTCGCGAAGTTGTGGCTCACGTTTGCGAAATTCGAAGTGCGGCAGCTGGACCTGGGCGCGGCTCGCAAAATACTGGGCACAGCGATTGGAATGTGTCCGAAGGAGGCTCTGTTCAAGGGATACATTCAGCTCGAGCTTGATGTGAGCTATTATTGGTTCCATCGCGTACGTCACGCTGTCTTACTCAAACCTGTGTAGCTGCGCGAGTTCGATCGTGTCAGGACGCTGTATGAGAAGTACATCGAGGTAGGCCATCATCGAAGTCAGTAATACTGTCAATGACAATTATATCCTGCAGTTCGATCCGAGTAACTCATCCGCATGGGTCAAGTACGCCGAGCTGGAATCTCAACTGGAGGATTTCGAGCGCACACGCGCGATCTTCGAGCTCGGCACGACACAGCAGCCGCTCGCAATGCCAGAAGTCTTATGGAAGGCATACATTGATTTCGAGTCCGAAGAGGGCAACAGGGAGGGCGCGCGCGCGCTGTACGAGCGTCTCATTTCACTGAGCGGGCACTGGAAGGTGTGGATCTCGTACGCGGAGTTCGAGGCTGCGCCTATCCCGCTTGCGCGTGAGCTAAGGGAGGAGAAGGAAGAAGAAGAGGGAGAGGAAGTCGAGCTTGTTCCTGGAGATGTGGAGCGCGCGAGACAGGTGCTCGAGAGAGGTTATAACGACCTCCGAAAACAGGGCCTCAAGACTGAGGTAAGCATTGTCCCGCTCTCTGCAGCACGCTATGTATTGATGTAATTCGTTGTTTCCTAGCGTGCTGCACTGCTGGAGGTCTGGAAGACGTTTGAAGAGAAGAACGGATCGCCGGAGGATGTTCAGAAGGTGCAGAACAAGATGCCTCTGGTCAGCCGACGCCGTCATGTGGAGGAAGGCGGCACAGAAGGTACGTTTCTTCATTATTGTTCTTTGCATGACTAGCTACTTATGCTACGCTCAGTGCTCGATTGGGACATGGTGTTCCCCGACGATGAGCGCGAGTCCAACCCGACTTCGTTCCAGTTCCTCCAGATGGCGCACGCTTGGAAGAAGGCTCAGGCCGCAAAATCTAAGGACCAGCAGGCCCATGCCCAGCCGAAGGAGGAGCCCAAGGAAAGCAGCACCAAGGCTGAGGAGTTGAACGGAAACGGCCCTGCTGGTGAAGACGAGGATGCCGCCAGTGCGAGTGATGCTTCGAGCTCACATGGCGAAGATTGACGAACAACTTCAATACCATGAGATATATCCTTTGATAGTGCTGTTGTTAGTTCGTATTCCTAGTCTGTTCTCATCATGCATGTATTGCAGCCTGAGCAGTGATGCTCAGCAGTGAGATAGCTACTTTGGGTTTCTAAATATTGTTTGATGTCGAATATCCGTGGTTGCACTCTGGAGGGACTCGGCCACCTCGCCGAGGTGGCCGAGCGAGTGCATGATCACGTGGGATTACTGTATTCGGTCCACCCTGTTACGCTCAACTCCCGAGACTCGACTTGATGCTCTTGTACCCTCCTATTCATTCGTTTCGGGCTTGCGCGGTACACTGGCTTGGATTTTGCAGGCTTCGTTGAGGTCGCCATCAAAAGTAAGCAACAAGGGTGCTTATATAACCTGATCGGCGTCGTACTAACACGCGTTTCTCCCCAGCTCGATCTATTTCTGGCCGACAAACCTCTCAGCCGTGCGACTGTTCCGCCAGATTCTCGCTAGGCAGAGGCCTCTTGGAGCGGGAGTAGAAGGACTATTGCTCATCAAGCGACATCCGAGCTCCTCGAGACCGTTACGTTTCACTCGTGCTTTTGTCCCGGACAACATGGCCACCGTCAACTTCAAGCACGTCTCACAAGAGGTCTACGCACTATCAAGCTCTTCGCATTCACTTGCTCCGCTGGTGCGGGAGGCATTGACAGTGATCGATGATGCTCTGGATGAATTTGGGTGAGTGCGGATGGGAGTCGTGCCATTCTGTGGCTGAGTAGCGCCCTAAGACTGGAACGACTGTCTCTGAGCTTCAATGGGGGGAAGGATTGTAAGTAACTACGGTTGATGGAAGTTACGCTACCGACTCTATGCTGCAGGCACCGTACTGCTCCATCTACTCGCTGCTTCCCTTGGTCGCAGAAATCTCGCATCAAAACGAATTCCAGCCGTATACATTCCCGTGCCATCGCCGTTTCCGCAGCTGGAATCATTCGTCGAAGAAACAGCACGGGAATACCACCTTGATCTGTTTCACTGTCCCTTGCCTGAGCCGGAGCTCCCAGTGGAGACAATTGAGGCGCCTACTACGCCACCCTCAAACGGGCATGGGAAGGGGAATGAGTACATCGGTCCTCGACCAGGTACGAAGGTCAAAGGAGGCGAGGGCATGAAGCGGGCATTGCAGCTATACAAGGAACGCTTTCCGCGCATTGACGCGATTCTCATCGGTACTCGTAAAACAGACCCGGATGGAGGTATGCATTCCTCATTCATCCTGTTGTTCCCACCCTTTTGACAGGTACACTTCAAGCGAAGCTCTCGTTTCGTTCGCCAACCGATGCCGATTGGCCGCGCTTTCAGCGGGTCAATCCCATCCTCGACTGGTCATATAGCGCTGTATGGGACTATCTTCGCAAGCTCAAGGTACCATATTGCAACCTCTATGATGAAGGGTATGTCGCACGACCAACTACCACGACCAATTACGTGAACTGGTGACCCGCACTGACTGCCTTTAGGTATACATCGCTTGGCTCGACTTACAATACGTTCCGCAACCCGGCGCTGCTGATCCAGCCAGCATGCACCGAATGCTTACCCCCAACGGCCACGGTCGTGTCAGAAATTCCCCCACTGGCGATGCCTCATAGCCACCCAACCGACCTTGACAATCACCATCCACATGCACCCGACACGCCCGTCTCCGACATACCCGCTTCCGACACCATATCCGCCTTTCCCCTCCCGGACCACATCGAGATTATCCCGGGCGATCCTGGACGGGTGTGCATCGCGGACGCGAACAGTATCAACCCGCTCCCGGACAAGCTGGAGATGATCCGTGGAGACCCGTCGTTGACGTGCCACGCGGACGCGACGGGGGTCGACCCGCTGCCTGACCGGCTGCAATGGATCCCCGGTGACCCGTCGGCACTGTGCATCGCGGACGCATGCCAGTGCGAGCCGCGCTACCGACCTGCGTATGAGCTGCTGGATGAGAATCTGGAAAGAGCGGGGCGCGCGTCGGGAATCAGGCTGCCGATGTGATGGACGGTTGTATGTATAGTAATGGCAGACGTTGGGTCGTGTATCCGGATAAGTGTTGTACGATGTAGCAGGTCGCGTGGACTGCTCTGTCAAAGGATTTTTAGAGGGCTGCGTCAATTGAAATTTGAACTTGAGGCCTCAGGCTTTTAGGAGTTACGACTATGTGTCACAGGGCATTGATTGTGAGGTGTTCAAGCGTATTGAAAACCCAGAATGATAATATTGTCTTGTGAGCTTCAGCGCTTTCAGCTTCAAGCCTCGGGAGGGAGTTGTTGCGCCGGTGTGCCAGAATATTGTTTAGACTACTCTTCCACCATGTGCTCATACAACGACTCCTGATAATCATCATCGCCATTGTGAATGAGAGCTGTCCGCATAGAGCCAGAATTCTACCTTCACACAGTGGCACTAGGCGGGTTTCCCTTAAACTCCATCATGCAGCGTTGTGCGAGAAGTGGGCCCGTCGATGGTAAATCACCCAAGGAAACTCTCTGGAGGCTTCAGGGCGTTAGCTCTCATTTGTTTGAATATCGTATACACAAGCTCCTATGTATCAAATCATAAAGCATCTGTGGGCTAACGATGGTCATTATGCCGGGAGAAAGCTAATCGAGAATGACTGACGGAGATAAGGTGCTCTTGCTGCCAACATTCTTCCGATTCTTCTGCGAAGCCCATTCGGATTAATGGACACTTCCTTAGGAGCTGGTAAAATTTAGACTTTCGTGGCATTGGCGTTTTGTTCAAGGCTGATGAGAATTCACGCGGCTGAGAGGAGTCAGAATGACGTGGGAGGAATTCTATTTGTGCTTCGCAACCTGACCACAACCGTAGTCATCTGGAAAGTGATTGAGCTGAGATTGCTCCCCATTCAACCGTTAACGCGAACGGCCCGAGGTCGGTACGAAGCGCTAAAATGCCGTCCAACAACCTCGGTACTTACAGCTATCGCCACCCCGCACGGACTGTCACGTCACGCACGTTTTATCACGTGCACTGTGACAGGCACGCATGTGGCGCTACATTTGCAGTGGACATATCTTCACCTCTGCCTTTCCACCACTCGACAGCAATTTTGAGTGTCTCGCTCAACTCCAACTTGATTTTTTTGGCACTTTAGCGTGAGGACGAAGGTCTAATCTTCAAAATATTGCAGTCAAATCCAAAATTAGATACTCCCAGCGCCGTCCTTTTATCTAGAATCTGTTGGCGAAGTACTGGCTTCTTTTCTGATCCTTCGAGTCCTTGTCGAACATCGGCTCGAGATTTTAAGGAGCTCTCTCCGAACATCCTAAGCGATGCGGAGGCCGAAACACCCTGTGAATGGTCAGGCTCGCTCCACGTGATGCTCCTGGCCTACAATCCCTTTGATCATTCGACCTGAGACGGAGCTCCGGACCAGTGTCGCTCTTGACCCCTTCTGCAGTTGCGATCCCACTCGACTCCTGGCTTCTCCTATTCAACCATGAAGAAGAGTATCAGTGCCCTGTGCTTTTCATCAGGAGGACCCGGGTCGGGAAGCCGCAGGACGTACTCGCGGAAAGAATTATGGAGAAGATCGAGCTTGCCGGTGAGTACCCACGCCATTCGAACTGCGGCAGATTATGTGATTCGCGACCCACGATGCAACAGAACTCTGGCACCTCGCTAGCTAGCAAGACCGCGCGACGGCGACGATGACAGTGCTCAGCGAATTACCCACCCCGCACTCAATTGCGGAGTCCCCTGCTCCCTTCATGTCGCGGACACAGACCGAGTTTCCGTCGCCTTCTGTGATTTACCCTCCGTCCACGACGTTGAATTTCGATCAGGAGAAGGAGAATGAGGCGATCGTAGAAGATGCGCCGAGCAATACAGCACCATTACCGCCTGCGTCAGATTTTCCAGAGGGAGGGCTGCGCGCGTGGTCGGTTGTATGTGGTGGCTTCTTTGCTTTCATCGCCACATTTGGCGTGACGAATTCATATGTGCGTGACATCCGTGCTTGGTGTGCCGCTGAGATTTTGGACTGATGATAGCCTTGGTTCATGATGTGTTAGGGCGTCTTCCAGGATTATTATTCAGCGAACTTGCTACAACATTCATCATCGTCAACGATTGCGTTGATCGGCGCTATCCAGCTGTTTTTCCTGTACGGTGGGGGTCCTATCGTAGGCAGGATATATGATGCGTATGGCACAAGGGTAACGTAGCATCAGTCTTAACAACTCTGCGGCTATTGACGGCGGTGTATAGGTTCTCATCCCTCTGGGATCTGTAATAATCGTCTTCTCGCTAATGATGGTCTCATTAGTACAACCAGATAAGCCATACCAGCTGTTCCTCGCACAAGGCATATTGTTTGGCCTCGGGCTGGCTTGCATGTGAGGTCTCGTCCCAACCCTGAGGCACCAAAATCTAACATGATCATGCACGATACCTTTCAGATTCAACCCAGCACTCGCTGTCGCAGGCCATTGGTTCAAACGAAAGCGAGCGTACGCGATAGGCGTCATTGCGTCCGGCAGCTCGATCGGCGGCGTATTCTTTCCGATCATGCTGCAGCGCCTCATACCGAGCGTGGGGTTCCCGTGGGCCGTGCGGGCCATGGCATTTGTCTGCCTCGGGTGTCTGACGATAGCAACGCTAACCATCCGCACGCGACTCCCGCCGTCCAGGAATATCACGCTGAGAGGCTTGGTCGACCTCGAGGGCTTTCGCGATTGGAAATATGTATGTGCGTCAATAGGTGCTTTCCTGTGAGTAAATTACTCTCCTTCACCACTGCCCTGAGAGTCGAAGGCTCTGTGAATCGCAGGGTGTTCTATGCCGTTTTCACCCCGTACTTCTACATCCAAATCTATGCAAATATGCAAGGCGTACCAAATAGTCTTGCCATATACCTGCTGCCGATCATCAATGCGTTTGGCACGCCATCGCGGATTATCCCTGGTATCATGGCCGATAAATGGGGATGGTGAGTGCCTCGCAATTAAGAATCATTCTGAGCTGAACTATACTTGCTGCAACCAGCCTCAATGTGCTCGTTCCATCGACGTTGATTGCGAGTATATTCACGCTCGCCCTCTGGCTCCCGGCTCGTAGCGCCGCGTCGATCACTGCGTATGCAGCGATGTATGGTCTCTTTACAGGTGCGCACTTGTAGTAGCGCGGCCATCTCGTATGTTGGGTCCTGACGCGTCTTCATGCAGGAGCATTCGTTACCCTCCTACCTGCATACATCTACACCATCTCCCCGATTGAAGTGTACGGAGCGCGACTGGGTAAGTGACTCCGTCCTAGCTTGAATGTCCGGATGCCCACACGAACTCTAGGATCGATGTACCTGCTTGTAGGGATTGCCAATCTTGTTGGCACGCCGACCGCTGGGGCTTTCCTGAGCACGGTGGACCAGTCGGGCTTCAACGGGCTCATCATATTTACCGGTGTGCTCATGGCGGCCGGGTCGTTGATACTGGGCATGGTTGGTGTCGTGACTGAGATGCAGAAGCGGCGAGAAGCGGCGGCTTTGGAAACGGCAGAGCAGAAGGCATGACGAAAACTTCGCGCCTGGTCTGTTTCTCTGCCCATAAAGGGTTTGTAGCGGTTGGTCATAGAGTCACGGCTTAGTCGAGCGTGAAAAATCTGCGTTCGCTAGCCAGAATATCCTCACTTTGATACTCACTTATGGATCACATGTACGAACATTGTTCGACTCCATTCATGTCAAAGTACTTCTTTACTCCATCCGCCTAAGTACTACTAGTACTAGTGTGAGCTAGTCTTTGGTAGTGGTTCGGTATCTTCCGCTCGATCTTACCTTGGACCAATAGAGTTTGGATAGGATTAACAATTCGTCGGATAATTGCGAGTGGCCCCCGTTACACCCTCAGCAGTCACTCAACGCTTCCACCTGTGCGCCGCACATTCAAATTAGAGCCTGGGAACGAATCTCTTTGGTCATGAGTTTGTCTGATCGTATCTCCGCAAATCAGCACTTGGTCTCAGCCACACCGCAACTTGAAGTATTGACGAATAACAGAAGTTTGGAGAGGAGCATCCACATTTGGCTCAGAGTTGCCTTTGTGTGAGGCCAGTACTGCCTACAGGTATGTTCGTGGCGTTGTATTCAATGTGGTTGGACTGTGATGGTACGCCTTACGATCAGTTCTGCTCATCTGCTTGAACACGTTTGAGCGCAGATACAGCTCGAGCCGAGATCGTACTTGTATAAAAAGATACCCGGCTGTTCCTACTCGCTTGGAGTGTTTGCCAGGGAGCTACGACTCAGACCTGCCGCCGGACAATTGTTAAGGTCGTTTTACAGGTGAGCAATCTTATGTAGCTCAACATATTTTTGTGTCGTTGTTGCTCATGGATCGTAATCTGACCTTAAACGCTAGTCGCAGGGCTGTTTGAGATCATCACGACTGTCTCAAGCAGAAATGGATGTCCTCGTCTACTCGGGCCCCGAGGTCCTTCCATCCTCCCTGGCCCATTGTATTAACACCCTCCGCTCACTGCTAGTCCCAAACTATGCCGTCCAAGCACTCCCACACCAGCCTCTCGTCTCTCAGCCCTGGTCTGCCAATTGTGCGCTTCTCGTCCTTCCCACTTGTCGCGGCTTCCTGCCCTCCCTGCCGTTCCGCTCGGCCGTGAGTGCTTTTATCGAGAGTGGCGGCGCCCTCCTGGTAATCGGCGCCAGCGTGTCGACTCCGCGGCCTGTCATACCTGCGGTATCGCTCGAAGATCGGCTGGCGCATCTGAGGTTGTACGATGGCAAGTCGATGCGGCTTTTGGACAAGGTTTCTGGAAGTATGTTCGATGTCAGCCTCAGAGGGTGGTCGGAGGATTCGCTTCGATCGGTGACTGTAGAAGCCACAGGCGCACAGCCTATTCGTGGTATCATTGCTCCTGCTGATTTTGGAAAGCTCGACGTGGATACCACAGGAGATAGTGCAGAGGTGATTGCTAGATACGTTGACGCTGGCGACGAAACGAACTTAGCCGCTGCGATTCTTTGTTACGTCGGCAAGGGCAGCGCAGTCTTCTGGAATAGCCTTATCGACCAGCCACTCACGGAGGAACCTGCGGTGACCATTCTGAGCCAGGCAGAGCCGCCTCTATCCCAGGATAAAATCAGCGCTACCGAGCGGGGACGACAGGACCTGCTTCGAATGACTCTCCAACGGCTGGGTCTAGTCCTCCCGAAGAAGAAGCTCACTGTGCTCAGTCCCTTACCGCAATTCCTCATAAGCACGCCATCCAAGCCGTGGATCGTCGAGCGGGTCATGCAGGAGCTGTCCATACACTCCCTGGAAGAGCCACACATACTGAAGGACAACGCCGACACGTTTGAATTTCGCGATGCCTCGAAGGATTCGGACTTACCGGACTCTGCGCGAGAGGCAGCAGCGAAGAACGTAAAGCTGGATGCTTCGGTTTTGCAGCCGAAGATTGTGCTTCTTGGTAAGGACGGGACCATTCCCTCGGTGGAGCAGACCCCGCTATTCGATATTCGCAACTTCTATGAGGAACTAGTCGTCGCCCGAAGGGAAAACCACTGCCTGGAATGTGCGGAACCTTGGGGAATGGGCGAGGCACTGCTCTACGGCGAGGTGGTCACGAGCACCCAGTCGATGCTAGATAAGTGAGCTTGCTACTCATCCGCCCCCTCACCATCTTCTAATATATATGTTTGGCATAGGAACCTTCGCCTACTCTCCAGCCTTCCTTCACCGCTAGTCTCCGTCGCCTCGCACCAACTTGCAGGCCGCGGGCGCGGCGCGAACGTGTGGCTCTCTTCGGGCGGGAGCCTGCTCTTCTCGCTTCTCCTGCGCGTGTCGCTTTCTGACGTGCCCGCTGCGCGTCTCGTGTTCGTGCAGTACCTCTTCGCGCTCGCCGTTGCAGAGGCGTGCCGCGATCCCGCCGTACTGGGCGACGCGGGCAGGCACGTGAGGCTGAAGTGGCCGAATGATGTGTATGCGCTGAGGGAAGACGGCGTGAGGAAGAAGATGGGCGGCGTGCTGGTGAATACGAGTTTCTCATCGGGGCAAGTGGAGGTTGTGATTGGTGTGTGGTTTCCTGTTGTCTGACGATTTCCATAAAATGATGAGATGGCAGGATGTGGCCTCAATGTATGGAATTCGCCGCCGATCCAGTCGTTGCTGCACCTCGTGTCTCCTGAATCGCGCACACAGCTGACGATGGAGCGCACGCTGGCAACGATACTGGCGAGGTTCGAGAGCATGTGGAACACGTTTGTGGCTCACAATGGTTCCTTCGAGCCATTTTTGGATCTGTACTATGAGCGATGGATGCATTCGTGAGCCCGGTCTATCTTCTTCGATTATGATTTATGATCATCCACATTCACCCCAGGGATCAACTCGTCGAGCTCACAACGACGATGCCCCATCAGAAAGTGCGAATTGTCGGTATTACGAGTGATCATGGGCTGTTACGGACTATGCCGGAGCGAGGTGGATGGTGGAATTCCGGCGGTAGCTCTTTCATCGACTTGCAGCCGGATGGAAATAGCTTTGATCTGATGGCGGGGTTGATCAAGGCGAAGCGATAGAGGTGAAGCGGTTTCACTCACGAGTCACGAGAACACCCATCTACGAAGGCTTACCTACGATAGTAGCAAACTATGGCCCGAAGCGATTTGTATGCTCCGTTTCAGCTTATCTCATGGTTTATACGGAAGAAACATTCTGTTACACAGGGACCCGGGTTCTGCATCTCAATGTCAATACTAGCGGTGGAGCATGGCGATGCTCTGTTGTGGAGACGCTTGTGACTTCTTACTTGTAATCATACGTGATTTCAAAAAGGAACCTGGTATCTAATACTGTTCAAGGTTAGCTGGACTGACTCTGGCGCGCCAAAACTGTTCACTTGAAGTGTGCGAGATGGAGTTTGCGAGCGAATAACTTTATATACGATTCTAGGAATGACAGTATACAGCCTCCTCGACACAGCACTGGATCGGAATTTGAATCGGTGGGCGACATTACTTACAGGTGTGACTCTAGATCTAGAGGACACTTAATCGTGTTTATTCCAATTCGGGCAGATGCGTTGCCGCTTACGGTAATGTCGACCCGCTCTTCACGACTCGTCACCTTTCCCGTGTCGATTCGCCTCGCTTTGACAGCTCTCACGGTTGTCAATCTCGCCTGACTCAGAGTATATAGAGCATCCTCCTTTGATTCCAAGGGGTTAATCACCCTCCTTCCCCTGTGCCACTCACATGCCCCTGCTGGTACATGTTGTGCCTGAGACAGCATCTTCGCTGCTCTCAGCAACAGCAAATTGCCGACGGATGCCTTGTACGCTTCGGAAGTTCAAGCGGTTCATCGTATGGTGTCAGGAAGTCAGATCCAAATCAAAGGTGGTAAGAATATTACCTAATGCAATCGAGGATTCCGGCTGTTTCTCTGAGATTGTGAGTTTTGGTTACAGGATTGATCATGAAGCTCGAAGGCTTGCTGAACAAAACGAGGGTTCGTCGCGACATGTTTTGGCCACAGAAGTGACGTCGCCACTCGCGCACGTGGTGTACGAGACGCGTTGGAGCGCTCGAGAGTCGAATTGTTCCTCAAGTACAGATGACATATGTGCTTTCAGTTCCGCGCTCCCAGCCGTCCAGACACTTTATGCGGGCGAGACGATTGGCGGGACGGAGCACCGGCTACAATGACGCAACGGTCTTCATGGTGGCGAGCGCCATGCCTGCGGACACTTCCGCCTTTTCTAAATATTAGCATTAGAACGGCTGGCTAGCTATGCCTGCCTCGAACCGCTCCATGCCGTGCCTGCCGACGCAGCGGTGCAGCGCAGTCTCGTCCGGCCCTCTTATAACATTGCGTAGGGTGGCAAGCTCTGTTATACCTCCCCCCTATCCGCCAAGCAACCTAAGCCGACGCCATGCCTCTCTTCCACAGGAAGAAGGCTAAACCCACTGACAAAGAGGCCTCACCTGGCACCATCGATGGCAGCGTGCATCAAGAAAAGACTGGTGAGAGTCGCCTGCGTCGATATTTGTGCCTCTCCTCTGACTCTCCTCCGACTCCGTGCGCACACAGCCTATGATGAAGGCAATGAATATGACATCCTACTTCGCTATGCTAAAGACGAGGCGGCTAAGCTAAAACGCGGCGAGGGAAAAGAGGAAACCGAAGAAGAGGGCCAATATGTTCGCCTTTGGTACATGCCCTGGAAGAAGGTCAAGGCGGTCAGTAGCAAGGAGAAGAAGATACCGCTAGACTGGCTGCACACCGACATGCTTCAAGGCTTGCCATCTGGTCCGGAGGTGGACAAAAGACGAGCCGTGTATGGTTGGAACGAGCTTCAAAGGTGCGTCTACAACCCCCTTCTGCCTTCATCCAAGATAACCTATGCGCGCATTATTATAGCGAAAAGGAGAACCAGATCCTCAAGTTCATTTCGTATTTTCGCGGCCCAATTCTCTACGTCATGGAGCTTGCTGTCTGTTTGTCCGCAGGTTTACGTGACTGGATTGATTTCGGTGTCATTGTAAGTTATGTGGATTTCATTATGAGGGTACGACTCATTGCGATTCCGCGTTAGATTGGTATCTTGTTCCTCAACGCTGGTGTCGGTTGGTACCAGGAAAAGTGAGCACACAAGCCATCTAAGATGTCCGCGCAATCTTCATGTTGACATCGTCCATACGCTTAGGCAAGCTGGAGACATCGTCGCACAGTTAAAGGCTGGTATCGCATTGAAGGCATCGGTCATTCGTGATGGCCGTGAGCAGGAGATCGCAGCGCGCGATGTGGTGCCAGGCGACATTGTAAGTTTATCTCGTCTCATGCGTAATCGCTATGGGAGGTGACAATGCATCCCAGGTCGTCATTGAAGAGGGTCGCACGATTCCGGCAGATGCAAAGGCACGCGTTATTATTTCAGAACCTTCTCGCATTGACTGAATGTTCCCGTCCAGATCTTGGCCGATTACAACGACAAGTCCGGCGCTAAGTCGAAGCCGATTCCGGAGAGGCGCACACGAAGAAACTCGAACTCGAGCAACAGTGGCTCGTCAACGATGTCCAATAAATCAGGCATCGACAAGGGCCCGTCGGTGTTATCAGTCGACCAGAGTGCGATCACGGGCGAGTCGTTGGCAGTGGACAAGTTTTTGGGCGACATTGCATACTATACGTGTGGCGTGAAGCGTGGAAAGTGCTACGGTATCGTAGTGGCGAGTGCACAGCAGAGCTTTGTCGGAAAGACGGCAAGCTTGGTAATGTGTGAGTAGCTGGTCTGTCATGCTCGTGTACGATGATCAAGGACTTACTGTGACGGTAAATATCAGCATCGAAAGGAAAGGGGCATTTCCAGATTGTTCTCGGTGGTATCGGGCTGGCTCTCTTAATTATAGTGCTCGCCTTCATCTTTATTGTCTGGATCGGCGGATTCTTTAGGTGAGTAGATACGCGTGCTATTCGCATATTGCTTTGTTCATCCATTATGATCTTCAGACATGTGGGTATTGCAACGCCGAGAGAGAACAATCTGCTGGTGTATGCGCTGATCTTCTTGGTAAGTCGCGCTCTGCGGATTTACGCAGTCGGCGTTCATGCTAATGACGTTTTCTGGAATAGATCATCGGTGTTCCAGTTGGTCTTCCATGCGTGACGACCACTACAATGGTACGGGAGCTCTCTTAATGACAGCCAGTAAAACTGAATGCCTCTTGGTGTCCAGGCTGTTGGTGCAGCATACCTCGCGAAACACAAGGCTATCGTGCAAAAGCTTACTGCGATTGAGTCGCTTGCAGGTGAGCCATTCGGCATGTGATGTCGGGATACATGTCAGGCGTTGACGCTTGCATATGCAGGCGTGGACATATTGTGTTCTGATAAGACGGGTACATTGACTGCGAACAAGCTGTCGCTCAACGTACCATACATCGCGCCAGGCGTCGATCCCAACTGGTTCATGGCCGTGAGTACCTGTGTATATATTGTGTCGCGGGTTAATATGCTCAAGTTTCGCCTGCATAGGTTGCTGTTCTCGCTTCGTCACACAATGTTAAATCGCTGGATCCCATTGATAAGGTCACCATCGTCGGTCTCAAGGACTATCCCGGTGCGCAGGAGATTCTACGCGGTGGCTGGATTACCCACAAGTTCATGCCATTCGATCCTGTGTCGAAACGTATCACCGCCGACGTTGAGAAGGATGGCAAGCGATACACGTGTGCAAAGGGCGCGCCGAATGCGTACGTTTTCGTCATCCACTAGCTTTCATGTTATTGACGCTGCCATTGTACAGGATCTTGCGCCTCGACAAGTTCGATCCCGACACCGTACAGGCATACCGCGCGCAGGCGCAGGAGTTCGCGCAGCGTGGTTTCCGCTCCCTTGGTGTTGCTGTCAAGGAGGATGACAAGCCCTGGCAGCTCCTAGGCATGCTTTCCATGTTTGACCCTCCTCGCCCTGACACAGCTGCTGTATGTATGGCATGACCTCTCTGGATCTTCAGGCACTGATCGCACGTCGAACAGACTATCCGCGAAGCCATCGATCTGGGAATCCACGTTAAGATGCTCACTGGTGACGCCGTTGCCATTGCAATCGAGACGTGCAAGCAGCTCTCGCTCGGCACGAACGTATACGAGTCTGAGCGGTTGATCAGCGGTGGAATGACCGGATCAGAAGTACGCGATTTCATTGAAGCAGCGGATGGGTTCGCGGAGGTGTATCCGGAGCACAAGTACCAGGTCGTCTCGATGCTCCAGGAGCGTGGGCACTTGACTGCTATGACTGGTGATGGCGTCAGTGAGTATCATCACATCCGGTTGTCTGAGGGTCTGAGGGGCTTTACAATGAATCCATTCGCTAACTACAGACGACGCTCCATCACTTAAGAAGGCGGACTGTGGTATCGCCGTGCAAGGTGCATCAGACGCTGCAAGAACTGCTGCCGATGTCGTCTTCCTCGGTGAGGGCCTCAGCACGATCATCACGAGCATCAAGGTTGCCCGCCAGATCTTTCATCGTATGAAGGCTTACATTGTCTATCGTATCGCGCTTTGTATTCATTTGGAACTCTATCTAGTGAGTTATCCGTTGATTCCTTAGTCGTGCTGATCGCTCATGATGATGCATTGGTAGTGTCTATCTATCCTCATTCTGAATGAGACAATTCGGGTAGACCTTGTTGTTTTCTTGGCCATTTTCGCTGAGTAAGCAGAGTCAACAGTGTCGACAAGTTGATACATGCTCACTACCGCTCACCAGTGTCGCTACCATCGCTATTGCTTATGATAACGCTCCGTATGACCGCAAGCCTGTGGACTGGCAACTCCCCAAGGTGTGGATCATGTCAACGCTGATGGGCATGATGCTTGCGGGTGGCACCTGGATCATACGGGGAACCCTCTTGCTCTCCGATGGGGGTATCATCCAGAACTTTGGCAGGTATGTGGTCACTGAAGATGATCTGCTGAACGGTTCTTAGCCTCTTCACATAGTGTCCAAGAGATCTTGTTTCTCGAAGTCGCGTTGACGGAGTCATGGGTAATCTTGATCACCCGGATGGCGATAGGCCCCAGTTCAGGCCCCTTTGTGTTGCCGTCATGGCAGCTGCTTGCCGCAGTTCTCGGAGTGGATGCCCTTGCGACTATTTTTGCGCTGTTTGGATGGATCTCTGGCCCTGGGGAGCACGGAGGGTAAGTTAAATTGTAATGTCGGCCGTATGCAGACCGTCTGACATCGTTACTCTTTTGAAGATGGACTGATATCGTCACTGTGGTGAAGATCTGGGGATACTCTTTTGGTGTCTTCGTCGTTGTTGGCTTACTCTGTAAGTGAAGTTGGCTACGGTTCACAGATACATCATTTCACTGTGCGCGTCAGACTACATATTGAGCACGTTCCAGTGGCTGGACAACGTTGGCAGACGCAACGTAAGTGCTTGCTGCTTCCATATTCTCTTCATTACATGGCGCTGATGAGAGTCGTGTTCTACAGCGGAGCAAGAAGAACGTTAAGCTCGAGAACTTCATCAGCGAGATGCAGCGGCTTACGCTGGTCCACGAGCGTGACTCAAGTGGCGAGTCATACTATCGTATCGCGACAGGCCCATCTGCAGAAGAGAAGGCAAAGTCCGAGAAACAAAAGGCTGCCGCCGCGAAGAACGCTGCTGAGGCGGCGAAGAAGACGGTCAAGGTCAGCCAGCATGACACAGAGGAGAAGGGTAGCCGCATCGAGCCATCCGGATCTAAGCAGGGCGGAAATGGTGGAGACACTCGCGGCACGAACACTCCGGGGACACGCTCCCCCGGTGGTGCGGCCTCACCAGGAGCACGGAGCCCAAGCGCACTCAGCATGTCAAGCGGGCAAAGTCCTGGTGGGACCAGCACGCCGAATCATCCACAATAGTGATCCTCAACCATGCCAATTTAGTGGCTATGAACCCAGCAGTAGACCGTTTTGTCGACGTTTTATGGAAGCGTCTATATTGTATTTTCCATCGCTGCTATATCTTCTGTCCCAGTGTAACATATTATCGTGGCTCGCACTTCCTGCTGTTGCTTAAGCTTTGTATCTTATATCACTGTATCTCATATCCTAGCCTCTTACGGTTGTAGTCATAAAAGCACACGCCGGTGACCACGCACAAGAGAATAGACGGTGAACAGGGGACATTCATCCACATATGGGACATATGACAAGCAAAGAATGAGTACAGGACCGTTGTGCGACTGCCCACGATCGGATATCAGTGAAGTAAAGTTAGTAGACGTGTAGTTGAACGACAGGAATGCATGATAGCTCGTCGTGAATCCAGATGATCATGCTACTGCCGTGCTTTGCTAGCGCTTTTGCGGGATATCTTCGCTGGAGAAGTCTGGGTCTTCATGCGAGACTTCGACAGATCCCGCGGGAACCCTAACGAAACATCTCGAACCTCGATGGTGCCGGCATCGGAGCCGAGCAGATGTGGCGAGTGCTTTGCTTCGACCAGGCAGAAGAGAAGTGAGAATTCGTGGTCAGAATAGGTCAGCCATAAAGCTACGGAAAGAATAGCATGACCATCCTGACAGTTAGCTATACTAGAGACCGCAGGCGCGCGAAGATATGCTGTACATGTGAAGTCAGCGACTCAGGTAAACGAACAGGTTGAGTTCAAGTGCGCTGAAGGTACCTTCATTAAAGAAATGGAAAGCCAGTGCTTCGAATCACTACTCCAAAGGAACAGCGCACGGTAATTCATATTCAGGCGCACAAGAATAATACAGATGCAGATTACCAGACCGTTGTACGGACTTCTCATCTCCCCTTTTGTCTGTAAAGTTCGTCCACGTACTAAATTGATACACTGAAACATCTCAGTAAACATTGTACAGGCTCAATGCTTACACATAAGCGCAAAGGTACATTCACAACCCATAAGTGCCCTACACTGAGCTTTAGCGAGACGTCATGACAGATTCAAGCGGTACGGAAGAAATTGCTCACTATGTGTCTACTCATTGTCTTCAAGGTGCGGTTCATACCACATGAACTCGTCCCAATCCGGCAGACTCTTGATTTGGCCGTCTTCGCAGATGGTGTCTACGCAGCCCATGAGCTCAACCAGGAACTCTCGAGATATGCCTTCGCATCTCGAGAGAACGAGCTCTTGCACGGGTGCACCGAAAACATCACGCCGCTGTTTCAAACAGTCCAACAAGCAGGATCGGTCTCGAGCTTGGAAGAAATCGAACTTGTCCAAGTCGAGCACGCGCAAACGAGGGAGAATGCAGGGAGGCTCGGTCCTCATGTCTTCCCCGGGATGGAGTTCGGATAGTGCGTATAGGATGTTTGCGAGGTCGGAGAATTGCACGAAGTTACGGATTCGCAGGATTTGGAGCTCGTTGAAGTGGGCCAGGGCATCGCACCAGGTGTCCCAAGCAATGTACGCATTGCTGTCAGCATCTACAGTCTGCTGCGCTTGCAGGACAATTTCGTTCACGTTGCGGTATGTGGGCATGCTGCAAATGGCCACCAGCCAGGGATCGCGATCAGCGGGATCCTGTTCATTGGGATTTGGCCTATCGGGATTTCCCGTGTCGATCTTCATGTCCACCGACAATCCTACAGAGTTATGCTCTGCATCTTGGCTGGCCGTCCCATCACCTTGCTCCCCATAACTCGTGATCTTCAGCTGGAGTTCCGTTAACTTATTAATGGCCAGTACGTGCAGAACGCGAACCATGAGGGATACCTCAGTGGCGTTAGCTAAGCTTGATATGAGATCGTCAGGATGGTCCTCGTCGTTGGCTGAAGTGTGCAGCGTGATATAGCGGAGTGCAGGAAAGTGAAGGCATGAGATAATGTTTATGATGTGCGGGACAATATCGTCAATGTGAAGACTTTTCAGGTTGCCTAAGGTGATGACTTCTGATGGCCACTGCGTCTCTTCCGGGTTCATGTCCTCCAAAATGAGCATCTCCAGACAGGGCAGTCCCCGAAGAAAATCGATAAGCTCTCCTAGACTCGATGGAAGACAATGTTCCGTGCCGTCAGTAGTGGTGAACAGTCCATACACGCTCACAAGCTCCAGATGGCGCAGCGACGGGAGGGATGGTAGCTTCTGCCAGGACAGGTTGAGAGCTGTGAGCCGAAGAGTCGTGACTTCGGTCATCCGTGTGCCGAGTCTCGCCAATTGGTCATCAAACACAGCGTGTCTGCAACGTATAGTATTCTGCACGCTAAGGTAGCGGACGCGGCGACCCCCACCCTCATCTAGAAGAGCATTGACGGCTTTCACTAGATCCAGTCCAGCAGAAAAAAGTTCAAGAGAAGCTATTTGCGGAGCCCTTCTAAGCACCAGATTCCATGATTCGACTGTAGTTGGCTGGATCTCCGCAGTGACGAACAGTGCATGTTTTCGAGCGCATTCAAGGATTAGCTTGGTAAAGTCCTTGTTAACCGGCAGTTTCTCGATAACGCTCCATAGGGACGCATCTTCCAGCAGGACTTCCCGCCATTTGCGGCACACGTGCATCAGGTTGAGGAAGTGGTATGGTCGTGGGCGGCCGGAATCGTCCTTGACGTTGTCGATGTGGACATCCTCGAAAGTCTTGCAGAGAAGCTCGTTAGGCAAGTCGTCAATGGTCTTCAGCCCGCGCCTTCGGAGATAATCTATCTGGACCAGGGGAAGGCCGACGACTGCCTCAGCGGAGTGTTCAGCGTGGCAGCTGGTATTTGAGAAAGCTCCATAGGTAGGTGAGTCCATAAAGAAGCAATATTCGCGCGGCAGAAACGAGTTCATGATGGGCAGGAAGTTCATAAAAGGAGGAAGAAAGCAAATTTATAGCGGCTCGCGTGCGGCCACAGAAGGTGGGCAAACCGTCACGTGTAGCCACCCGTGCATCGCGAAGGAACCAGTCATTGTGGCTCGTTGCCACAGCATTTCCTTGATGATCTGAAGATTGACGACGTAGCGCGGCCACTTGGTAATCATAAAGTGGCCTTAATCCTCGGCTTCGGCAACGATTGGTCTTGTACATTGTTGATCTGCGTGTCTATGATGACAACAACAACTGCGATAGCATCATGCTATCGGAGGTGCCTTAGGTTTTGCGTTGCTTGATATTACGCCTGGGAGAACTTGAAGGTTTGTCAATATTTTCGATCTTCAAGAGGCATTCTGGCCCTGATCCCAACCGCCGAGTATTTTAACAGCTTGTCGTGGACAGACCTCCGCGATGAAACATGCCTAAGCATTCAAGGCGTCGATCTATGTCGCGGTTCAATTATTAGGAAGTATCTCATCCGTTCGCTCCTGTGACGATGAACACTGTTGGCGCCATGTCATCCAGACAGTACCGCAGAGAGGTTGATTTTGTTCTGTTCACTCCTTATTAGTCTCGTGAGTAATTGATCACAATATAGCAAATTACCTTGCGGTGTTAATCGACGTCTAGATGCCCGGGTAACCGGATGTTTGCGGTAAGTGCTGGAGAAGGTACAAGTGATTGTGCTGGGTCATCCTGGATAGCCTCACTTACATAATCCTGATGTGGTCGGGGCAAAGCTCCTCCTGGTATTGCCTTTCCTCATTGGGCTTACCGATTGGGACCTATTTAAGCTTCAGCTGCGAGCAAATGCACGCCCGGGCTACCATTTAGCGATCTTCATGGAACCTCCTCTTCGACGAGGTCGCAGAGATAGAACACGCTAACCACCTTCTCATTCGAGGTTGTGAGCGGAACGTGTCCCTGTAGGAGACGGTTAGCGTGGAGTTGTACTTCTAGTGGATTTTGATGCGAGACGGCTCATCGTGACCATACCGTCATAATACAGAATAGCACCCATTCGAAGCATCCTTTCTTCCCACCGGAGACTTCGTGGTTTTATGTGGACCTCACATTTAACAAATCCAGCTTGAGGAGGCGTTTCGCACCTTAATATGCCCATGTCGAGGCCAAGAAGATCCGTAAACATTTTCATCTTAATTTGCCGAAGACGAGGGACCTACGGGAACCCATTGAGCCAGCATTTTCAGAAAGTAGCACGGAGTGATATCTTTCCACGACTCGTATGTGGACAGACGTAATCGTGAATAACGGGTTGTGAAGTGCATAACTTTGCACTAGGTCACAGCATGCATAGAAACGATGTGAGTGACGGTCATAAGCAGAGCGAACAGTTCAACTGTTTAGTCAAAACGCTGGGGAGGCGAGCTGAGAGGAGTCGACCAGGACGACGCCGCTGCGCGGTAAGGCTCCAACTATTTATACTATTTACACTCCTGAGGTGTAAATAAATAGTATATAGTAAACAGTTGGTATATATGCAGTATAAACAGTTTAGATAAAGTTTATATAGTTTTTTTGTCCCATCTCTAAGTGGAGTTTTACTCAACTGTGAGCAGCCTCTGTGATTGTTGGGACCCTTAAGGAGCTGGGTGCATCAATACACACATGATAGTGAGCAGAAAACAAGCATTCAACTTCAACACTTGCACCACAAATGATAAGAAAATCTCATGTCATACAAAAAATAACAAGAAACTCATGTTCATGAGTCTATATGATGATCAACTGTCAGTGGTGGCTTCTATCAAACACTATGACTTTCAATTGGCTCACTGTTGCACTGTCAAATCTATCAATTGTGCACTCAATAGTCTTATGTCATCATAAAACTATTTATACTATATATAAACATCTATTTACTATATACAGCCCAACCTGTAAATAAACAGATATAGTAAACAGTTAAAACTATTTAACATAGTATATAGATAGAAATGTTGGAGCCTTACTGCGCGGCTCCCAGATTAGGAAGGTGTCGTGATTCATGCTACGACTCATGCAATGTGTTATTAGCATCTACTCAATCCTTACTCCAGGGAACGACCTTAATGACGGAAGGTAAACACTTGCAAAGCCATGGGAGCATCAACCTTAAGTATCAACCCAAAAAACAGGCGTGAACGGGTCATATTATAAATGAATCAGCATTTATGAAAGTTCGCTTTTCCGGATGTAATTTCCTTCCATGAACAGCGTGCAGATGAAGGAAGCGCATGCAGAATATCAACAGTTCTCTGATATTGCTCTAATGAGATTTCATATACGTCTGCACTGAGAATCAATAGATGCTGTGACGATTTTCTGTCTTGATGCTCTATCTGACTTAAAGAAAGATTCCGAGTGTGCTCTACTACCAAAAGGATCCGAAAATATTCATCAGATGTCATACCTGAACAATGTCCATTCTATTACAGCTACATTTGTAGGCACTCCTTGAATCCTCCATCATCAACATTTTATACACATGACTTGCACATTTGGTGGTAGCTTGAGAGGACTTAACTTATTGAGTGAAACACTGCCGCACAACGCATCCGTTCAATGATCCGAGCCTAATCAATATTGTCCATGCAAACAAATGGCTGCTCAAAATACACAAGCATCGTCACACCGCGTGAAATAGACAGTCCAGGTGTTTATCAGAAACCTCTCAAGCCACCAGCTTCGCACCTATCCTGGCGTTGTCGTAGTTACGCAAATTATCCAACTGATTGACAATTTTTGATCTTCGGAAGAGTCCGGAGCCTCCAGACAGCTTGAGAGGTGTTGACAGATGCAAAGGATCTCAGTCTCATGGTGTATGAGTGAATGAGGATCAATTTAACTTCAGGCACACGCTCATGAGCATTTGCTGATGCGAATCAGGTACAACAGTGCGGTCGCTTGGCCATACGTTCAAAGTAGAGTCTGAAACGAGAACAAGGCATTTGGGGGTCTTCTATAAGGAAGCGGTGGGTCAGTCACGTTGTGGATGCGGAGCGTCAAATATAATCTCCGCCCCAAGTCATCTTGCTGGCGCCGCAGGGGCACCTCATATCCAACATGTTAAGGGCCTAAAGAACCCGCGCACTCTAACTCTCGCCTGACCCGCCAAGGTCCTCTGGCTCAAGTAGAAGGGGTGAAGGTCTAACTCGAAACTGGGGGTTAGACCCCAGCTCGAGCCAGTATATATATTAGAGGGGTGGGACCCCTGGTACCGGGGGTAAGTCCAGCGATACCCTAATACACAAGATTAGGTCATAGTGGCGTGCTATGGCGTGCTATGACGTAGCTAAGTCCAGACGAGTCCGTAGGGGCCTCAGTGCACCTACCTGGTCTAGATCTATGATGTCATCGTGACGTAGCGTCACGTGACTTGTACATGTCCGAGGGATGTTCGAATGTCCCTTGGTGGCGTGGGTACCCTATGGTAGCCACGTGGTAAGTCCGTATATGGTAATGGTATATAGTGGAGCAGTCTGGGTCTCCTTGCCTAGGAGCCTCTGAAATGGAGGTTACGACGATGATCGTAACATAACCCCCGTCCTACGCCGAAGTGTTCTCACGAGGCCCTTTGGTTACGGGTTCCACTGGTATATTCCCTGCCTTGATGCCGTGCTTCTGGAATACTTCCTTGACATCATGGGGATCCTCCCAATCATTTGCCGATTCTGTCAGCGTTGCCTTGGCGAGGGTTTTGGTGATAGGGTATAGGTGTGGTTCCCAGGGTCCCTTCGTTCAGATTGATGGGTATAGACGTATAAAGCCCGTGCTTCTAGTAGATTGATCAGGGTATTCAGTGATCTTTCTATAGCACTGGGCATCGTCTTTTGTCCTCCGGGGTTCGGTGATCTGTCCTAGATCTGTGCCG